ATCTTTATTGTCATCTGCAAATGAACAAGTGCGACCATGTTCATAAACGCAACAACCAGCATCAAGGAATGCTCTGTCTGAAATGTCATGTTCATTTCTAATAAATGCTTGTTGTTTCTGGTGGCACGTCCAGATCAAGCTCAAGTACGAGACAACGTTGCACATTGCTTCCATCATACGCAAGGAACTCACATAATTGCTTCATCAACTAAATTGTGAATGGATGTGGTTGGCGTTCTTCTCAGACTCGCACAACTAGATGATCATGGCGCGTTGTGATTTGATGTCTAACAAGTTGCTGTTCGCACATGTGCAACAACTTCACTCTAGACCTATGCAAGATCAAGACCGTCGCCAAGGTCATCAAGAAAGTCATGTATATTAAAACACACAACATTGTCCTCATCCGCAAGTTCTTTGTCGTCGCAAGACTTGTCCTTATGTGCGCTCCCTGCTCATCATGGAAATGTTCTCCACGTCTCGATGGACGAAGACAAACAAGCTGTTGAAGAAAACGCTAGTGGCCAAGATGCCATTATCCGTCATGCCGGTGATAATTGCGTCTTAAGACTGTGTGGACAAATTTGAGCTATCAAAATCATATTTTAAGCGTGTTCATTCGTCTCCTTGGTGAAAGATTCTCTCCGTTGCTCAATGGCTCGTCTATCTGTTCAGAAGGGCGACTAATCAACTCGAGAGCGACTACGCATCAATCTCCGATATCTACGCTGTACTTCTATCACACTATCCACTACTTACCAAACCATACGTGTAGCATTATGCATATTACTGCCATAGATATCCACCATCTCTTCAAGAAACTCAAATATCGCATCAACCGCATATACTTGCTCATGCATGTCATGTTTTTTGCTTGTGATCCGTTCTTTGATTACCTACGAGCTACCCTTAGTGAGGAAATGTATGACTACAGTCAAGGCGGTTCTAATCAATAGTGTCGCAAGGGCATGAAACTCCTATGCAATGAAGAACGTTTATTAGACTCACACACGATTGAAAGTGAACTCATTGCTCACTTGAACCACGAGAAGACAAACGATGATTACTTCAACAACAACAAGAAAAAGATGCCGCAAGAGATTTGGGATGGAGTCGACGACTACATGACGCTTGCCAGGATGTTGTAGCCATCGTTTGGCTATCTATCCAGCCACATGGCCGAGGAGCGAAACCATAAGCATGCGAAGGACGTCCACACCAAGGCCTGTTTGACTTTGGGATCCACTAAGGTCCAAAAGCATACGTTTCTCGCTGCCAATTACTTGCAAGGGTGCCGAAAGTATCCAATTGATTGCGACATGAATTGTTTTGCAAACGTGCTCGTCACCTTTGCTACCGCCGCTGGAGACGTTGAGTCGATAAACAACTCTGACAACGTCGGCATGGACAAAATTGAAGATGTTGCTGCTGCCATCAAGAGGCTGGAGGATTTTGACGTAGACATGAACGTGACTACTGCCGATAATGACCGTTTGTTTTTCAATATCGAATGGTCTGATGGCATTCAGGACAATGATCTTTTTGCCACCAATGACAAGGAAACTGCTGACGAATAATGAGTAACCAAGTTTGAACCAACTCCTCTATGAAGTTTGAATACACTTACAAAAAAACATTTGTATAAGGCTTTAACTAGATTGATAGATAACGAAGGTTTATCTAACGTTATATAAGCCTTAGTTAAGTAAGCTTACATTAGTTGATCATCCCATAATTATGTGTGACTTTGTTGTGTTGTAGTGTTGATGGTTAGTGATGATTGGTAGTCAAGCAGCAACACACAATTCCTATCAACACCACAACATAGAAAAAGTGAAAAAAAAATAAACAATAAAATAAAATTAATTAAAATGAACAATTATGATAGTAAATAACATGTGAAGATAGCTCTAAGTAGATGGATATTTCAAACTAGACTTCAGTAGCATCTATATGGAATATATTAAAACTCAAGTACATGAACAAATAATGATTTGAACTGGTTTTTCATACACAAACATTATACAAATTAGGGGGAAAATGTAAACAAAAGTGTTGTACACCATGTCTCACAGCGTGATTAGTGATCTTGCATTCCTGGAAAAGCGTGCATCCATCCATATCACATGACTATAAAGTTACGTCTACAGTATACTCATGCCATATCCAAGAGGATGAAACTAGAGATGCATGATTTAGGCCTCCCTATTTACGGATCTCCCGTAAATACCGTAAATAAGCTATTTATGGGACGAGGTTCGACCTTAGATATGGTTATTTACGGGTCCTTAATTAAACTACTACGAAGAGCGAAAGCAGTTGGGACAGCTGAGTATCAAAGGACCGTGTTTGTATTCATTGTCTCCGCTTAGAACGTAAGTTTCTGCAGAAGCTTGAACTGCCTTGCGTGCATCACGCCTTCCAGGGAAAAGTCTGACAAGCTCATCCGGTGGATGTCTTTTTCCCATTTTAGAATGTAGAAGTCGCGCTCTACAGAAGATGTTCTCGGAAAAGTGCTTGCCAGTCCACCACAAAACATCTCCAGCTTCTTGAATCGACCACTTGTGAGTTTCCAGGCCTTGCTGAAGGGCGTTTGGTATGTACACCCGTCCAATGCATTACGGAAGGGCTCTTCATTGCGGTAAGCATTTTTGAGATCACGGAATTCAGTTTCAATGTAGTCCATTGTCGCTTCTGCAGAAATAGGGGTCCAACGAGCAGCAAGACGTTCATGTTGTGCGCGTACAATAGCGGTAAAGTCACGTTCATTCAGTGTCACCAGCTCGTGCGGCAGCACTGGTGGCAACACGTCCAAGGAAACGCCATTCAGGGAGTTTCGTTCGGCCACGACTTCGTTCAGCCCAGCGATCAAATTCAACAGGCCCTTGCTCAAGTTTCTTGCCAGGTTTTCCATGCTGGCTTGCCCGGCATGTTGCATGCGATCGGATACAAAACCACCCATGTCTTCCAGAAACGAGGTCATATCTGCGACACGAGCTGAGTACAAATCGTTGCTGGACACAGCGTCTCTCTCGATGTCGATGTCTTCACGCTGTCCAGAAGCTAATGGGCCGTTTGCTTTGATATAGTCTTTGTAGCAAGTCCGTAGATTGGCGATGGCTTCGCGCTGCCGCGAGACCAGAGTGTCATCCTTTTGAAGTTGCTTGAAGGTAGCGGTGGCAACTGCGGACACATCTTCGACGAACATTAGGACTACCCACCATTCATGCGGCGGTTTGTAGGACGGGTTTTTCGCCTCCAGGTACTCTCTGATGGCCACACGGTGCGTTTTGAACCAGCTGGCGACCTTTGACATGGATTCCCACCTTGTTTCTGCGAGTGTGCAAAATTTCGTTCCCATGTCGTTAATCAGACTCTGTTGACGGCGCAGGTATCCAATGAGTGCCGTTAGCATTGACACAAATTGTTCGTCCATCAATTCTTCGTAGAACGATCGCAACTTTAAGTCCAATTGATGTAAACCACACCAGATGCGGTAAAAGCCAGGTAATGCTGCTTGTTCAAATTGCGTGGCCACCCCGCCAATGTGGCCGGTCATTCGCGGTTCGCCGTCCGTTGAGATTGAAATCAGCATAGTCTTCCATTCAGTGCAGAGTACATCCAGCACTGCCGAAGCGTGGCGGTACACTTCTGCTGCCGTATGCCTGCAGAAAACCGGGATCCCAATCAAGTGCAAGTTGAGGATCTCACCATGCCAGAAGAGCCGAATGCGGATATCCCGGTAAGAAGTCGACATGTGAGTGGACATATCCAACGCAATTGAGAATGCCCAGCTATTGTCCAAGATGTTGTGGATATGTTGCAGATTCAACGCCAAAATAAAGCGAGCGTACTGAGCGACCCTTTCATCCTTGGCAGTGCCGATCTCCGCAACGCCGGTGACTTCTTTCGTCATGGTAACCAGAGCTTCTGCTTGGCGAAAGGAAACTCCAGTGATGAGGAATCCCGCCACCAGATTGAATTGCTTTGGATTCGAGATGTCGATTTGATATTTGGTAGTGGCCAATCCAGGGTCTTCAACGGTGTTAGGATCGATATCTTTGAAGATTCTAAGTGCTCTTTCCCTGGACATGTTCGGCAGCCCGTCGTCGTCGTCCTGGTCGAGAAGTAGGTCCCCGATGATGACGTCAACAATCGCTTTGTTGATGTAAAGCTGCATTGCCGTCTGGTTGCCGGCGAAGTGCGATGGAATGGTGTTCCTGTGCCTGACTGGTGCATTTCTTTGGAAAAAGGTGGCCTTCTGGTCCCTAACCAGGATTTTGAATTGGTCCCAGCGAGCCTTGTGGTGGCGGCTGAAGTGCTGTACGTAATTGTCGGTTTGAAATGACCTAGTGAAAGACTTGATATTTTCGGTTCTGCGCCGCATCCGTTCTTCCTGGGCGGTGCTCGTGTCTGTGTCCTCTCGGCCAAAGTGAATACAGAAGAGACAATTGACTGAAACGACCTCCGACGTGGCTGCGTCCCGACTTGCGATGGAAAGTCCGTAGTTGACTTGGTGGTCTGGATTGAAGGGAGTCCCGACTTGCGATGGAAAGGCCGTAGTTGACTTGGTGGTCTGGGTTGAAGGGCGTACGCAGCGTCCCGCGCGGCATAGCGGGAGCACGGGAGTTGAGTGTGAAGCTGGTAATAAGGCGTGCTCGAGACAGAGTGCGACGAGAAGGTAGGTGGGAAGGGCGAGTTGAAGGAGGGAAGACAGGCAATAGGGCCGGTAAAGATTAGGGTGAAAAATAAAAAACCTTTTATTAAGGCCCTTATTTACGGGACAACCCGGACGTTATTTATGGTTATTTGCGGTACAAGTACTATTTTCCCGTAAATAGGGAGGCCTCTCTTTTGCTTCATGCAGCAGTAAAAAAGAGATTGGAATTTGGAAAGATCGAGTTGGATTGGGGCTAGTGCGAAGACTCTTACGGGGAATTTCCACAATAGAAGGGAAGAGTCGATCCTTAGGGTCCTTCACGAGGCTCCGGCAATTCCAGCTCCTGCTGTGAACTCTCGTAGCGAGCTTTCGCTCGGGACAAGAACCGAGAAGACGAAAGGAACGGGAATAGGCAGATGAGGACGGCGGAGGGAACAGGAGGCAGGAGGAGAGCACGTGACGGGATGCGATGCGATGCGCGGCCCGGTGCGGGGCGACTGTCCGTCCAGTCAGCAGCAGCCGCGTCACTATAGATCTCATCGCGTCGGCTGCAGGCGCTACGTTTTATCCGATCATCAGCACCCTCGTTTCATCGCTTCGTCGGGCTCGTCGTCAGCCTCGGTTGCCCTCGGCGTCCGTGATGATTGGCACCGAGGGCCACCCTGAAAGATAGCACAGGATAATGATGCGCACGGAATGGAAGCCGCGACGCACCCGGCCTCACGATTCCGTCGAATTTTGATTTCCGCGCAGCGAATTTCCTCGCCCCGCTCGAGAGCGCCGATCGATTCGTGCTGCCACTTGTTCTCGGCGACGGGGAAGGAGCAGGAGCTCGGACGCAGCGAGGGCAGGGCAGGAATTGGATTCTTGCACCGCTGATCCGCGGAATATTGTGCGATCGGCATTCGGGTGCGATCGGCTGTCGCGTGCACCGAATGGAAAAATGCGAGCGGTCTGAGCGCTGTAGGTCGAGGGCCGAGGGCGGAGTCGAGGCGCGGTGAGGTGAGGGGAGGGGAGGGGAGGGGTCGAGTCGAGTCGAGTCGAGGGCGCGATGGAGTCGTCGGAAGACAGCAGGACGACGACGAGGATGAACAATCGGGGGGGCGAGTGGGCATCGTCGTCCAGCAGCAGCACCTGCGCATCGGTGCGCGTCACCTGGAGCTCGGGCACGAAGCTCGCGGCGGCGGGCGATTCCGGGGCCGGATGCGGGCCCTGTTCGTCTTGGGAGTGGCAGGCGCTCGTGCCCGGCTGCAGCAGCGACGACGACGACGACGAGGAGATGATGATGGCGCGTGCATTCGCGGGAATTTCCGTGTCCAATTTTCTCAAGGGCGGCAAAGGGCGCCGCGGCAAGGACAAGCACTCGGCGCAATCGGGCTGGCCTCTGCTGCAACAGATGTTTGGGCACGTGGTGGGCGCGAGATCGCGGGCCAGCAGTCTGGTGAAGCAGGTGCTGATTTCTTGTGCCACGCCTTAGCTCGATGGCCGTGTTTTGCTTGATGATCTGAGCGCATGTTGTGTCCAATCTTCCTCGCTGTTCTGGAGCTCGTAGAATCCTGCCGGTGACAACAGCTCGTGCTTCGTACTCACGAGAATCGTCCTTGCATTCGCAGTAGCTGGCCTCTCACACCTCTGCAGAATTTGCCTGCCAGCCAGCTCGATTGATGAGAGTTCATGTTTGTGGGCACCGCGCCCCGATGGATGGTCAGTCCTCTGAGTTTTTCTAGTGGCAGGTGTCGCTGCTGGAACGCGCAGGAATCGGAGCGCTGGCGGGGGGCATCGCCGGAGGGTTCACCAATGTCACTCTGCATCCCATCGACACTGTGAAGACGAAGCTGCAGACGAAGGGTGCTTCTCAAATGTATTCCGGTCCTCTGGACGTGGTGTCCAAGGTGTGTACCGGCATAATACCTGCAGAATTGAGCCCGTTTAGGGCGTCGATGATGAGTGCTTGGGTCGTGGTCTGAAATGCACACCACATGTGCGCAGGTGCTGGCCAGCCAAGGGATTGCCGGCTTGTACAGCGGAGTGCAGGCGGCATTCCTGGGCTCGGTGATGTCGTCGTCGGTGTACTTCGGAACGTATGAATTGGCCAAGGGCATCTTCTCGTCCGTGGCCAACTGGCCCGAGGCGCTGGTGCCTCCATTTGCCGCAGTGCTCGGCAACATCACGTCCTCGGCCATCCTCGTGCCCAAGGAAGTCATCAAGCAACGGATGCAGGCCGGAGCCGCTGGCACGGCCAGGCACGTGTTCATGAGCACGATCCAGAACGATGGCGTTCTGGGGCTCTACGCCGGCTACTCGGCTGCCCTTCTGCGCAATCTGCCGACCAACATCATCAGCTTCTCCACCTTCGTACGTCCGGCCTCCACCATCCAGCTCATGTGATCCTCCTAGGCACCGATTGTGACTGTCACAAACCAGCAAGCTCCTGCACTGCTTGAGCTTTGAGATTGAGTGATTGTGACGTCCTCCTGAGCTACCAATTCTTCGCTCGAAATGTTGATATCATCTCGTGACTGCTCTGCTCTGACAGGAGTATCTGAAGATGGCCTGGCTCTCTGGGTCGGACAAGGTCACGTTGGAGCCATGGCAGAGTGTCATCTCGGGAGCAGTGGCGGGAGCATTGTCGGGGACGGTGACCACTCCTTTAGATCTGGTGAAAACTCGGCTTATGACTCAAGCTCGGGCCCAAGTGTCCATAACAGGGCTGTCCGGGACGAGGGCTGAGGCTGCAGCTCGCGCTCAAGCGGTTGCCGAGTACACGTACAAAGGGGTCGCTTCCACTCTGAAGCGCATTTGGGTCGAGGAAGGCCCCAAAGGATTGATGAAAGGTGTTGGGCCGCGAGCTTTCTACAGCGCTTTATTCTCTGCAATTGGATTCTTGGCCTTCGAGTCCACTCGCCACTTCATCCTCGATAAACATCTTGAACAAAGAGACGCCAAAAGAGAGAAACAAAGGGAGGCAGAGAGAGAGGCACAGTTGACGGCCCTCAAACATGGCTTGTAAATTGAAAATTCTAAAAGCTTGTTAATTAAAAACATTTGCCATCTCTCGTGTCCTCTTTCATACGTGGCGTGCGCTATAAGATGGAGCACGGCAGCGCGCTCTTGCACTTCCTCTCAGAGATGTATTTCTCCCAGTCTACCGACCCTTGGGCATGAAGTGTATAGCAAATGTAGCTATCTAGAAAACATTCACGTAGGACTCTACTTTTTTAGTGAAGGACACGAAAGGCACCATCATATATTCTGCGTTTTTCCACCATCGGTCACGCCGATTGCTCCTTCCTTGCTCCTCACCTCGAAAAATTCTGTCTCCACTCTTTTCACTGTTTCAAGAGGCTAAAATTACGACGGAATCATAGAAACTTAGTGTTACATGTTGTGGTTGAGATGAACGTGCGTGCCGGCTATCAGTGTAGAAGTATAGACGCGATATCGTGCTATCCTGTAGACATTCCTCTTCGGATTTAGACACAGTCTACGCATGTTCCTCTTCATCTTCAGTGGGAAGTCAGAAAGCCTCGATGACAAACCCTCAGCTGACATTCCAGTATTTTGACTTTCATTTTTCTACAACTGCCCTGAGACAGTATGATTATACTACTCTCTACTCTACTCTGCTCTGTTCTGTCCATACGTCTCATAACACCTGAGATATGGGTATGTGAGACACTCATTTTGTCCCGTAAACAGTTCGAGCATAACCTCAGCGAGTAGCTCTGACAGACTGTCAGGGAGTGAACTACTCCAACATTTCTTCGTTGAAAAACGTTGAGTTGATGTTTCCAAGCTTCTGCCACTGCTATATGCAGTTAGCAGTGAAAGTAGGTACTTCGTTGTTGCTATATCACTCCGACGGATGCCATCAGTTTCTCATACTCTGCGTCAACATCCCCTCCGTTACTAGGAGCAGTCGCATTCGATGCAGCTTTGGACTCGTGGCAGGGTGACGATGATCGTCGACTTGAAAGTACTTTTAACTCTGCATTTGGCTGACTCATTCCGACCTTGGGAAGATCAGTGAAGATCTTTGTTAGTGATTCCGTCCCCAGCGTGGACAAACGCTTGCTCGGTGTAGACGAATCATGCAGTTGAGGTGCCATTGCATAAGCTACTTTCAAGGTTGGCTGGCAATCCACTGAGAGAGTGTTGGACGGTTTTGGAGGTGGATGGGGTGAGCAGTTGTCTTGTTGCTGATTCCGGACAGCGGTCGGTAAAGGTGGGGGTACGAGAGAGGTACACAATGCTCCCAATTGAGGGTAAGTGGAGAAACTGGTTGAGTCAGCGATTGGTTGAGGAAGAGTTGACGACGTTGGAACTGGATCCGAATGGGAAGGATTACTCTGAGAGGGAAGACCCTGAGTTATGAAATTTTCATACTGAATGGGTAAGGGCATCGGCACCGTGTGTGGAGCAGGTCCACCTCTCCATACGAAAGATCGTCGGCTTGGTTCTGGTCCGTCTGCTTGGGGTGGACACGAGACAAAATGCGGTTGCCAGGGCGGATGTAGCTTTGTCAGCAAAGGAGGTCCACTCCAAGTAGTTGTTGACTCCCAAGGCTTCCGTGCTCCTTCCCACGGTGCTGAGGTAGACTGATTGAATATTGATGGCGGTATCGCGGGACATTTCTCATTCCAGCCTTGAACACAGTTTGGCTGATTTAAGAATGGCTGTGGAACTGTGGGAGATTTTTCTTTCCAACCTTGCTCATGGGACATCTGCCATGGAGCAAGAGCGGCCTGAGGTGGAACTCCCCTTATCCACGGTGCTATTTGGGGTCGAGGAAGATGATGGATATCCCAAACCACTGGAGCATTAGCTGCATTTACAGGTGGAGAAATCTGAGCCTGCTTCCAATGACTACCTAAAACTGTCGAAGCTTCTCGGTGAGCGCTCTTGAAACTTTGGAACTGACCGGGCATGCTCACGAGTCCAATACTGGGTGTATGGGCACAGTTAACAGATCCAGATCCAGATCCAGATCCAGATCCAGCTCCGTTGTCTGGCAAAATCTGGATTCTGTTCGTAGGAACTCCATCTGGTCTCGTATGAAAATATTGCGTTGCTGGCAGGCCTCCGAAATTCACGCTCATGGAAGCTGACGCACATCCTTGGTAACTTGATGGGACAGAAGAATGGGACATTCCAGGATGTGGAAAACTACTAGAGGGCACGGAAAATCCGTACTGGGCGGGGTGTCTTTGAAACACCCCAGGGAACGGCCCGTCAGCTTCACCTCCTTGTGGCAGGTTGGCCCTGCCTTCGAAATTGTTGGTGAAGGCATCACCCTGTGGCCATGAAGGTGGTGTATGTTGAGGTTGGCTAAGGCCCATCATACTTGGATGTGGTGTACTGATCACATCCACCAGTTGATTCGGATCCAGAGACGTAGAAATGGGAGCGATTCCCAAGGGGGGTACTGTCGGTGTTAGGCCGGACTGACTGCTCTTTCCACTGGTATCTTCGCCAATTGATTTAGTAGACAAACCTGTAGTTGATACTACACCAAGCCCGTGACCGAGCTCTTCCAAGAAGCTAAGATACTCCTTATCCAGAACCTTTACCTGCGGGTGTTTCAGGGGTGGAAGATGTCATGCTCGACGAGAGCTAGGCAACTGGTCAAAAGTCATGAATCAACGAGAGCTAGACCAAAAACCATTCAACTCTTTACGAGATGCCAGCCAACATTAATTAAGACTACTGAACGCATGGTGTTTCGGAACGTACAATTCGGGAATTATTACCTGTCCAGCTTGTTTTTTCAAACAATCGATTGTTGGATGGCCTCCATTCCCACAGATTTGGCAGTCAACCTACAAAAACCAGCTCCCTTGTTTCAGATTAAAAGTCCTGAATGAGAAGACAAATGATCATGTTGGTAAGATGATAAGTGGTCTCTCCCGCTTATCGCTTTCAGTATGGAGCATACTGTAAACTGATGTCCCCACAGGATGTCTACTGATAAAACTAGGTCTGATTGCAGATTCTGTGATGAGAAATGGATGTATAAGCCATGATTCATGTTTCAACTAGGATAATCCACTGTCAGATACGTAGCCTATATGGATAAACTTACCTTGGCATGGAATGTGACGAACTTGTCTTTCGCACAGTGCCACTCTCTATGACCTGTTTCTCCACATGTGCGACAAGCCTTCGAAAAGTCACGCATGGTTCCTAGAGAACGAGGCAGCAAGCAGCTCACTCAGTCTTTACTATGAGTGCGTTCGACTATAAAACGGGGTATAGTAAGCCCCCGTATGAGATTCATTCGTTTTAAGATGATCAAGAGACAGCGGAACAATAATTGTCGGATGACAACCTTTAAAACTGAACGGGATGTGGTCTAGGCCTGAATTTCTTTCCCCCATTTGATTTCGAATTTCCTCGAGGAAATTTATAATGGAGCAAGCATTGACAAGATTAGCAGAAAACCAGGGTCTTTCGTGTAGTGAACTGATGAGACGAACACTACGAGAGCTTAGTCAGCACAAAGGTAGTAAAGAATATCGGACGGCAAATTAAACTTCATCTTCCTGCGTACCATTCATTTCCGCGAGCTCCCTTAACTGCTTTCGCTTGTGAGTGTTTCTGTCCTCCTTGACATCCACGATTGAAGTCTCAGTTGAGGAGATATGTGAATAGAAAGTTTTTATCACAAATACCTTCGACCGGACTCTACTGCTCAAACAACAACATTGCGGTTCACTTCTGGACATCTTATGCGTTTCATAACGCATTGAAAACGGAGAGACGGTACAACAAGATGCACAAACGGCACAACTCATTCCCTACATGTCTCCGCAGAAATTCATATTTGGAAACTTGTACTGGATAGTAGAGTGAATTGTGATGAATTTGGTGCCACCATCCGCAGTACCCGAACAGGAGGTAACCTAACATCAACTGGCCTTACATCAACTGGAGTTAACAGGGGTTCGACGAGAGCTACTGCAGCATCCACTTTCTCGACAGAATCAGCCGTGATGTGCACATGAAGGTCTTCAAATGCACCTTCAGCCTCCTTGCAATCACGTCGTCCACCCTGTAAACGAGCGGCATTACTCTTCTGGCACATATATGATGAAGTTTAGAGTTAGATACGACTCCTTTTGGACATGGACAATCGAAAGCTTTAGAAACACAAAACTCTTGCATATTACTTCAATTTTCAAAGACCGACAGAAGGTTATGAAGACGACTAAGAAAATAAAAACGAGAGTTTAGCTCTCACGTTACTCTTCCCGTCCATTACGACAACCTGGGTAGAAAAACCAGAGAGCTCCGGGTCATGGAGATCTCATGGACATACAACAAAGGGGGCACTGAAAATCAGGCACGGATTCTATTGAAAAGAGGCTAAAAAAAGGCATCCATCGAAACAGGAAATATGACATATCCGGTATCCCTGTGAGGTACAGGTGAAGAGTTTTAAGTAAGTTGCGTCCAGTTTTGGGCATGCGTAATCAAAGACCACTTCCCCTTGGGTTTGTACAAGAAACAGTCGAGACAGTGATAGACATGTGGTCAGCAAGGGCTGAAAGATGGAAGGGAAGACAGACCAAACTGTTAGCGGAGACGAACTTTCCGATCTTCAAGTTCCACAATCGACTTACAAATCAATCCAAGCGGGTAGAAATTAGAATGAACAGGAGTATTCACAGCAATCGAAAACACAGAGAAGCAAGGCAACTGACGGTTAATAAGGTCTCAAAAATTTCAGACTCCTAAATCCCCTGTTACTAAATTGTATCCATCTAAAAGTCTGTTGCGGGGAATTTACCTTGCCTTCTTTCACAGCTCCTCTTCCTCTTATTGCAATCCTTGACCCAGTTTCCTACAATGTCCAAAATAGAGCTTCGTTCGTCACTACACACTTCCGCTTGCGAACGAGGCATTGCTCACAGCACACCTGGTCAGAAGCCTCGCATCAAGTGAACCCACGGAGAGCAGGCTGAATCTGATTTTACAACCATACACCGTGTGATATCCTGGACATGCATTTAGTTTAATACAAGTGTTCCGTTTAGAGCTTTTCTAGGAAGTTTATGAGGTCGTAACACACCGCCTCCAACCGCTTTTGGGTGTTTCCACGAGGACCAAGGATGAGCCCAATGAAGTTGTAGCCCGGATAGTCTTTCACCTACCCATCACCCACATGTCCTCTCCTGTCATCAACAGTTTCGATCCTAATTTCTCTCGTCGGGGTAATCCTATTATACTCTTTCACTTCTATGATCCGCAGGAAAAGAATGCCTGAACATTGTAAAAAGATGTACCAGGTTTGGCACAAACCACTCACTGGTATGTATAGCTTAGCCTCCTTGTACACAGGCTTGTACCCAGAGGGAGGTTTGTAAAATGGATTCAGTTGCAAACAATCACCTGGAAACGTAGACACAGCTGTATGAGAAATTTTCGACAATGTGAGTAATATGACAGTTCGATCTGCAGCGCCAAATCAAGAATGAATGAATGGAAGACTGGTTGTCCATACCAATGGCTTCTCTTCTTTCTAGCTCAAGCTGCTCTCTCCTCCTTCCCTGAAAACGTTAATGCAGACGATAGCATGATGGTTGCTTCCTCTAAAATATTTTCATGGTGATGACCTTCATTGAGATGCGAGAAAACACTTTGGAACGTCATACGTGGAAATGTGATGCATGAGATCGCTCAATTATACTGCCTCCAAGGATCAAGAGGTAAGACTTGGTTGATGTGCTATGATGAGTTATTATGACGATGGTTTGATTCAGTTCGACGCTTGATATGTATCATGATTGGCTAGGTTGTATCCTTCAAGAGACAATTAGCAAAACACACCATTCAAGGATCACCTCTCGAGTGTTGGTCCTTTGACCGTTGGAGTCATAAACCGGAGGTGGGGAGGGGGACCGGGTGCCCTCATTTAAATCAACATCCAACTGACCAGACTCCAGCTGTGCAGCGATCTGCTCGGCCCGAGTCTGCTCAACATTGTTACCAAAAATAGAACACCAGCCATGTCACTTAGACCCGTCACCTGGAAAAAGAGGGGTTCACATGAGGAAAACTGCAAAGCAAAGAGACGATGAGCACTGATCTCACGTCTCTTGCAAAAAAAACTTATCGAAGTGCAAGCCAGAAAAATTCCAACTTCAGGCTGAAAGAAGTACCACGCTACTGAGCTAATTCCAGCCGGACAAGTTCAACCGCAAAGCACTACTCTACTTTGCGCCTCTTTCATTTCTAGACAGCGGAAGACTCTCGGAACAACTTGCTTTGTTTCCCACAAGACAGAAAACCAATCCGAGTTGAAGGGCTAGTGTGGGCACTGGTTGGTTCCATGTTTGCTGTACCTGCAAAGCAAGAGCTCTTCCTCTTTTCACAGCTGGATCCTGTGTAAGATCGACTCCCCATCTGGTTTTTCTCTGATGCACCAAAAACTTCAAGTCATCTTCCCTTTTCACTTCATTTACTTCCCACTTCGCCGCACTTGTTCGCACCACAGGAACTAGGGCACCGGATAACTTATTCTTGGGTATCACAAAGCTCACTCCGGCTTTGGCTGCTGCTAAAGTTGGCTTCGGACTCTCCCCGACACCTGATGGACATGTTAAACTGTTGCCCGAATTTGAATGTCTAAAACTGTCGTCCGGCTTGTGCAATGCCTTCTCTGGCGATCCATCTCCAGGGTGCAAAGCCATTTTTTCTGCGGTGGTACTTGTATTTCGGAGCTCTTGCCTCTTCTAATGGGGCTTCAGTGACTCACAGACAGATAACTGTATTGAAGCATCGATCCACTAACCATATAATGGTCGTTAGAGTGTAGCTTGGGAGCAAGAGCCATGTTTAAAGAGGTGCGAATCAGCCTACATCCAAGAGAAATCCTCGGAAGGCTTAAGTGTGTTACTTCGGAGTACAGATCGCGAAAGTACTAGGAACCGACAAGCCTCAATGACAACAGATCAGGTTGTGAGAACTAGAAACTCGAGGACTCATCAACGAGCAAGCTATCAGGGGATCTCCAATGTTGGGCTCAAGTCACAGAAAAGGGTAGTGTATGAAAGATTGGAAAATTCAATTTCTGGAAAAGGTGAGATATATGCGTTCGTGTTTGCAAGACCTCTGAGTAAAGATTGTAGGATGAACGCAAGGTACATGAGACGATGGGTCCTGATCTGTTGACTGCGGCATGAAGTTATGACTACAAACTCAAAAAGGATGTCACGAGGGATGCCCCTCTACTACACCGTAACAATCGATCCAACATCCAGATATACTTTGGAAGCTAGATATCCAAGGAGGCAGCACGTGATACTTCAAAAACTCTCGCTTCCCATCACCATTTGTGTCCATCGAGAGCAAAGACTTCCAGCACAGGCAGTTGCGTAACAGTTTCTCCCCTTTAGCATCCGATCCCTCATGGCCACTTCCTTCGCAGTCTCATCCTTGAGGCGTTCCACTTCGATTCTCTTATTCCTGGGAAAAGGACAAGAGGAATCGAAGTGGAATGACTCAGGGATGCGGCCGATTCGTGTTCTCGTTCGAGTGCCGTGAGCTGCACATGCATGACATACTCTAAGTTCATTCGCATCGTTCGAGCTTTCAATGAGTTCGAAATGCGAATAAGGCTGCTGCGGGTTTCGCAAGACAGACACACAATTAGTAATGGGACATCACACCTTCGGCAGTACGCGAGTGATCAATTTTCAGGCGAGATCGCACGAGCAGACGTTCCTGTCAGGATAAGCTTACAGCTGTTCTCGATTTCACTGTCGCTCGTATTTCATGAATTATCGACGGTTAGGGAGGTCCGATCCGATCGCCTGCTTATATTCGAGGCATCACAAGCTCGGCGCAGAGAGAAAGACAGAGTGAAATCTTGTGGTGGCCTCAGAGTTATCTGCAGTGACTGACAGCTGCATGCTTCGCAATGCTGAAGTAACAGAAACTCCACGTACTTCTCAACCTGTGCAGTCAGCCGCTTCACGACTTGCATACATTAGTTTCGGCAGAACTGAACTCGTACGTTTCTGTGTCGGCTCAGATCCCTAGCCCCTTGAACGACCCTCCTTCTTCAGATGTGACCCGAAGTAGAGCGAGAAAGCGCCCCGAGAGCAACAGATTTTCCGTGGAGCAGGGCTAATGCACGAGAAAGGGTCTGCGAGGAAGCAGATCCGGAAGCTCGATGGCTGCAAAAAACTCACTCGACGAGCCCGGCCAGAGAATCGGACGAGACCGATCGACGGAGCTTCAGACATCAATCGAGCCCCAAGAGCCCCATCCCGCCTCCAATCGCCTCGTCCAAGCAAGCAAGCCAAGAAGTGGGACGAGGGACATTAATCTCGTAGGGACCCGACTCCCGTTGGCTCGCAGGCTCCCTGGCCGGCTAGCTCGTCGAAGAAGCAGGAATCGTATGCCATTCCCGTCCTTCTGTCGACGTCCCACCTACAGTCCAGTCCTGTACAGCAGCAGTCAAACGTGTGGTCAATACGGTCCATACGCCACGAACGACGATCGTCGATGGATTGCGACCTCATTCCTCTGCTCGCATACCGACCGTACGTCGTGTTCCGCATGCACTGCAGCCTCTCTCTCGCCTGAGTACGCATATATTATACATTATACTTCACTCCCCTTACACATACTGTTTTCTAATCTCCTCTACGCTACTCTACGCTCGTCGCGTAGCGGGGCGATGTATTTATCAGCATCGTTTATGATTTTAAATGGCGAAAAATTGGCACGCTCCCGCTCTTTACACGCGCGAGAGCCATGCAATGTAACCGAAGCAAATGGATGGGAAACGGACGTACGGACGGACTTCCAGCCTCCACACCGCATCTCATGACATTCCATTACGCTACGGCGTATGAAACGTCCAGATCCTGAGAGTAGCAAAGGCTCTAATAGCAAATGTCTAATAACGCCCGGTGAAGTAAAATGCAGAAATGGCTAAATGTAAATGTCTAAATGTAAATGTAGGGCCTGGTTGGTCGAACTTTCAAATCTGGCTAGCGTCGGATTTTTTGTTAAAGGCTTGCTTGCGCCTGTAACAAATGGACAAGTGCTGATTATGCGTGAAATGCAGAAGCTGGTGTAAATTTGAGAGGTCAGCTGCATCTTAGGGTTGGGATGGTGTACATGAGCATCTACTCTTGACTGAGGAAACAACTATCGCTACCCCCAACAAACTCTAGAAGTTTCAGCAGCGGACTCCAAGTGTGAACAACTTGGAACGAGGAATGTGTAAATTTGAGCTGGTTGACTTTAGTTTCAATTTTAGATTATTAAATTGATTTGAGCTGGGCATATTAATACAGGGGGGCATAGGTAGTTGATGATGGTTATGTTCTGGTTACAAATTTGAAGTAAAATATTTGCCTCAGCTGGACGAGTCTGGAAGGTCCGCGCGAAGACAAGAAAGAGAGAGAGTCCTGAAAGTGCTGTTTGGTGCATGAAAGGAGTTTGGTAGGGCCTGGCAAACGTCAGGCCTGCGTTCCAGTCTGAGCACAAAGTTGGAGAGGAGCCATTGTGTACGTGGATCCGTTTCAGGTGAATGAATCGGAGCCCTCGAGCCTGCCGAATGTTCCGCCACGCTTCAATGCAGGACTTTGATTAGGTGACTGCAATAGCGAAAATTGCTCCGCGCCGAAATTAGGCCTCACAGCAAAATGTAAACCACGGAATGAAGAGGGCTTGCTTGATGATTCAGACTTATGTTTTCTGTTATATATACAATGTTATATTCTACTGAAAGAACCAAGATAACAAGACTGTGATCAGGCAACCTATGACTGCGGACCCAAGAGCACACTGGACGGCATGTACTAGGTGCCTGAGCTTATCCGGCAACGTGATCATCACTAACATTCCTGTTATGTGCGATACACTAATTAATGTCGCATACTACAGATTAGACTATAGGTTCTGTTCACATTCTCGGGGTTTTATCGAAGTTTTAATAGTAGAATCGGTTATCTACATTCAGTTTGCTTTGTTCGCCTTGGGAATGTGGAGGACGGACTTGCTATCTGATTTAAGGACCTTAGAGCCTTTAAATAATTAAGCCATCACGCAAGTTTTGCCGACAGACCGGATCTTAGAAGTAGCATGGACAACAGAAACCGTGGAAAGGAGGGGGATGTGTCCACATGCAGATAGCGAAGGCCGACAACGGCGACTTTTGACTTGTGGCTTTTCCGGTGGAATCAGTGAGCCAGCAAGTGTCAACCCAATGCGTAGATGAACACGTTCTCTCCGCTTCAAATGTCTCTGGCTCGTGAGGTGATTTGGTTTTAGACCCACTGTGCGCTTTTCGGAGAGACTGGGGTTCTTGACTTGGAAATACGCCAGACTCAATGGAACTCGAGAGTTCATTGCATGGTTATACCATGGCCTAAAATTTGAAGCTACATCACAATGCACACCATCCACGTGACATGCGACGCTTATCCACAGGAGATTCACGGTCTTTAACAAGGATAGCTCCACCTCATATTCGTGGTTACTAATCCTACCGTAAAGGTGGGATTTTACAGTACTTAAAGCTTTGGCGAGCCCAAGGCGACATGTCAACTCGAGACAGACTACTTCGCCTGGAGCATACCAGGACAAGGTTGACAATGCCACAATACCCATGGAATTCCACCTGCAGAGTTGAGGAAACTGATCCAGCAAGCTCACATTCCACACTGTTATCACCAACAAATCGCCAATATAATATACTCGATGTGTCAAGCTGACCAACTAATCTAAACGCGCCTCAAAGTCTGTCAGTTCTGAATACTCTTGAAATTGTCCCTAGCGGACATGAATGATGCAACTTCAAATAGATGTTTGCCTCAATGAAACTCACTAGCTTCTCAAATGCGAGATAACGCCAGTGGCTGCATCTCATAATCGACAGTTATACATTACAGTAAGGGGAAACCCATAAAGGTCTCAGCTACAGCCTGGGATTTCCAACACATTACCACCAGAGCGGCACAGCATAGAATGAGTGTATCCCAGGCTCCTCACTGCTCCAGTTGGGGCGATCAGGTACAGCTCCATTCTCTTATGTGAAGCACAGATCCCTCCCTCAAAGTTCATCGCATCCTGGTGCGGCATTATGCAATAAAATCTTCACCGGTTCACTTAACTTACCTCTCCCAACCGGCATGGCTCGGAGGCTTCAGTTGTTTTCTTGAGGGCACCCTGGCAGCTCACTTGTGGGAATTGCATTCCCAACTGTGTCTACCACGTTCGCTGATTGCTTATAATCAGCCTGTACATCAGATAAGAAGCAGAAAGGACCCAGGCCTCATGAACAAACATCTACCGTCGCTTCCGGAAGCGGGTTGGCATGGTTCAAAGAATTCTAGGTCCGACCAGGAAAAAATAGGAGAATAATAATGTGATATTCACTTGAAGGAAAAATTCCGCGAGTAGGTTCGAGACGAGGGGGAGGGTTCATCACACAGGCACTCTTGAGGATTCGAGTAGAAGTAGTCCTCCTCTTTCGGTCTACCAGGGACTACTCGTCTTTTCAACGGGGAGCCCATTCGGCCTTCATGGACTTGCCTGACAGCAAGCGAAAACTCATCCCACTGCAATTGCTTGCTTTCATACGCATCCAACAACTCGACCAGCCTTTTCCGATCCAAGAGGATGGTTGTCCGGAATCCAAGATATCTGCACGATCGCAACACCGTGTTACACACATTTGCGATAAGGAGGTCATAGCAAGCGGGCTGAGCTCGCTCATACAATCAAGCTAGTTGACAAGTTCCAACGAGCGGTTGGTTGTTCTTCTTAAGTATGACTGGGAAACCATCCCGCTACGGAAGTTACAAGGTAGTGGTTAGAAGATCGGGCCTGCGTCATCGATTCAGTTACCGACCAAAGGCAGAAGTATAAAACCTTTTGAGTCAGAAATGTAACCTCAGGAAGCACACTCACGATCAGGGCTGGGGTACAAGGTGAATGAAGGCCTTGAGGAAGGTAAAAGAAATGATTGAAGCGTTACTGGAGTGACCTACCTGCGATGACCTTCCACGACTTTCGCCATATTACCATCGTATGTAGGAATGAAGACATCGCTTGCCAACGAAACCAAATAATCAAGACTTGCCATCTGTGATGAACGATTTACAAAGGGCCTCAACTCCTCCTTACTCAGAAGCATCTCCTTCCGTACCTGCAGGTCCGTTGATTGACTCAAACTCAGTATCTTCGTGGAGGCCTCGTTACGCCCTCACGACAGCACATACACAACTCGAAACAAGTAATCAACACAAACAAATCTGCTGCCATGACGTGTACATGGATGAGAAGCAAAGAAGGTCACTCACCACATTGGGAAAAGCTGCATGCAAAGCCGCCATCCTTCTGTCGCTACCGTAAATTTCGCCAGCGGCGATGTAAATTTGGGTGTCTCGGTCATAGCCCAAAGCTCTCAAGATTAACGCGGTCTCTTCTGGTGTGAGCGGACAGAAGCCATCTTTTCGTTTTTGATCAGACAAAATTACCTTCTCTTTCCACCAAGGATAAGCGTACCTGCAGAACACCTTATGCCTGAGATAACTGCAGACCCGACAGTAAAAAAAGACATGCAAGTCATGAAGAGAAAATGAGAAATGAGTAACAACCTAGGTCGACGGGCACATGATATAGGAGTCATGCGAGATTAGACCTATTGAGGAGCATTACTGGATACCATATTTGTTTCAGTCCTGTCAAGGGGAAAAACGCTCGACCACATGAACAACCTAAGAAGTGTTGGCGGGCAATATCCAACCTCATTTTGGTAAGTTGGTCAGCTTCCTCGTCTGTACAACCATGCGTACATCCAGAAAATGCCAACATATCCATCTCATAACGAAGATGCAGTACAAGAAATGGGCCCCTCCCACGAAGAATTTGCACCAATCTTCGACCTAATTCTTCAATGCGAGGAGTAAATCGAAGAGCGTGATAATTTACATGGCAACGCAGCTTTTGCATGGCCAACGGAAGGCCATTGTTTGCCAAGCGGGAGTCTGTTTTATTCAGTCGCACAACTTCGTACTTCTGAACAAGAGGTAAGATCTGCTCGACAGAACGGAAAGCCAATTATTAGGAACGGAAAAGCGGTTACATGTTCAAGCTGCGTTGTGATGATGAAGAGAAAAGTCGTTATGCCGAGCCAATTAGATACCTGATTCGAGTAGTATGTTTGATTAGACCAGCTCACTGGAGGCAGCCCAAAGTAATTCCCCTCGGCTACCATCCTGGCATACTCCTCCGGAAGCTCCCTGACGATGTGGACATCATCCTTTAGGGATGAGATGAAGTGATCCACATCGAATATATCTCCAAAATCACTGAAATAGTCATTGCCATTCAAATTAGTAGACATTACTGCTTCTCACGCACCGCTTTCTTCGAGCGCGATACAAATGTGGTAATAAAGCGAATATCTTAGAACATACTTTCACCCTCGAAGCAAAAATTTGGGGCACTGATTTTCTAATTAAGGCTGATCACATTCTCGACTGAAGCTTATTTTACAGAAAACTCGCACACATGGAAAATCTTTACCTTGGATCTGCCCAAAACGAGGTTTTATCCAGCTCAGGAAGTACCAGCGTGACGTTCATGTGTTTAGAAATTGCAACCATGTCACAAATCTGCCATTCACAATATCCAGTGTGTCAACTCGGCAGTGTGATCTGCGCAAGTTCCCGCATTCAAACAAACTGGAAGACGTAAAATTCGAGCGAACAGAACTGTGAAGAGCGTATTTCAAACTGATTCCAGGTAATACAACGCATGCAATCAGGCATCTGAGGGCCCAGGGAGGAGACGATTCATACCGCAGCCCTCATTTGATTAAGGCCCCCGTTACATGACACCATAAGGAATCCGTTGCTTTTGTACAGTCCTACAAGTGAAACAGGATGTGAGAAAAGGCCCAAAATGCCAGGGCTCCTCGATGCAATTGCTCCCTTCCAGAGGTTCCCTCCACCTTTACGGATCAGACATAGCTTCAGACTCATTCAAAGAAACGGTCGACAGACCTATTCGGCATGCCCGGAGTTCATGCCGTTTTTCTAACAGGACCTGACAACTCGTTACAGGGCCGATCGAGGATGCCAGAAAGTCCTGCCGCCTGGCTAGACTTCCGGGACAAGAATGGAAATCGCAACCATTTTGGAAGGTAGGCGAGGGTGAACTTACTGGAAGGGGAGTAAGGTGAAGTAGTAGATTGACTCCGTACTGGGAGGGGCGGATGAATCTGCTCGAAGCACGAGCGGAGCATTTGCGGTTGCCATATGTCTTTCAACGTCGTAAGCTGAATGAGGCAAGTCCACAGGAAAATGCTGGTACTGGCACGAATGAACCACACCTGCATGCGGGATCTAGGTAGCATCGGTGGCTTCACTTTACCAGCTTTCAACTGTCCAGCCAGAGATTTCAAGTCCACCTCCTGCCACCACTCTTTCGATTTCCCATTACTGGTGGAATGACTCGGTATTCCCCCCTTGAGCATGGCTCCTGTCTTCCGAGTTCGGGTAATAACCGCTGCATACCCCCCCTCCAATGAAAATCTTCAAATTAGGCATCCACCATAAAGCGTCGAAGCACGCGTCGGGTCATCGAGAAGTCGCAGCGGATGTACGAGCGGGGAGATTCCAAAATCTTTACAAAACCGAGTGTCGGCAATCCGAGGCAATGTGTGGGGCCAAGCCCGTGTCGCGGATCAAGGTCCAGGGATGCTGGACAGAACCTGTTCCTGCTCGCGTCCGAGGACTAATTCCTCCGAGCATCAATTGGTGAGGATCTAGTCCAGGCAACTACCTCGACCACTACACAGAGGGCGATCGTCCACAGTCGCCGCACGGGCTCTGTGTACCAATTAATCTGATCCTGGCTTATGCTTTCAGCTGCATTATACGTTATCGCCTCCGCCTGCCTGCTGCCACCACATATCTGCTCTCATCCACAAGAAACGCACACTGTATTGTGTCTGCCGAGCCCAATCCCCCACGGCCGCACCCTGCAATCCATCACCATTATCCTCTCTCTCTCTCTCTCTCTCTCTCTCTCTGTACCCTTCTCCTCGCTATTGTCCGAAATGAAGGCTGCCACTGACAACAACAAGCACACTAGACTCGCTGGCCCCTGTGTTGCCCCTTTCGTCTTCTCGTCGCTTCTCTACTCTACTCTACAGCAGCAGCGGCAGAGGAACAATGCAGTGCACACCTCTCTCCCTGCCTCCTGCTCCTCCCTTCGTCCCTCCCTCCCTCACATGCGCTCCGTCCGTGTCTCTCTTGCCATGGTCGTCAAAACATGCGACAATCCGTTCACTGCCTGCCTGCCTCGGTTTACCTCTCTTGCTCTCTCTCTCTCTCTCTCTCTCTCTGCTTCTCGCTGTTCTGAAGAGTCTTCACAGGACCATCGTCGTCGGCCCAGCTGCACTCCTCTCATTCATCATCACTACAGCTACTGCTACTTCTACTCCTCTCTTCTCTTCTACGACTAGAACTACTACCTCCGCATCCTCCTCCTCCTCCTCCGCCTCTACTTGTGCTGATGGTACAATCCGCACAGTGGCACTACTGATGCTCGACCACAGTCAGGAACCCCACACCCACTTGTTCTGGGTCCTCCTGCAGCTCCGCTGGTTTCGATGTCTCGACATGAAAGACCGACCACTCCAATTCTGCCGGGCTAAGTTAACGGCAATTTCCGCTCACTCCTTGGTCGCCCTGCGCCAGTCGTCGTCGTCGTCGTCGTCGTCTGCACTGCACTGCCCTGCGCTGTTCACAATCCTCTGTTCAGATAGAAAGAATCTGGCAACTCCATCTTCACTGTCAATTCGCGCATCCGACGATGGCTGCGCACGCAAGCAGACTCCGCTCAAAGCGGCCGACGATGTGCGCATCTGACGGTCGACATTCTTATCGGATTCTTCTCATGCGCCTACATCTTTCTGAGGGAGTCGGTCCTCTCCTCTGACACACGACATGCATCCTCATCTCGCCCCCGAATTTGCCCGCCGTCCTTTCCCCTCGGCCACTCTCGCCCTCGACCTTTGCCCGGCTCTCGCTCGCAGGCAGACATGCCGGAACGGTAATGCTCGTCTCGTCTCCCTCGTGCCAGTAGGCGCCGTCGCGCTGTCAGAGCCTCCTCTCTCCACCGACGTCGCAATCATGCGACGAGATGGTTCGAGGCCACGGATCGACTAGCGCGACGAAGACTGCCATCGGCGGGACCTTGAGCCCCAGGGCCAATGGTATACTTCGTAATGCAAGCCACCGGCTGCGTGCTCTGCTGACGAGAGAGGGCCCGCGTGTGACCAAGCACCTACCCACGCCGTCGCGGGTAAAATAGCGCGACGCCAAGCTGGCGTCGGAGCCAGCGAGCAGTCCCGACAGCGAGGCTCTATTTGTGGATGTCCAAAGCTGGAGCCAAACGACACGCCGAGGGAACAGAGCTTCTCCTTATATGGAGGAGCGGATAGGCCCAGAGCGCAGGGCTCGTTGGGGCTTGGCGACGGAAGTGACGCACTTCCTCCTCCGCAAGTGGCTCGCTGGCTGCCTGCTACATCATACGATGCGACATACTGTACTGTATGGTCCTTTTGCGTATACGATGGGAGCATCCTACGGCCCCGAAGAGCCCAGCCACTGGTGACTGGACTCGACTCCGCCTGCCCTCGCTGCGTGCCCGAGGTCACGGAACCCTCTTCTAACGAAATGCCATCCGGTACAGTCACCGCCGCTCATGCACTCGAGTAAGAGAGAGAGAGAGAGCGAGAGGGTGTTGCTTGCACATGAAGAGTTTGCTTGCAAATTTGAAGAAGTGTCAACGGGCTGAGCTGGACTGGAATGATCGGATGCTGCAACATACAAAATAGAGGAGAATCTCGTCTCATCATGCAGCAGTCTTATGCTTCAATCGTCATGTACACAACAGTTGCAATGATTCAACGGAAAGAGTTCTCCCTGGTGACATCACTTAACTCGTCGAGAAAGGTACTGCCTACGATGCAACCATGGATTCCAGTGAGTTTTCTCAAGTTTCTCGGAAGATACCGGAGCAGCTGTCGAACAAGTATCGGATGTGAGGTTAGACCTTGGGCCTTCCTTTCTCCGGGCAATAAGCCTAGGTACCTCGACTACATCAAAGATGCGAGTGTGAAGCATCGACGAGGAGAAGCTTTGTCTCCCAAAGTAGAAACTGTAGGAAGTTTTGTATTGAAGCTCATCGATGACAGATGTCGACCTCTAGACTTCTGGAGATGTTGCGGAGACTCTTCAGCCTGGCCTGAAGAAAGCATCTGTTGAGAAGATTCTGACCAGCCGATGAGACAATGGCCAAATACATCAAGGAGTTTGGGAAGCAAAACATGTACCGTACCTGGCCAAGCAGGATGAGACGAAATTCCAAATACAGAGCACGAGGGAACCAATTGACAGCTGCAGCGCGAAACAAAACTCCTCAAAATCTGCTTTCGACGAGCTCGGAGCGGAACTTCACTCTGAAAAAGCCATCTCACAGACAAGTCAGATCAAGCAGGAAAAGGAATTCTCTTACAAATATGATTCCCGGTCCAGAGGCCGAGCTGATCGCGCAGAAATGTGGAGCTACCTCGGCCACACCCAAAGTCAGGCGAAGATCGAGAGCGCTTACACCTCAAGGCCCAATTGTGGCGAATAGAATTAAAATGTTCAGGAATCCCTCTCCGGGATACGACCCAATTCCCAGAAACCTTAACGAACTCAATGAGTTAGGAAGGAAGGTGGATAGATACATTAAAGCTGATCAAAACGACAGAGGTCTCGCAGCTTGGGCTGCTCGCTTCCCACCTACGAAGCGGATTATTGACTGCTCATTCAGAAGAAACGGAGGCTCCCATCCAGTTCCCAGTGTCATTTCCACTCGTGATTACCTATTTATAGTCGGATCTAGGAACCAATGTCACACACACTGGGTCTTCAGGCCTCTCGAGACAGTCCTTTGGTCATGCGGAGACATGTACGAAAATTGTCTCGTCATGATACAAAAGGTAGAAGTGTTGTGTAGACAGTACGGCCCTTGGGGGTGGACGCATCATCATCGACCAGATGATGAAGCTGGACAGGAGGGGGGCATGCCTCCTGATCCACCCAAGGAAAATGAAGGCGCGAGGCCGGAGGAGCTACCAGAGGACAGTGCATCAGAAGAGTGTTTCGGAGAGACGGGGGATGCTGACCTCTTTGTTGCGATGACAGCTGAATGAGGAGTGTTTTCTTTTGTCCTCGACCAGCTCTGTGAGATTTTGCGCGGAAGTCAACCCAGAAAACAAGATCTGTTGATCTGGACGAATGTGCCCCAGCTGATCCATGAAGCTGGCCAGCACCAAAGCAAAGGCCACAGAACACGCACAAAAATCGCACCAGATTATACTTCCGAAAAGGCGAAAAGGTTTAATTAACTTTTTCCAGCTTTTTGTGAACTCCAGCTCATCGACCGACCACATTTTGTAAGCTCAGCCATCGACGACAACATGTGCTTGCCTCGAGCTCTTCGTTTTCTTCTTCTCATTTACTGTTCCCCAAACTTAACCATCGCTTATCCCTACACACATTATCCTCGAACTCCTAGAACCTAGCCAACCGGAGACCAGATCAAAGTCAAAATCGATCCCCAAAATAGTACTCTAATCTGCGCAGAGATGGACCTCATAGCATCCCAAACTTGTCACGCCCTCCGAACAGTGTCCGAAGGTTCGAACAAAGCTGACCTTATTCGTTGACGTGGCAGCGGGAGTCCTATTTGGCAGCGTGTTTACCCTCCACTCGAACTACGTGTCGCGGGGGACACAGGATCCCAAAGTGTAGGTAGAGACGTTTGGACCCCAATTTCGAGTCAATACATACATTTTTGGAAGATGCATCGGCCAAGGTGGTTCACGGGGACAGCGACTGTAGGAGTAAAGGCTCCTTCGGCCTTCTTCTGGTGGACTGCTGTGCGTAACGTCAACATCGTACATCTATAAATATGTCACCAGTTGTCTTAAATCACACAACTAATCTGAAGCTTGCACCTCAAAGATGACCACATTTAATACATAGGTTTCACTGTTATTTGGAAACCCTGGATGAGTTTCATATGTTTCAAACTGTAGATGCTCTTTTTCATCTTGATTACCTAAGACAACCTCTCCAATGCTATAGGTTTTTTTATATTCCTTCGTAACCTTCTCTCCAGAATTGATTGTTTTCCAGTGAACTTATAATTCAATTTTTTCTACAAAATATATTTGTTTGATTTATGTGTAGATTACCTAGAAGCATGTATTTTGTTGAGAGATTGATTTAATATTAACAAGTTGAGTATTTTTTGTTTTTTAAGGATGAAATTTTGATGCAAAATTGTAATATTAAAATCATACAATGTCTTTAATAATAAAAGCTGATAATCATGACTTTTAGTCTATAACATAGAATAAAATTCATGTTGTGTGTATATAAACATATACAATCATATTTATCTTCATGGATCAAATTTTAAAATATTTAAATTAAAAAAAAATAAACTATCAATTTCAAATTCATCATGTAATTTCATTAAAAATTCAATTTTTAATGATTTGTAGTAAAATTGTTGAAAAAATAAAAAATGATATGGTAGAATTTCACATTTCAAATAGAATATTTTTATTTTTATTTGTATTTTAAACTAAATTTTTGTTAAACTAAAATTTTATAATAAATACTTAGTTTAATATATATTCAAAAGTTTGTAGTAAAGTGTGTTTTACTAGTGAACATATCCTTATGAGAAAACACCAAATTAAGATTAAATCTACTCATGTTTTGTTTATGTTATGATCGATATCTTGCATATTTTTTATTTACAGTTTGATTCACATGCTCGTACAAAATTTTAAAGATTGTATCAATCCTAGATAATTTCAAGATATCATGCATTACCAAATTCAAAATTTAATATTCTTTCAGAATATCAATTTTGAAACAAATTATAATTTTTAACATGTTTTTTAAGAGAAAATATTTATTTATTTACTTTAATATGTTAAAACATTATAAATCATTTGTTACATAATCAAATCAAAAATAAACATGCAAATTATTTAATTAAAACATCATTATCATTTATCATCAAAATAAAATAAAATAAAATTAGAACCAAAAATTATATGTCTTGACAATTTATGTGAACTTTTACATAATTAACTTTGACAAAATTTGTAAAAAATAAAACAAAAATATGTGGACATTCAAAAGCGAAAAATTAATCAACTAATTTTTTAGAACAGTTAAAAGAATTAATTTTTTATGGTAATTATTTAAAATGAAGAAAAATAATTTTAATTTTGAAAAAATAATTATTTGATTAATATTTTGATAATTATTACACAATATTACTGGATAATTTTATATTTTGGTTAAAATTTTATAAAATAATAAAAGCTGCAAGAATTTACAATCAAGTGTGTGTGTTTGAAAACACAAAACAAAATTAATATGATTTTTAATACCATTATTTATTTATTTTTATTTTTTATTTATCTTTTGAGTCAAAAATATCTTCTGTTTGGCTTGCTAATTAGTTAATTTGTAACATCATCAAATTTCATTATTTTAAATCTTTAGAAGAAAGTCCAAGATTTTCAAAATATTTCAAAGAGCTATGAAAATATAGTAGTGAGTTTAGTGTGGTTCAATACTAGATTGAGTATTGAACCACTCTAGAGCTACTTACCAACTGCAACCGATGGCGATTCGTGACAGTACACATGGCTCCAAACGTCAAACTTCAAATCTTAAATATACAAGACATACATAGACTTACCTTCCACTCGACTCACAACACAATGAAACTTTTTGTACTTCGTCACGTATTGATGCATGTACCAAATCGTGTAAAATCCATCGTTGTATATATCCGACCTACTAGCAAACAAGGTCAATCTACTACAGATCCGTCATGAGCGCAATTTGGAATTGTAGACGTAAGTTTCCTCTCCGCCGTCCGTGGAACGAGTATCGAAAAATAAGAAAATGTAGGACGCTGTTTCCAGATCTACATTGATTCAACACAACTATCAATTTTGTTATCAACGAGATTTGGATACCGTGAACTGTAATTTGCAAAAAATATTTTATTTGAATATTTGATTGTAAAATCAAAAAAGAAATTTAGTAAACATACTTAAAATTTAATCATTTAAAGTCAATCTTTCAAATTTTTGTTTTGATTCAAACATATGGCTTAAATGATAATAATAATAATAACATAACTAAAAAATTCAACACAAATACGGAATACTAACATTTTACTTTTGACTTTTGTTTTTGAATAATGAAGTCAACAACATGGAAAATATCTATTGAGTACAGGAATATTACCAATAAGATTACTATAATCATTTTGTTAATTTTTTTCATAAAAATGACAATTTTTAAATATATGTCAAATTTTTTAATTTTTTTTTAATTGCACACATAATTTTTTATTTCATCAATTTATGTAAAACTATCTGCATGTGTTTAACATCTCACATAATATGTTTTTTTTTCAAAAAATAGAAAAATTAATAAAAATTAATTTCATATAATTTTTGTATATGTTAAATTGTAAATACAACTTAATCTGAAATATTAAGATATATATTATTATGATATTATAAGAAAATTCTATGTGAATATGAAAATAATTTTACCTATTATCGTTATATCTTGATTTGAATTTTTGGAAAAATAATTGTGATTGAAAATGTTTTTCTTTGTATAGTCAAAAATTAACAAATTTCATATATATTGTAACATCATTTTCATGAATTTACAAAAAATACAAGAAAATAAAATCATTGTGAAAAATATATTTGAAGTAAAAATTGTTTTTTTAAATCCTATGATACAGATTTTGCAATTATGAATTATGATTATCTTAAGAATTAATGAAAAACATTATCCAATAAATTTAATATCTGTAAAATTTATCTACATAAGATAGTTACATTAATTTATATCAAATCAATCAAATTCATGAGTATTAATCAAGTTGTATGATATAAAGAAGAACTGTTATAATTCTGCAGGTATAACAAATAATTTTCAATTAATTTTTTTAGATTGAAATAAAAAAAATTATAATTTTTCACATTTTAAATCCACATTTTGATGTTCGAAATTTCCAGTATAACAACGTTTATTCTATGACAACGTTCAAATACTTGAAAATATCATGTGTATCTCATTTCCATTTAGAATAAAATTTTATTAACATTTAATATTGATTAAATAATTATATTAGACTGAAACTGGTATAAACAGTATGAAATAAGATTATTCATAATATTAATTTACCAGTTTTTGATGTTTGCAAAAAATAAGAGATCACACATGCATTGCATAGAAAATACTCATAGGTAAAGATGTACTCAGCCAGATAGTTCCCGTCATTTAAAGGGTTCAAATATGGGATAACCGAGTCAATTTTATTTCAGACCGATAGCTTATAAAATATGGAACTACAAGTTGTCTGCTTCGGCTTGAGCATTATGATTTTGGTTGTTACATTAGATATGTTATTAGTTACCGTTCTATTGGTAGTGGAGGTTTTTTTGTTCTCTTCTAGTTTGGAATTAAATTGTTTGTATTGTGTTTTTCAGCACTTTGGGTCCACTGGGTTTATACTTTTACCATTTTATTTGCAAAACCAAAAGTAGCTTATGAATAATACCTCACACAAAAAGAATACCACCAGTCACAGAGATAATTCCTTTATTATAATTAGAGCCGGGCATGTGTTAATCCCGATGAAGTGTTTTCCAATTGAGGTAAAGCCATTGACGAAAAATGAATTCTAAGCCTGCTAGTAAAGATGGGATAAGCAGTGAAAATATTTATGTAAGCAGGGGGGAAACACAACAGGTGTGTGCTGTGCAATCCCGTTTCTAACGTAGCCACGTAACGGTCGCGGTTGACTCTAACTAGTAGCCGTGGGGGCGGGGGCAGGGGGAAGTCTGCGCATTATTCTGCCAACGTTCAGGAAGGAAAGGAGAGCAGAACGATCCGAAGAAGCCGGTGGGGCCCACGAGAGAGCGTGCTGGCGTGGCGCATCGCCGTCTGCCGGACTGCGTTGGCCTCTAGCTGTTCACTCTCGGACCGCGACGACGACGGCGTCCAGACCCGGCTTCGAAGCATCGACCGATGAAGCTTCTCGTCGATGAAAGTGCAATGACCTCACCTTCACAATCGGGCCCGTCGAGAATCGACAGTCCGGTACACGGACGGATGTCACTCAGAGTGTGGCCAATATCTTGGCCGACGAGCTGGCCGGTGCTATTGAGGGCGAGGCCACAAGGCGGGCCGCCGAAAGATATTCAGCGACGCAGGAAGCTGTGGATTGATTGTCGATTGGAAGACAGATCAGATGAAGAAGCTTTTGCATGCTGCTGATTCGAGAGTGGAGGTGAGCTCGCGCATGGGCAGCGTGGGCCTGTGGCTCATGCTTTTAGTGGAGACGCCAGGACCAGTGAAGGAATTCGCTCTGGGTGAACGGTACCCGATGTTCGAAACAAAAGCAAGAAGGAAAGGCAGGCCGCGAGGGCGGGTCAACAGAAGGGTCACGGATGTAGGTAGAGGGTAGCCTGAGGAATCCTCATCGACATCGGTCTAGAGCAGAACCTCCAAAAATGCTCTTCTTGACTGGCTGTGGGCATATGATGCACATGATGACGAATCAGTCGGGAGTACGCAACACGTCTCATCTTGATACTCGACTCGACTGGCAAAGCGGCCGAGTCAAATCAATTTGGGGACCAGCTCGCCACTGTAGATTGAATCAACTCATGACCATGTCCTCTGGTTCTTGTTTCGTTTCTCCACTTTCCGCCCCGAGGAATGCGCTCGCCTTGCGGCTTTGGGCTTTTGTAGAACAACGACAAGAATTCGACAGTCGAACAAGAGGAACAGAAGATCCAGCGTGAGGCCTAGGCCTGTGCTGGATGTTCTACCTTATCACTCCCCACTAAAGCTACTCTTCGTGTATGTCAGTTGACTTTCGAAAGAAACAACAGAGGAACGCCCAAGAACTTGCCACTCTCTTCTTCTTCATGAGTGAGTCCGCTGTATTATTACAGTCCTTGCAAAGAAAAAGACTTGCGAACAAGCGTTTGATCTCTCATTCTCCGCACACGTGCTACACGATCTCCTCGTAGATTTATGAGCTGGACAGTGCAAAGCGTGATCGTAATTCTTCTCTGATGCAGGAAACGAAGCGTAATCGAACATGTAAAGAGCCGCACGTACGAAGGTATGATGAGAAAGAGAGGAGGTGCGACCCTTTTCTCGTAACACGGCCTTTTCCCCAGCGAGACCCGTCGAGACCAGATGGAAGATGCAAATCGCACCATGCGCTCGAAGCCTTTTCCACTGCGGCTGTAACATCGAGCTCTTTCATCTTGTACCCTTGCCGTTGTTACTGTTGCACAACCAGGGCAATTATCGAACCTTTTCTAAAAGACTCTCCGACCTTCGATAGTCCTGCGCACATCGAGACTCGGTGCTGCTGAAAGTAATGAGAAGGAAAGCCCGGTTTCGTTTCGAGACTAGACGGGGACCACGGGTAGGCGCATTCCCTTGCGAAGCTCGACGTACATTCACCTACCTCGTGGAGACGGTTGTTCAGGTGGTGACCAAAGGGTTAGTGGTCAGAGCTTTTGAGGCTTGTCCTCGGTCTCTATTGTTCTTGATCCCCGGCTTTCTCACACAGCTTGCCATGTAGCGTACAATTTTTGCCGTGCAGTTTCCACAACCCCGTATCCACTACACTCTCGAGTCGGTCACAACTCCCTGAGGGGTCGCGGCCCGGAAGGGCTGTAGAAAAAATCGTTTGAGAAACTGAGGCATGAACCAACGACAACTTTCCCTTCACCATCCGGCTGCAGGATTATACTGTAGGGAAAGATTTTGAGGCCGAAGGCTTGACCTCCCATCCCTCACTGCAAAACTCGCATGTCCAAGACATGCTTCACTACTTCGATAATGACCAATGTTGAACTGCACTCCCCTTCGCCTATTTTAGACTTCGATTACGGCAAGCTCAGCTTAGTAACCAGGTCACCTGGTGTCCCTGATAACCTGCCATTCCTCGACACATGATAACCCTAAAGTCCAGACTCGGCTTCGCTCGAGTCTTCGGGAGAACGGTGGGCCCTTGTGGGTCCACACTCTGCCTACTGTCAGACTTCTTTTTTCAAACTAACTTTATTTGCATGCAAATTTACCTCACGACCCAAAAATGCGAGCTGCAATGAGACTACGTCGTCTTGGGCGATGCATATTATCGGACAATTTGAAGTCTGTAGCTACGAAGGTGGATCCACGTTTTATGGATACACTTCAGACCAACTTAATGCACAGGTAAAGAAAACGGTGTATGGTGTGTGGAGCTCGTCAAGTTAAACATTGAGAACAAGATTGGAATTGATTCAACGGTGATTCGGAATGAAACCACCACCCAATGCCCTCACTCCCTCATATGTTGATCACATAGGGCCAAGAAAGTACATGGAGTTAAAATCGGGGACTGGTTGAATCTGACACCACCTTACTTTTGATTTTAATAAGGAGCATCACAATCGCCATAACAAAGAACAATGGAAGATTTATGCTAAACCAAAGAAGATAAACCTAAGAGCTATGATAATGAAAGCTTTGATCTACATTCAAATTTGACAACGTTGAGGCTGTGCTGTTGTACTCTATTAAGTTAAGAGTAGGTTAGCAAATCTACTCACTAACCATAATATTAACGACATTGTAACGCAAAGAATGGAGAAAGCCTTTTCCAGTCATGATACATTTTTTCATCAGCTCCAGCCCAGCAATACGCTAAATGGAGTGGAGAGGCGAGGAGATTCAAAGGAGGGCACTCAACAAAGCAATCATCATTGTTTGAATTGTGACAGGCCACTCTTGACTGGCGGTTGCTTCTCTTTGGAGCTTGCATCAGCAGTATCCGAGTTCCTTGCAGGGCTATCCCCTTGAGTAGGCCTATCCCATATCTTCACATGCCCTTCATGACAAGCAGTCAAAATGGCATCTTTCGTAAAAATCAAGCTTGAAAGCGGTTCAGCATGCACCCGGTGTGCCATTACAGGCGCAAGCTTCGGCACCTCCTTGCGAACAGGAGCAGGATGGAGGATTCCTACAGGTTGCACACCGTCCCACCGGCCTGACAGTGCTCCTCCTTCCCTGAATGCTGGTGATCCTGACAGTGTACCCCCGAGTCTGCGCAGGGGTACCACTACTTCATCCATAGCTAGATCCCAAAGAAGCAACTGGGTATCCTGTAATAAACGACGTGCAGCACCAGAATAAGTATATCAGTACCCGATCAATCTCTTTTAATCACCAAAGCTACGGGATCAAAGTACGCCTTGACTAACATAAAAAATACAAGATAAAATTGCCTGAAAATAGAAAGAACCTTGCCTGTCCAACGGAACCGAATCGGTAAGTCACCGATTCACCAGACTCATCTGAAGGAGGTGCTATCCAGTGAGCATCGAAGGCAACCGCACTAACCTGGTAATTATCAAAAACAGACGAATATCAACATCAAATAGGAACTCAAGACTACCACGGAGTAGGTTTTATCACAGCAGATATACAGAAATCCACGAAGATATATAATATATGGGGCTAAAGAATCAATAGTAGTCATGGAAGTACCACCAGAAAAAGTGAAAGCATAAAAAACCCTCAAAAGCTCAGCAGTTTTCAAATTACCCAAGAATTGTGACCCTCGCCCCAGGCCACTACACGTTGATCCTCCATGCTCCAAACTTGAACCAGGTCGTCTTCTCCCCCTGTCAACACGTACTTGCCATCCGGGCTATCCATTTCCATGCAATCAAGATTGAACCACACGTGTCAGCTCCTGCACTGCAATGCAACTTGGTAAAAATTTACCAGATGTATCCTCGAAAGCCTCTTATACTAACTGGGTTGGTCACAGATCTCCGAACTTTCAAGACCAGGTGGAACTTTCAGTGGACCTCACCGGAATCTCGATATGTTGGTCAATGTACTATGTTATCACTCTTCCCTTAACGGCAAAACAAAACTGAACAATGGAAGTATATTCTGTAGGAAGCAATGGACACCTTATCCAAGCACAAAGGTAGACCTGGAATTAAAAGTAACTGATTGATGCCATTATCCGTTATTGAGGTAAAGTGTGAAGGTGCTGAGGAAGAACAAGTCTATCATCACGTGTAGAAGTTTGAGAGACTGCCCAATTCAGGGAACGTAGTAAGAATTCACTGAGAAGATAGAGGAGAGGACGTATTTCAGATAACTTTGTGGATTCACACTACTCAGCCAGGTGTATATTTGACAGTCTATGTCAGGCAAATACTAATTAGTACATTTCCTAATCTGGCCATCGATCCTAAAAGGTGAAGTGTCCTCATAACTGTGTAGTATGGACATACACGTATATGAGGCCATCAATCCGTCAACAATCCGTCAGAGACCATGCACAGTTAATGTGTCCTCATAACTGAGCTGGAAAGCATGGTCTCTGACGGATTGCAAACCACCAAATCAAAGTGAATATGCAAGGTTAATGGCAATATGTGTATCTGCGAGTAAATACTATGTTGATCAATGCAGACTAACGAGGATGACTGTTACAAGACAATTTTTGCAGGCAAAAGCTTATAATCACAGATTTAAATAGCTCTTGCTGCAAGATTTAAATAGCTCTTGCCCAGATAATGAAGGTAGGCATCAAAGCAAGACATTATACTTTATACAGGCTAGGTGATAGGAGTACGAAGATCACAAAACTTGAAATTTATTGGCCGCTTATGGTGACAAAAGAGCAAGGCATATGACCCTGGATTAGAACAGAGATCTGGTAACAAGGCCAAGAATGAGCGGCAAATTGCAGATACATACCTCCACGCGCAACATAGGAGAGCCCCAAAATAGCTCTTGCTGCCACATGCTAACTGCTCCTTGGCATAGTCAAAGACTCTTAAATATCCTACATCCACGAACAACTTAGATGTTTAGTTGGAAGTTTAAATGAAGCACCTCGACACAAATGTACTCCTAGCAAATGATGACTATTAAACATTCATGTTCGTAGCTTTTGGACATACCGTCTCTGCCAACTGTAGCAAGATATAATCCATTCGGTGAGAAGGCGATTTCGTTGATGGAACCCTGACAGATGTGCCATCTTGCAATGGGATTGCTCTGCAACCATCGACAAATAAGTGCTATGGACATTAGGTTTTGGGCAAAACACACCTGCATCTTCTAGACATACACAACGGCGCATGGTATGGTATATTCTCACCTAAAATTTGAAGCACAGATGGAAGACGAACTTCAGATATAACCCTTCAACTAACATGACGATGCTTCTGCTTTAAGCGCTTGAGAAAGACAATTCTTATAGAAGATTCACCTTACTGGACCTTGCATGTGCAACTGAGAACTGAGCCTGATCCTTGACTGGTGGAAATGGCACATCTCCACTCCCATCTTTGTTCTACCAAGAAAGATTTGAAAATTTGTGGTATAAGTCAAGTTGCCACATGAAGTCAACTGTAATTGCAAGTTGTAATTGACGTGATTCTAGGAGGCAAAGCACTTAAAGCCGAACAAGAGGGCATGACCAAGAGGCAATGGACAAGAGATATCTAGTTCCAGAAACAGAGAAGCGAAGAAAGAAAATGCAGAAGTCTTTGTAGCAATTACTTTGTCGTAGATGTAGACATTTCCATCTGCATGAGCTACTACAAAAAACCCATCACCGTGAGGTACCCAGGCCACAGAGGTGCAACGGCTGTTAATGGAAAACCAATAAAAACATCAGAACGTCACATTTTCAAACTGGCATTCCGGTTGAAGTGGCTATTTAATGAAAGCCACGTACATTTCTCACTTGTGGACAATCCTTCCTGATGGAAAGAGCACTCGACATTTTCAAATAAAATTAAAACATACACAATGACATATCGAAAAACTTAATGCTGCTTTGAACATCAGGAGCCTACAAAACTGCAACACGTCTGATTTCAAATGTGTAAGAGCTGTGCACTACAATTACATACCTGGGGTTAATCGCACCATCTTTGTTGTAATGCAATGCTCCTACTAACTTCTTTCCTGAGTCCTGTAGTTGCTGTCTCAAGGATGCAGAATATACTGCCAGCAATTTTCAATACAAGTGCCACGATTTTGTCAACATGCAAGCTCTTATTACAACAGCTCAGCTGGACTCCACCATGTACAATGTCCATCTACAGGAACGCTAAACTGAGCTTGTTATCAAGCGAAGTGATGATTGTTAGCAAGTTCAGCAGGACAATTCCTAACTATGCACCATCCGGTTCTAGGGTATTTGTTAGCTGTAGGGGAAGAAACATGTCGCAACTACAAGCGAACACATGATCCAGGACGAAACATGGAGAGCGGAGGTAAGGTGAGAAACAAGAGAACAAGGTAATTATAGACTTTATCCAATGGAAGGTGGAAAAATGCGTTGTTCACATTTACGGTGGGGTGAAAGCAGATTGAGGATGGAAATTCCAGAGGCATCTCTTGACCATATAAGAAATAAGTCTCTTCGCGTCATAAGAAGGCAAAGAAGGGATATAGAACTGCCTACCGTCTCCAGAAGTCAAACCAATAAGCAAGTCATGGCCATCTTTCGCATCCGGATCATAAGTGTGACTAACTGGATTTGCATTGCTGAAATGAAGACATTTGATTGGGTCCTGCAGCGGCATAGATACGAGCCTTACAAAATGGAAAACAAAGATCCTTATATGTCTCTAGGATAACAGAAAGACTAGTTACCACACAGCTCGATCAAAAGCGGCGTTAGCGAAACTGACTCAAGTTGCTGCATCATCCGACCCTATAGCCTCACTCACATACGAGAAAGGTATAAGCTTGAAAATATAGAACCAACAAAACTGAATAAGAACTTGCCTTATCTTGAGAGACATAATCGCTCACAAAAAGAGCATCGCCCACGTTAAAAATCAAGAAAGTGCCCTCTCCATCGTAGCTTGAAGCTAAAGGACCATTGCTAAGGCCCATACCTGCACTAGAAACTGTGGTGGACTTGCCCCCACCCGTGAGCCTGCCTGAAAACCCATTGCCCCCGCCAAAATTAAGTCTACTTCCTCCATTACCAGTCCCTAACAACCTTGCAGCTGAAAACCTAGCTCCGACACCGCCACTGCTGCTGGAAGAACTGCTGGTCGAGGGAGTTTGAGGTGGTTTATCTTTCAAATGAGCCAAAGTGACCTGTCAAACGGCGCATTGCTTTAATTTACTCTCTTCCACCACCGCAATAAGTACCTCATCTGGAAAGAACCAATTCTCGAGGCTCTGTCCATACTCGCTATGAAACCCTACATAATATTCATTTCCAGCTTTCTAACCTAATGCTTGCGACTGTAGGAAAAGCTTTTGAGTAGGCGGAGAGAGCAAAGTTCTTCGTGAGACGAAGAAAGTGGCTACCTTAAAGTAATCCTTACCGGGGATCACAAATTGCAAACGGACAATCAACCAGGACGTAGGAGCTTAAAAATCAAACACGAATTTCGCATGCGCTACACTACAGCTCGAATGTATTACGGATGTAAGCTTGACGTCCCAGTTACGTATAGGGACTCGGAGAGCGCACACCCATGCATGTGTGACAACGATCTCACTATTTTTCCATTTTGAAATGCGAAAAATCGAATGAGCTTACTCGATCTACTGCCTCGCTGTGTGAAGAAGATTCGCCCCGACCATAATTTTTGGGCGGCGAATGTTATAATCAGACTGTCGAAAGAATGGTAAAGGATGAGAGGTACCTGCGTGATAGCCTTTCCGTGGCTGTAATGAAGGACACTTGAGGGATGTGTTTTTTCATGAGATAACTTGTAACGGCCTTCCGGAGTCTTGAAATGGGTCCTTACACTGGGAGACTGAGAATTTGGCGCTGCCATCAGTCTTACTTCTGTACCACGACGTCACCTCCAATGTCTCCAGCATACCACCGTCCTCTGCCACCCGATCTAGAATACAGTAACCAAGATACAAAACTAGGTAACAGCATTCTTTCATGCATTACCCTCGCATTGCCACTGTCCTTAGTTCTCCGTCGTCAGACACACACCCCGCGGTCCACTCATTCTGAACCACCGCGGGCAGCAAACTCTTCCCCTCGTTTATCCACGGTCTCCGAAAGTAATCAAAAAGATCAAAACGACGGGTTTCACCGGACAATTTTTCCAGCTGATGTTCCTGTAATCGAAGCTCTTCAATCAATCTAAGCTCTTCTGAACTTCAGAACAGCCCATATTCCTGCGCAACCCTTTAGCGTCCATCAGAACTCCGAGTTCCCTCGTGACCATTCCCACCTCTGTAATCCACTAGCAGATCCTTCAAAGCGCGCCCACTGCAAATCTTCCTTCACCTACATCTGTACACGACTCATGTGGATCACACCGACCAATATCGAAGAAGGTATACGTCTGCTTCCACCACCGCAGCCTCCGTCCAGCGAGCCACCCACCCACGCACCCACACACAGAAGCAGTCTCGAAAGGCAGGCTGTTGACAGCACCCAGGTGAAGATGGAGAACGAGGTCAAGGGAGGACAAATGGATGGATGCCGAAGCTGTTTGGCCAGGGACCTCCGCTGCCTCAACACTGCTTCCTTCAGCAGACAGGAATACCAAACGCTTCTTTCTCTCTCACGGGACAAGGTGCGAAGAGCAAAAACAGGAGATTAGCTAAAATACACAATACCTACGCTTTCGTTCGCTTTCCTCTCCTCTGTTCACTTCCCTTCGCTTCCTGTCCTTCCCTTCCCTTTCCTTTCTTTCCTTTCTTTCCTGTTGCTCGTCCACCACAGTTCCTGCTACTCCCGTCGGCGTAGCGCAAAATCGGCGTCCGACAACCCAAACCGAGTGGCAATCAGACCTTCGTTGCTCCTTCAGTACCTCCTCCCTCCTCCTCTTCTGACTTTCTACGCTAGTCTGTCCGTCACCACCACAAACTCCCCTCCGGCCCGGCCCCCACCACCCTGCCCTCCCCTGCCCTCCCTCGCTCTGCTAATGCTAAATGCTAAATGCCAAATGCCGTAAGCTCTTCTTCTCTGGTGCGCTTGCTTGTCCGACATTTTGTATGGGGCATTGCTTCGTCCGACACACAAGCCCAGGTAGACAGGACGGCCTCTTCCGCTGCCCCCCGGGCCCCAGGCCCCCAGTGCCCCACCACAGGCCCCATGGAGTGTGTCCTTTTCTGCGCTCGATGGGTTTCTGCGTCCCTTTCTTTTCTTTCTGCTCCGCTGCCCGTCCCCCTGGGGGCGGCGGAACCACCACCACATCTCTCATGAACGCATGTCAGTCATCGCATCACCATTTCGTTGCCTCCTTCCGAATTCCCCCATCCATGTATGCATGCAGGCATGCAGGCATGAGTCATGGCGTCTTTTTCCTTCTTTTCATTCTCTCCTTGTGCTTTGGCGATGGCTCATACAGATATACTCACGTTTTGAACGAGTTTGCGCCTGGCTGCATGCCGTGGACTGACCCGCAGCACACAATTGATCCTCGAATTAACTCTTCTTCGCGGGTTGCTTACATTTTAGCAGATCCATGATCCAGAGTTTACTTCTTGCGCCTAGTTCCTTCCTCGAAAATGGACCTTCCTGGTTTTCATGATCCATATGGTTCCTACGATGACATTCTGCATCTCTTCTCAGCCCAAGTGATTGTGGTTAGCACAGGTTTGAAATCAACTGTCGCGAGGGAAAAACATGCTCCTTGTTCTTGACTTTCCAGACCCCGTTTGTACTGAAACGATTTATTTGCCATTTCTAATGGGTCATTTGAGTCCATGTTGGATTGTTTCGTAGTCTTTCTTCAACATCAGTCATCGTGTTTACAAAGCAATCGTTCTCGCCTAGCGCTTTCCTCCATGACTTGCATAACTTCACTCGGCTAGAGAGAAGTATCTCACCCCGAGGGACTCACCCAAATGGGTGCTCCCGCCACAGTTGGTGGACAAATGAGACCAGTAAACCACAAACCCAAACAAAGAGAAACGCCTTAAGTATTCTTCAAAGCGAAGTTTCATAACGATCAAATTCGTTTACTAGATATCCTCGAGTAGATATATGTTGTTTGCGAAGATTGCACTGACTCCTGAAACTATGACTTTCAGGAATGTAATGTCGATTTTCTCAATTCAATGTTTGGTGGGTAGCATTTAATTCAAGTGTTATGATTCTATTGCATGTGGAGAGAATGTACTCTTTCAAATAAACCTATTTTCTATGAATAATTTAATAAACACATATATTTCAGTCATGGCTTCTAAAATATTAATAACAATTGCTTCAATGTCCTTTTCTAAAAGATATGCTATCATTCACAAAACATGCATTGAATTTTCAAATTACCCAATAATCGTGTTTGATCTTACAATGTCAGAAAAAATCTGCAAATCTGTTTATTCATTAAATTATATTATATATTAAGAATTAAAAATAAAAAAACAATTAAATTAACAAATGAATTTGATATTATAACTAGATTCAACAAGTATTCTTACAAAATCTATATTGTATCTTTAAGATTATATTTTAGAAATTCTACATGGATAACCTAAGTTGATAGTTGACATTAAACCGCTAATTACATCACAAATAATTATAAATATGTAAAATACTTAAAACAACAAAATGAAATAATACGAACAACTGCCTGAAAAAAAATCTTTATCCAAGAAAAAATAACGTCATTTTTTTATCCTTTTATTAACAATTTAGAACATTACAAACCATACTCAAAGAATTGTTTTACACTCATTAAGCTAAAGTCAACAAGTTTGAAGAAAATATCAATGAAAATATCATTTTATAGAAAAAATCAATCTTGTCATTTTGCAATAAGTAAACATAATATGCATAATTAAAAGAAATATTTCATAGGTTTTGATGTTGATATGATTAGCAACAAAATAAATCTGTTGTATATGTTATAATATGTTATGTTAATTGTCTTAGTATTGCCATATCTCCGTTATAAAAAGGTACCAAGTTCCTAAACACTACAATAACTCGTTTTTTTTCAATATTTGATGTCTGAGTATACATTTAAGACATATATCAATAAATGAGAAATCATAACTATGTATTATATGTTAAATAAATCACACTGATTCACACATTATGACAACAACTTCAATTATAAAAGTTTTTTCTTATTTATTGAAAATGAAATATTTGTGAATCTTTTATATTTAAGACTACAATTTGATTGAAATTGCATTAGATTTATGTTTTATTTTGATTGCAATAAAATTAAATAATTTATGTCAATACAAGAAAGAATTTGTATCGAATAACAATTTCTTTGTAAATTCTAAATAGTAAAATTTAGAACTCATCATCAATCAAAAGAAATAAAACCGCAAAAAATAGTACGATATTATCTAAATATCAATCAAATCTTTTGAAATAATTATCTTGGTAAAATAAATATATAAAATGAAGGAATTTGATATTTAAATACTTAACATGATATGAGAACTAAATTGATGGATGCTTATTCAGCGCTAAATGTAACTAATTTTTACAATATCTTTTAACTAATTTGATTGATAAAAAAAACTTTACTTTAAAATCAGAATGCATAAATAATAATTGTTAATCTAACGCGTCTTATTTTTATTATAATTTAGAGTTTTTTAGAGAAGAATGCTTCAAGACATGTTTCTATTGTTACTTTCAAATTTTCAATATAATATGTTAATTTTTTCATTTGAAATTTTATCATAATGAAAAATTAATGACAAACATATACATCATTTGTTTTTTAAAGATTATTTCAAAGTCGCAATATTAATAGATGCAGTGATAATTCCTGACTTTAAGTTATTTTCAATAATATATAATATCATGTTTCATTAATTATAAACCTGAAAAATTTCAAGTGATAAATGAAAAAACAAAATTCTAAATTTATAAATTATAAAAAATCAAATCTTAAACTAAAAATGCATATGAATGATTATTAAAGATATAATTTAATCTTTCATCGTATTAAAAAATAGATTAGAAATAACAAATAATTATTTATTGATATTTTTGAAGTTAGAAAGTTATTTGTACACTGTTATAAACTTATAAATGTAAGATTTATATTTGAAAAAATGTTAAATTTTTTATGAATAAATAAAATAGAAATATAAAATTTTGATATTTTTTCAAGTTATAATTATAATCATAACATATTTAGTTCTGGCAAAAATCTCCATTAAATACACCAATGTAAATTTCACATGCAATAACTTTGTAGATCTTTATGAACATTTACCGTGTTAAAACTATAAAATACAGCAATTAAAATTGATAACTATAAATCTTCATGAAAGCACCAAACAAAAAATCAATACACACACAACAAATTCACAAAACATGTAATAGATAAAGAGTTTAGGCTATGGCTATATCATGGAATACAAAACATGATAAATATTGAGTTGCGCATTCTGAAAATTGAATTCAATTTATGAAAATAGAACATTCTATTAGTTGTATGTTATAATTAGAACATCACGCATTCAATCTTCTCACAGTATATTTGAAATCAAGATCTAACCTCACCTAGAAGCATGGGGAAAAAAACAGCAGTGAATTCGCACCTATGTATCATGGAACAGTGAACTCGCACCTATGTATCATGGAACACATCAATTTAAGAAATCAAAAATTAATATTGTGTTCAAGAGTCGCGCTAGATATTGTAAGATTTAGTTTTCAAACCAAAATAAATTGTACTTTGAGATTTTGATTATTTAATCCATATTTTAAAACATTTTAATTAGCTTATTTTTGTAGTTTTCCAAATTCAAATATACATGATTTTCAAATTTCAAATTTGAATACACATTTTAACTATGAGTTTTGCGTTTTGCATTTCTAAAATAATAACCACTAGTGAAATAGTCTCACGATAATCACCATTTGTCAAATTGTGTTAAAACTCAACATCAATCAAACATTAGAATCTGGATACTCCTATGAATACTTAACAAATTTCAATTAAAAAATTATTTAAAAAATATATATCTGGAAAATATGAATTAAAAAAACCCCTGTTATGTCTCCACCCCGCACTCCCTCCAAACTTCCTACTCTGCGCCTTGATGCTGCTTCTCGTCTCTTTCCCTCTTTGTTGCTTTCTCTTCTCGTCACTTCCACTACTTCGGTTTGGAGTACTCTAGTAACCAATAAAAATTACAACGCGTAAAATCTAAAGACATGAAAATATTCCATGTAGTCTTTATTGCCTAAATATTATTCAAAGAAATATATTTAATAAGATCATAAATATTTTTAATTGTTTTCATGTAGTACTTATTGCTTCAAACAATATTTAATATTTGTTATCCAAAATATTCAAGAATATTGTGTAGCTTGAAGTATTCAATATGTTAAAATTTTGAAATCTTTCATGACTATAATTTGAATGATCATGTTATTTGTCTTCATATTTTCAGATGAAAAAAAAAATGATACATGATTAAATTATATTTTTAGCAATTAGATGAATGATTAAAAATAATGAAAATAATATTTTCATGGATCTTGAAATTTTGAATAAAATATTCCCAATTCTTATGATGAAAAAAAATTTTAAAATTTTAAAATTTTTAAAAATATAATAAAAGAATTATGGATATTTTAAACTCAAAAAATTTAAAATTTAAAATATAAAAAAATTACACTTCAATATATTATAATTTGATATGATTGATTATAATTTTAAGCATTAAAAATTCTTCTAAACAACTTTATCTAAAGACGTTTGATTTACATTTTTGATTAATTCATTATTAATCAGATATTTAAAAGATTTTATCATGTTATGAAAATTTATAGAAATTTTTTAAAATATTTATTAAAAAAGGAATCAAAAAATACATCTGTAATAAATAAGAGATAATCATAATGAGCATACATGATTTTTTTTAAAATAAATTAAAAAATATTTTCAAAATATTTGCAAATATAAAATAAATTTAAAAGTATGAAATAAAATATATAAAATAAAATATGTAAATATATTACACATATAAAATTTATTTAGATGTATTTTTATTTTTATAAATTGAATAATTATTAAAAATATTTTAAATTTTTATATACAAACAATATATGAATATAATTTATAATTTATATAATATTAAAATACATAAATAAATAAAAATTATATATTTTTCCAAATTTTTTTTTCTAATTCTTTAATTCCAAAAAAATAATAGTTATGAGTTAATAAAATTGAAATATATATATTTTAAGTATCAATATAATTACCAAATATTATATAAAAATTAAATTGTTATTAAAAAAATAAATAATTAAAAATGCAGATAATTGCTGTATTTATGTTATATTCAATCTAGAGCCAAAAAACCTAAAATCACAACAAATCTTATTTGTTTTGTGATTTTCATCACTTTTTTTGATGATTCAACATTATTAAAATATTTTTTCAATTTTTTTTAACCAAGCATGTAATTTTACCTGTTAAAAAATGAATGGGTCAAATTACAATTTTTTTGTGAAGGATTAAGAGATTGTGAGAAAATTTTAAGTCATTGATAGATATTTATTTTTAGCTAAAACATATTATTAAGGTGATGCAACTAAATGCTAAAGAAAAAAATATGAATTTACTCTGATAATTTCATGTTTATCTTAGATTGGAAAAAAATTCACTATTGTTATTGATCACAAGAAATAAGAGTGAATTTTAATAAAGTTTACATTATTAACATGTAAAAATACAAGTCAGTATAAAAGGAATCTGATTGAGTCATGGAATATAAATTTGATGAAATTATGTTAATTTCAATTTTTTGTATCAAGTTTAGATAAATGAAAATAATAAATGAATACATTTTTTTTTTCAATGAAGACTGTGGATTATGAATTTCATGATGAAGTTACTTGCAAAATGAACTGTGATATAGAGTTTAACATCGAAGGTACAGATTTTTTCAAAAGCATTCAGAGGAGAATGATGCAGAGATGAAAACTTTTGAATCTTAACATGAAGTAGGTTACTTTGAAAAATACTCACCAAAGATGAGTAAATCACTTCATCAATAGTGTCAAGAAGACTTAGTATCTAGGAAAATGTTTGTATGAGAATTTATTGCATAATAAAATTAGATGTATAATAACTGAAAAGAAAACATAAAATTATTTTAAAATTCCTCTCATCGATTTTTACTATTTTTGTTGAACTAAAATGAGTGAATTGTTCAGTTTATAAATATTAAAAATATTAAAAATATAAAATATTTTGTACTTTCCTTCATGTATAGCTGTATTTACGGTATGAAGACAAGACCTCAAATTATCATGGGTTGATGGTTTCTCACCAAGTTTTTGCTACTTGCTTGGTACCCTTCAGATTCTTCTCCAGCATATTGCTGTATGTACCGGACAAAACATTACAGGGTGTATTGAGGGGGGATCAAGCAGAGGACTGACGGGAACCGAAAGTTGCCATGAGGAGGTTCCATACATGAGAACAGTAGGGCGACAGTAGTAGCGAGAAACCACAATTCTTGGACGGGATCACATTGCGCTGTGTGCTCGATCCGGCTCGACCCGGCGCCTCTCGCATCTTTCGAAGACTGCGATCTTGAGAGTTCTGTGGGTCGCTATCAACGAGACTTCTGACGTCGTTTTGCTTGGGTCCCTGTAATCGAAATTATCAACATGCCTGTGAGTACGCGAAGATTTGCTCAACACAGTTTGCTTCTTCTGTCTCAGTTTATTTAGATTGGTCTTTTCTGTGTTGCGATTTTCGCATCGTTTGTGTTGTTCACGGGCAATCAGGTATCCCTCTCATTCGGAAGGTTTTGTCGAAGATCTGCCGGTTCTTTTTATGTTTCTGAACTTTTCCTGACGTCCGTGTACATTATCGAATAAGGACCTGATCATTCTAGTAGGGAAATTAGAGGCATGACTGGAAGTCCACCGTTTGCACCATATGCTATCACTTCACCTTCGGTATAGGATCTTGTGCTTGACTAATCTCACGAATTGTAGGCACTTAGTTTCCCTACATCAAGTCTCTGCACCGGTGATTTGAATTAAGTGTCGGTTTACTTCCAAACTCTAGAATCGTGGAATCTGGATGATAAGTTGGATTATCTTTGGATGTACCTGCTTTGAAGACATTGGAAGGAAGCGTTTTCTGTTGCGTAGGTAGAATCAGGCGTGTGCAAAAAGTGTCGATGAGGGTTTTGAATACTGGGTCTACTCACAAGCAAATCTGCTTGTCTTGTACAGGTGCGGCAACTTTTGGAAGTAGGATCGCCTGGCCCAGTGCGCTACATTGTGGGAGCGTTGATTATGATGATCGGAGTTGTGCTTCCGGTCGGGTTTATGATGTTCAGAACTAAGCGAGTGCCAAGCTCCTCCGGATACTCAAAGCAGACGTAGGTGCGCTGATACCTCTTCTCCCAGTTATCGATTGGTTCCTGGACCTTCTTTATTCATTTTGTGATTAAACTTCTTCTACTGAAGCTAGGATTAAACTTCTGACCTATGTGAGGTCTGATCTGGTTTCGTAGTACTACTATGATAATTTGGAGTTGTGGACTGTGAAAGAAAGTTACGGGGAGAGACGTTATCGAAACGCATTCCTGGTTTTCATCGTTCAGAAGTGAATGACGCAAGTAAAAAACATCCAAGATAACCATTAAAGTTAAAGGTTGTATGAGCTGTTTATTGCTAGACCTTACTACATGGTTGTATCTGCTCCGAGTAAGTTCTGCTTTTTTTAAAGAACGTGTGATGTACGAATGAAACTAAGCCTACTTTCGTGGAGACATATGACGTTCTTGATGTAATATCGATCTACTAAACCAGTGGATAGGACTCTCCTTGCGAGTAATCTAACAAGATATTAAATTTGTGTCCTAGTTCTGTCCTTTCTTTCCCTTACTGGATTCAAATTGAAGATAAGGATATTTGGCATCCAGAGTACAACTTCAGTCTTCCAGTGAATTTGAAGTTGAAGAGGTAAACAGTTCGGGCAGATATAGTTCCGTGGAACTTGTTCTTTATGCAGTCAGTCTTGAAGAATACGTGACAATCGGTTATGTGTGTATGCAGTTTCTTATAGGTGGGACGAAAGTTGAGAGAGGCACAAACTTGAATGGTTAGTACTTTATTCTCAACCAGCATCCTTTTGTGATACCAAAGACGTCTGGCGTTCTCTTCCAGTTGATGAATTTTATTCAGTTATCGGAAATTGATAGCCAGTTTTGCAAGTATGGTAGTGTCCCTTTATGTTGTGACCAATGTATGAATCTGACGTCTAATCATTTGTAATTGTTTGCAGGAAACATGTGTTTGAATGTTCTTATGTTGCCCTGGCAGCCATGAAAAGCCCAGTCATGATCAATATATCGGCTTCAGGCCTAGAGCTGTCCAGTTTCATAATCACACGTATTTATTTCATTCTTCCCCTGTAAACTGGCCTTATTGCCGGAGTTGGTGCTTGTCAGAACCGAAACCTCCATTGTGCCTTTTGCATATCTTGTATTTGATTACAGATCTGCGTTGACATTTTGCATGAGGACACGAATGTTCTATGTTAAGGCCAGGCGACTAAAAATCAACATCTGGTTTGAGTTCTATGTTGGAAAAAAAAATACTCACTGACAAGCTGTTGTCTTCTTGCAGTCATACATAAAGGTCTCGACTTTCGAACCATACATAAGGAAGGGATTTGCAGTGCAAGAGAACAAGTAGTCAAACCCTGGATGAGAGGCAATGCGCACAGCTCATAGTCAATTGCTAGGAGCGTTTTGATTTCCGTTGTATCTCCTGGAAACTAGTTAGTATCCTTGCACACGTAAATAGACACCAAGACTTGCTTGGAATCTCAATAGGAAATGAATCCCTCAGTTGTCACAATCCATATTCTGTTGCAAACGAGGAATGAAAAGTTCCGGCGGGGCGTATGGTGAACAGGCGTCTATAATTTGGCCATGAAGTAGACGAGTATATGTAATGAAGATGGTTTCTTGTCTGAAAAAGGTGAGTACAAATTGTGTATAGGAAATGACGTACCGTATCCTTAAAGGAGAGATGGATGGAGTATAACTTGTGCACTCTGCGCAAGAGGTACAAATATACCCAAAGCCTCGAAAGGACTAGTGACATTATTGTATACGCTATCGATTAGAATTTTTTGAACTGTTGATTCACTTTGTGTGCTACAAATCTGGCAATGTAAAAGTGTTAATCTGGTAGTTAAACTTTTAGTCCATTGACAACATTCACGACAGCTGGCAAGGATCACAAAGACCTGTGTACATGGGGGAAAACCATGATGGGAGAACTCCAATAAACGGTGAGAATGAAGTAAGTATTGCGTTTACTGATAATATGTATTGCTGCTTCTCCGGAAGTAATGACAGAAAAGCACAGTCCAGTGCCAAAATATACATTTGACGAAAGTTTATCACGATAGCTCATGACAACCTTATACGATAATTTTGCGAATAAACTGCAGTTTGAAAACCTCTACTGAATCTAAATGGAGATGTTCGCGACCACAACTTATAATCTAATAAAGGCGATCGAATTCATTACCAGTCATTCCTCGTTGGCAAGCTTTTCTTCATCTACCTCAAAGGCCTTTCTTGCCCGTTTGAGTTCCTCGTTCATCGCAAGAAGTTCTTTGACTCGCGCAAACTTGCGGGAATCCTGAGAAAAAAATCAAGATAATTGTAATATCCGTTGCAGTCCGCTTCAGTCTATTTCATGCACTAAATTACAAGCCTGTGTAACTCAAAAAAGTCTCACTCACCTTTCGAACCAGAAACATAATATCCTCGGTCGTGAGCTTCCCTCTTTTAGAGGCAACATCTTGAGCCTTGTGGACCTGCACAAAGACGAAATTCTTGAAACTGAACACTGCCACATGAATAATTGCGACAAAGGAGACTCGTTGCTCAAAGTTGATGAAATTCACCGCCGAAGTACATGCAAGTCTCCTGCAGAAGAAAGAATGGGGAGCAAGTAATACCTCTAACTAGTAAGAATCGTCACATATCAAACATCACCGCATGACCTGTACTTCATAATCAAGACAACGTTGATGCTCCAATTGAACAAATGCCCAGATCGTTCAGATCTTGAAACAAGAAATGGCACGAATCAAGTACACTGAAATATGCACGAGATCCTACCTTCAGAAGGTAAGTTGGAAAGCACTCACCATTTCAGTTATGTATTCAAGTAGTATGTCCTCTACCAATAGCACAGTCTCAGGCAACGGCTGCATGGACACAGAATGATCATGATCTTAGCGGATGCCGACCCCTACACTTTTGATCAAGTTCCCTGATTAAAATGTGACTCCACGTGGACCAGCGGGCCACAGAGCTGATTAACGTCTTTCTGATCTGTTTCCCGTTCACAGACAACGCACGGCAATTGCAAATCCTGGTAGCATTCTTGTACTTGAAGACTTTACTCTTGAAAATCAAGACATGACAGACAATCAGGTTTGTAGCGCGCAGCCACAATCAGTATGACACGTACTGCATCTGAAGTGTGCACACCATTATACACAGAAATTCTAACGCCTTAATGACAGTCTTGTTAGACCGTGAAGACAACTTCATTCGTGATGTCTGCTTTCCTCGAATATTTTCTTGTTTCTTTCATGCCAAATCAAATGAACTCAGAAAAGATGTCGGATTTGTGAAACACTCACATCCGGATCGTCGCCAAAGCCGTACATCATCAAACGAACTGTTATCAGCCGAATGTACAGAAGTTTAGTTTTTCATGCCTTCGAAAAATCTTATTTCCAAATTTGGACAAACAATAAGTACCCAGAGTTTAAATACACAGAAATTAGCTTCAAAGCTGTTATGGAAAAATCAGACAATCGACAACGTTCTTGAGATCATGCTGACAATCATATTCAGAAGACCATTCTCATCGAGATATCCGCTGGACAGTGGAAAGAAGCTGAGTTCGCGGTCTATATTCTTGTAGAAGCCAGACAGCCACTGGAGATGAAACAAACGCGGACGTTTGGACAAGTTTGGCATGTTGGAACGATGATGCCTGAACGGGTTGAATGGAATATGCATGGACTAGTGATGTAAACACATGTTGTTAGCTTTCTACTGAAGCCGAAGACAAACCTTTTGCTGCTATACAAAAATTATTCACGACTGCATTGCAAGGGCCGGATTACAACTGGGCATCGACTCACATAAGGAACTGGTTCTGGACATTTTATCAACTTACGATCTTTGCTGAAAATTCCACGTTTCCTCTTTAGGGTGCTATCGGATTGTCCTGACTCCTTTCCTGCTCCAGCCTTCCCGCCCTTGCCACCACCGCCTCCTGGCGCTCCTCCTCCAGCAGCAGAGCTCGCCATTACGTTTTGTCTGCGGTCCTCTTCGGAGTTATATACAGTGACCCAACCCTTTCAAGTTCAATCATACTCCTTCAGAAACACATTTGCTTCTGCTGCTGCTGTTGTTGCGGGGGCGGAGATCGAAGTATGAGGTCCTATTTGTCTGATACATGCTTCCTCGACTTCTCTCGTGATCATCTCATGCAACAATTGTAACACTCAACGAACAGCTCCTGCTCCGTACGCCTCCCTGACAACAAGGACGACGATCAGATGAAACGCACAGAGACGATCGGCAGGCTCGAGCTGCCGTCTTTCTTGCACCAATTGACTTTTCGATGCTGCAGCAGCAACTTTCGCACAGCGACAGCAACAGTCCCGCAGCAGGACGTTGGGCGCCTCCGACACCCCGCTACAGTGGCGCGTGGATCGACTCTAAATTTGCCCGCATTGCAAGCCAAATCTCGGCAGGTTCGACTCTGCCAAGAGCTCGGTTCTGGGGACTTTGATGGACTGCATCCTACAATGAATGAGGTCCCAACCGCTGCTCTGTGCTGGGTACTCGAATAGCGCAAGGCATCGTTCTCTAGACGAGTTTAAGATTCAGGAATCTTGTCGAAAGACAACAATTTTTCATCCGGCTCGATATGGAAGGCCCGAGAGATCCGTGACACAATAGGATCAAATTTTTTTTCCTACATTGAGATTATTCTAGCGACGATCAGTTGAAGTTAAGTGGTTAGACTTTCAGTCAGGATGCGGAGATTTTATGTCGATAAATGTTTTCCCCCTTGGTTTACATTTTCTTGAAGTATGATGTTGCACGTTAGAAGTGCAAGACGAGTATGGAAAAATTGTTAGCAAGACCACCTCCTCTTCCTCTCACAACAAAGCGGTGAAGAATCAACCCTCCGCAAGAGTCCTCACCCATAGGGGCTGCATAATGGACTTCAAAGCTATATGCGTCATCCATGCCTTCACCATTACCCTTCAATTCCACACTGACCCCGGCCCTTGCAAGCATCCGAAATTCGCATCTGGGTGCAAAGTTGAAAGTGAACGTGACACCATGCTACGCAAGCATGTCGCTTTTGGTCTCTCGGTATAGAGCGGAACAACAACCCAATCATCTGAAGGGTGGATTACAAAATTCCAAGAAAGAGGCGAAGAGAGGACGTGAGACGAGATCGTGTCGTGATTCTAACCCTTGCGTAAGAACAATTATCTGCTTACTTCTTGCTTCGTCCCACGGAAGCATAAGGCACACTCCACCCTTGTGTCAAAAAAAATGTGTCAAAGAAAATTGTTGATCTGAGTCCTATGTCTGAAAGCCGCCCTAGAGCGAACCTCGGCTGAGAAATGCCCGCACGCCAAAGCGGGGAGGACGACGACGAGCGAGGGAGGGAGTGAGGGAAGTGGAGGGAAGGAAAGGGAAGGGAAGGAACGGAAGCGTTGGCTGCTGTCGGTGCACGTCTGTGCTTGTCCGAGGGACCGAAAATCGACGGCACCAGATGCGGCGATGTCGACTGACGTCTCGGTCAAGAAATGGGTTTATGCCAAGGGTTGATGCTCGAGAGATGCCACCGCTGCTGTTGCGCGACACGTGGTTGACACTCCCTCGCCCGCCACGATATAAAACCTTTTCGCCATGAATTCCATCTCCGCTGCACTGCGCACAGAAACATTATCACCGGGCACTTTGGTTGATTGCAGGTTTCCTCGAGAGAAATTAATCGGCGGACGACGGGCAGTCGAGGCCAGGCCGGGCCAGGCCAGGGAACAAAAGGGGAGCGACAGAAGGCTCGAGGCCTGTCAGGGAGGCAGGCAAATAAGTGTCCCGATTTCTGGAGGCACCGACGGATGAGGCAGTGGAGGGCGCAGACGAAAGCAACTCCTCGGATCATTCTGCTGGCGGGCGCGGAGGGTGGAAAGTACTTCGGTCAGTTGGTCGGGCTGTGCAGAGCACTGGACCGTTGCTTCTTGGGCGTTTCTGATTCCCATTCTTTCCAAACGTTTCGGTCAAGAACTCAATTTGTCATCACGACACCCGAAGATTGTAGATTTTAGAGTTCCGAGTCGGCAGGTGCGCGAGAAGTGAGATGAGGAGAGACGGGAAATCGAACAATTGCTCTAGCTGGCCGACTTAGTGATCGATTGATAACGAGGAGCTCACTTTTGTGATCGTGTATACTCTGTATCTATGTCCTAAGACTTCAGGCTTCAAAATTGGCACAATACCGTGAAGTGGCCGCTTCTGCTCAATCACGAGGAAGTCTTAGTCGTGTGTGTCACGAGTAGGTACAGGAGTGAAGAAGGGCCAAAGGGAGGAGATGGGTAAGGCTGGAGGCACTGCGCAGGTCACCGGTCTGCTATTCTTCACGTGCTTTCTTGCCGTCGGAGCCTTCAAGGCGCCGTTCAGAGCGGAAGATCTGCTTCCTCTTTTGCCTCACAGCATTTCTTGGCCCCTCTTGAATACTCTCCACAACGCTGTGGACATATTACCGCAATTTGTTGGAGCTGTATCTGATGAGAACAGCACCGTCAAGTGGAAAGGGGCGTGCTTCTACGAGAATGAAGCCTTCATCGAATTTGTGGAGCCTTCCGATGATAATAAGTCGGGTGGTGGAGTATTGCATCTTGAGGTAAGACTTTCCTCTCCTTATCGTATCGTGTTTTTATAAAATGTATCTAAAGCTAGGCTGGGTTGTCGTTGAACTATCGCCACAAAACGAGAAAGTGTTGTTGTAACAACATTTCTCGTTTTGTGGCGATAGTTCCATCCCAATTCCCTGAGTTTCTATCCAAATCTTCAAACCGCCAATGTTGTTATGCTTCGTTAGCTGCCCTCGCAATTGGACAATTTCACAGGGGCGGTTTGGTTCACTTGCTCTGTATGTCATCTTTCTCTTTATTTTTTCCTTGGCCATCTGCAAAGTAGTGAGGGTTTGGCAGCGGGTACTGTGTCGACCGAAAGTTGCACGAGCTCAAATTAGTTGACTGAGTGCGTCGCTCTTCCTCGGGAAGTTGGGTCCAGGATAGACTTACACGTCCTAGGCACGTGTTTGTCCTTTGTGTGTGTTACGAATTTGACGATGAAAGTTTGGAGCAGCTTTCCGACTTCTATGTTCGTTTATGTATAGAGAATGCTATAGCCAAAAGACCTCTTTGTATTGATTTGAAAGATCGAGAGCTTCAACATGAGGTGGACATCCTCCTAGCTGATGGCAGGATGGCTTGTGAGACATTGGACTGACTATCGGTTGACGGGAGCGCGAGAACATTATAAATTCTCTACGTTGGCGTGGCCTCTAGCTCCTCGGTGCTCAGCTCTGTCAGAAAGTATATAACGTTGCAGAGAAAATTGGACGAATTGTTGGTCTCGTTGGTTGTAGAAAAGCCAGTCCTGATTAGAAACTGATCCACAACGGCCAGGCCAGGGAGGGTGAGTTGTTATGAACGTGTTACTACTTTGCTACATACTTCTCAGCTGTGCTCATAGCTTTGTTCGTTTTCAAATTGCAGACAAGTAACGCCCACAGCTGGACATGCATGGACCTCTACGTATTTGCCACACCTTTCCGGATAACATGGGACTTCTACTTCACTGCCCGAGCTCACACTCTCTACATCAACGAGTGGGAAGAGGGCGAGCAAGAATATGTAAGATTCCATTTACTCCTTTTAGATTTTACATAAATTCCTTATCAACGATTTATGTTCGGAGAAGATTTGCAAGAGGAAGTTGTCTACCGGTACAATCTCAACACTTTGCTGCTAGTATGTCAACTGGTGAACCACGGTCGACGCTAACGCTGGCTAGTGGATACCTTTGTAGGTTAGAGAGAAGGGGTTTTCGGTATTTCTTATGCCCGCGGGAATGCTTGGTACCCTCGTGGCATTGTGGGACGTGCTTCCCATTTTCTCCAATTCTGGGTGGGGTGAAGGCTCCAATATTGCCTTCTTGGAGAAGCACATGGGTGCGACATTCACCAAACGTCCAGGCCCTATTATTTCCAACATTACTATGGCGGAAGTGCATTCAGGGGATTTTCTAGCTCTCTCCAAAATTCGTGGTCGATGGGGAGGCTTCGAAACTCTGGAGAAATGGGTGACAGGTGCTTATGCCGGGCACACGGCTGTATGTCTTAAAGACGATGATGGCAACCTTTGGGTCGGCGAATCCGGTCATGAAGATGAGGAGGTTTATTTTCAACTTGCCAGAGTATTGAATTATGCTTGAAATTGTGTTTATCTACTTGTTACCGACAAAGGAATCTTGCTAAGCTTGCTAAGTTATCTTGAGATCTTCAAGTAGCTCCAAGCTGATTACACAACTTGAATTCTCTCTCTTCTAGAGATGTGGTACGGTCCGTCATCTCACGTGCGAGCTAATCGTGATGTTGCTGATCGGTATTTCTGTTGGTGTCCTTCCTTAAAATTATAAATGTGATCTTTCCACAGGGGAAAGAGGTTATCGTCGTAATACCATGGGACGAGTGGTGGAGTGACCAGCTCACAGATGATGCGGATCCTCAAATCGCCCTCTTACCTTTGAGTGCCGAAGCGAGAGCTAAATTCAACAACACAGCTGCTTGGGAGTATGCACGTAAAATGAATCGGCAGCCCTATGGATACCACAATATGATCTTCAGTTGGATTGACACGCGAACCGACAATTATCCTCCACCTCTTGATGCAAACTTGGTATACTAAACTGGAGCCTACATGTAGCCTTGTAGCCTACATGCTGCCATTGAGCTTGTTTTCCTTGCTTTCATGTTTTTGCAATAACGTCGAGAACAACGAAACATAAAGTACGTTTTTCTTTAACTTCGTGGTAATCTTGGACGCTCTCCCTCTACTTAGGACAGACTTATGGTTGGATACGGAAGTGTTTGCAATTTTCTGATAGAAGTTGGCGAGAACTTGGTCATTTCCACTCCTCCGGCCTTTTTAGTAGGTGACCTGGCCAGTACCCTGACAGCCGTTTTTGTTGTCCGCGGCAGGTGGCATCTGTGATCACGATGTGGACTCGCATTCAGCCTGATTATGCCTCAAATATGTGGAATGAAGCTTTGAACAAGCGACTTGGAACTGAGGTAAATACCTTATTCTTGAGACTATGCTTTGAACTACTATGCTTATACCTTCGAATGCTTATTTCGTCTAGGCTAAACCCACTAAGATGACGAAGTGAGGAATTTGGGAGGCCTGAGTTATCTCAATACATCGGCATCGCTATTTTTATATCTATCATGACTATGAGCAACTCCGGTGCCTGGCCTCGAACGCTTTCTAAATCGAGGAGCTAGAGGATTTTTCTACGGCATCCTGATGACATTTCGCACTTGTGATGGGGGAGATTTAAAGCTAACCGTGTACCATTAGATTTGTTGAGCGGAATCTGGAGATTGTTATCTGAATGTCCATCAGTTGGCCTTTACGGCCTTTGAAGAACGTCTGTTGTAATTTTAGAGAAGGTTTTTCTTAGGGCTTCAAGTGATGGTTGTAGTAAATCGCACTCTAACATTGCCTTTTTACCAGGGACTTGATCTTCCAAATGTGATTTATGAGAGCGAGCAACGAGGTATACCTTTTGAGGAGCTTCTTGCATTCCCAGAGCAAGATGATTGGGTGTACAGTGATGGGCAGTCAACAACCTGTGTTGCATTTATCCTCGAAATGTACAAGGAGGCTGGATTGTTCGGAGATCTCGCCGATCGTATTCAAGTCACAGAATTTACGGTATGTAGTTTTTTTATATCTCTTCATTTGTTACGCATATCACGGTCATTTCAATTGCTGTTGGAAGTCATGCTCGTACCTCAAAATAAATCTAATATGCTGGTTATTGTGGTCCTTATCAGATACGAGATGCTTACATGCTGAACTTTTTCGAAAGCGATCATTCGAAGCTACCTTCGTTCTGCAATCTCGGGGGAGAGGATCTCAAGCTGCCTTTCTGTCAAATTCTGGGCGGATATTGGATGGAGCTTCCTGACTTCAACACTATTACCCCTTATGCGCACATGGACGAGACTTGCCCGACAATCCCGCCGGATTATAAAAGGCCTAAAAATTGCTGAATTTTCATGGACTGGAGCTGTACATACTGCACACCATGTTATAGCTAGGCACAATTTTACGTTGTACATAGTAAGATCCTGCCTTGTTTGCTTTACTGTTAGTTATAACGAAGGCACAATCCCACAATGGTTGATTAGCATTACTGATGAAATGTCTGTGTTGAGGGCTGCTGTCTTCAGACAACCTCCTGGAAGTAAAATAGAAGCATGGAAATGCTAATGTATACTACTTGTAGGGAGCATGAAGCTCTTCTCAAGAAATGGTTCACAAGATAGGAATTTGAACTCGCCCCTTCTGCCTGTGAGTTGGAGGTCGGAGTAATGTACAGTTCTCTGTGGTTCTTTGTGAAGCAAGGCCTGAAAGTCTGATTGTTTCGTCTGAACTACTTTCCCAACTCTTAGCCAATGAACAAAAATAAGCTTGAAACAATTTTCGCGTTTTACTCTGATAAACTGTTTGTCCTGAGTTGAGCCTCTTGTCTCATCTTTGCATTTCCATCTGATCAACTGTCTTTGTCCACACTGCGCTTATGGATCATGACTGAACGTACATTGACGTCCATTTGCAGGTTGAATATATCACAAGCTAAATAACATGTTTATTGCCTCCGAATTCAAGCTTAGAATTGCCCACCGTGCATCAAACCTCTGTACTCCAAGTTTGCATACTCTAAATGTCCGAGTCGAGGCCACACAGCGGAGCTTTTATCCTTGGATGTGAAGAAAGTTTAATACGAATTTCAGTCTTAAGCTTGATGCTTAACTTGGAAAGATGTAGCGATACAATCGAATACAAATGTTCAACAACAGTCGTTAAAATTGAGTTATATATATAAACATTACTGCACAATGCTCAACCATCGATTTTACATCATAAATAATCTCTATCGACATACTCTGGTTGAACACACATGCTCACATTTCGACTCTCTTAACGTGGTTTTCCCTCAATATACCACAATTCGGACATTAGATACTTGGTGTAAAAAATTCTGAGTATGGATGAACGGTACAATTTTTTTTCGCCGTTCTGATTCTCATTAACCCCGTCTTCAACAAGTTGAACAATCGCCAAAGAATTACTCTTCGTTCGATCAGTTCAAATCACAGCCCATGTATTATCTTCCTACTCACCTGCCGAACAACACAGTAGTTCACCCTTGTAGCACAAACTTTTTCACATACTGGACACCTTGATTCGTTCTCGGAAATTATGTAACCACCGTATTTAACATGTCACAGCTTGGCTACATAGAAGATATTTGCTCGTTATACTTTGCATGAGAAATGTATGTGAATGAGATTGTTTTGAGTGTTGGGGTGTCAACATGGACCCATTCACACAAAACTTGTAAAAGAATCTAACGTGTAATCACATCAACAATCACGTGAGGTGTTTGTACTCTCCCCATCAAATGCACTAAAGTTGAATTGTATACTTCCAGCTCAACTTACATCGAGACCTCTTGTCCTATATTAACTACACCATTACATCATCCTGCAATGAAAGAACATACTCCTCAGCCATATTAGCCACCTTATTATCAACTTAGAGATTGTTACATACATACGACAACAGTGAATCTTAGCAGTGAAATGTTGAACCCTTTCCAAAAACAAACCGATCTATCTTCAATTTTCAAATAGAGACTATTTACTTCGTAAGTGTGAGTTACGACTTTGATGTTTAATATGGCTTGAGAGCGTGACTGTATCATTGTTGGTATGCGCACAAGAGTTAGAGTGAAGCTTTGATAGGTTGTGTAAATCGATAATATATTTGGTTTTACAGAACCAAGTACAGCTTTGACCTAAATCTAGTTTTCATATATGCGACAATATCATGGTCATGGAAAAATCATGACAACTAAGCTTGCGTGGTGGTTAATTCCTATACTATATAAATTCTGGGGATAATTGCTATACTTCTCAAAATTTGTGGATATAAGATTACTTTCTATAATTTAATTATTTGTGCCATATTGATTTTTAGATATGAGAAATAACATTGTTGCGAGGGAGTGTACGAAAGACTATCATATTAGGCGGCATATACAAAGTTATATTTAGATCATTGTATATCATGGTAGAAATCAAACATGTTTATAAAACTTTTCATAGATCAATGGATGATCTTCTATCATTTCATTGCTTTGCCAAAATACATGACTCATAGCGTTGATCTTTGCATACGAGTAAGTTCATGCACAAACTGTTTGAAGTTACATGATGTGATGCTTGATGACAGAGTTTGATGAGGTCAGGAGTTCGGGAGTTGCTTGGAGTTAGCTATTCATGATCCCAACAAAGGTAACTGACCTGACAGTATCGGAAGTCTTATGTGTCAGATCAAATTGTTTGAGCATGAAACTGAGTAAATAATCATCGAGATGTTGGATCTTATGAAGAACTCGGATAATTGACTATAAGTATACTCTTGGCCAATCATATCAGTCTGTGAAAATTGACCTTGTTGAGCAAGAAACAATACTCATAGGTGAATACCACAAAGTAACCTAAATTTGTTAGTTTTTCTAATGACAACAAGTTCTTGGTACGACCTGGCTCGTAAATAATCTATTTGATATCTTTACTTCATCAATTTGTAGAGTTTCCTTGCCAGTATGGTAAACAAATCTTACTAGGGTGAAAATCCCATACTGAAAAGAGTCTGGTTGATATGAGCTAAGCATTGACATATTTCATGTCACATGAGTACTAGCCTTCTCTCCATTTCAACATTACTCACATCATGAACTTGTTTATTCTTGTCTTCACAAATCTAAGAAATATTCTCTAAATTATTGTAATGACAAGACTTCTAGCTCTATTGGCTCATATTCTAAGTCCTCTTCTTAGCTGTAGTCATATTCATCTACTATGTTGACTAGTGCCTTAACTCGGCACATTTTAGACTCAAGAAACTTAATGAGCAAATAGCGCAACTATAACTAGTTGCGCTATTTGCTCATCAAGTTTCTTAAGATCACAATCAGATTTTGAGTGATTCAAATGACCACAAAAATTACAGTGGGTATTTTTTTGAGTTGAATCGGTATCATTTTTTTCTCTCATTTTCTCCTTGATAAACAAGAGAATGAGAGGACTGAAATAGGAGCAATGAGGACGTTGTTTGAGAAAGTTAAACTTTGTGATCACATTGGAAGTGTTATCCTTTTCAATCGAATCAAGTATTGTAAGTTTGGACCACATTGTACCAAGTCGTTGAACTTAGATGGAGGATCTAGAAAGAGGTCGATGTTGAAGTTGGGGACAAACAATGTCCACGAGAATGGAGGATCCTTGAGAGAGTGATGAATCAAGTGAGTGCCAGAAGTTCAATGGTCAATGGCAGCGAGTTGGATCTTGAGCGACGGATGGCAAATGACAGCAAGTTGGATCTTGAGAGATTGGATAGTCTGAAGAAAGTATTTGACTATGACAAGAGCACGCTTCTTAAGAGTTGCAAGCTTTTCAGTTAGCATGAGCCAAAGCTAAGCATTGTTAGATTGATACAAAGTGCGCAAATACATCCCTAATCCAAAGACATTATCCTCAAACTCAGCAATGAAGGAAAAAATGTCAAGAGAGACACTCACTATATGATGGCAATTGATTTGATGCGACTACGAACAGTTACATCATCGGCAACACCAAGAAAACGGTTTCTCATAGATCCCTTTGATACGAAGCATGATTTTAAGTCAAATAGACCAGTTCATATAGTTGGTGTGTCTGTGAGCTTTTCTTCAAAACGCAAGTGAGGCTGAATTGTAGTGGTGGTTGTCCATGGCGGCTGGGCCGTAAGACGCTATCTAGCATGGGAGAGAGTCAACTGTTTTCAAGTGTAAACAACACTATAATCGATATTACCAATCAAGATTCGTCAGCCGCCGGAGGATTGTAGCACACTCCCTGATACCATGTTGTGAGAGAAAAAAGCCTAATGGTAGATGGATACAGCGCAACACTTAAGTAGTTGCTAATCGAGACACTAAAGCTGAATTAACTAGAATTAATCGACAAGGTTAAACGGTTCTCCTCGTTTACAATATACTTAGACTTATAACATTTTTGTGACATTGTAAATCGTATTTCGGCTTGTATGCTTTGGCTTTATATTCAATGTATGTAGTGATTACTTTGGCTTTTATACTCAATGTACGCAGTGAAATCGAGCAGCGAACAAGAGCAGACACTTATCAGAGATTTAACGTTAAGGAGATGAACATATCCTAGGGAGCTATGGAACTTTCATACGCTGCAAATGACGGGGCGGTCCCTCTCCCCTCACTCTCGCTCCTGGCAGTCACTCCCTCACATTATGGCCCACCGCATATAGTTACAATTACTTTTTTTAGAACTTGGTGAAGGTGTCTTCAGTGGGGTCCCTGGAGTAATACTTGAGGGGTCCGTGTAAACTCTTTGTGTTACGTAGGGTCCCATCAAGTTATTCTCCAAAATGCTCCAAAGAGTTCAAAGGAAAAATAGGTGATGTAGGTCATAGAAGCGTGAAGCACGTTTGGTGATGATTTTATGTATGCTTGAGGAAGAATTAACCTGATTTACATAGATTTGTCCTGCGTATTAAATGCAATATGCCATGGTTACCACTGTGATGGTTCGGGTGTCATGCACCTTCTTAGTGATCAGGATTCATCCATCTTCAGTTCGATGGAGTCTCTTCCGTCCTTTCTGCTGTATATTCCTTGCTTGCCGTTCAGATTAAGATTACAAAGACATTTCATATTACTTACAATTTACTATCACTATCAGTGATGACTTTTTCAGATTGCAGGTAGAAAAGAGATGTTCGGCATACACTGCACCTCCGAACATATCCTGCAAGTTTTTAAATTATAAATAAGAGAGTTCCACTGGATTCGAAAGTTCCTACAGAAGAATCTCTGGCTTTACCTCTAATTCTGCAGATGAGAACTTTGTACATTTCACATTCGACGAGAAGCCCAAGCGGGAGGAGGGAAAAATTAGTACATGAGGCACACATATATGACTCTCATAAGATAGTTCTCAATCATGATGTTCACAATGCGAGAGACGTATTATTAAACCATCGAGCTTCGATATCGGCCAATGTGGACGTAAAGCTCGCTCTTACAACGGTACAAGCCGCTAGTGCAGCAATGCGCCCGCCCTGCTTCCGCCCTTTAATCCTCGAGATCATATTCGCCACATAAGTCAGATATGTTCCTGACTTCATGACTTCGAGATTGACAAGGAACCTTCTGGTTTCTTGATGCTTGTATGGCATGCAACCATACTACTAAACTCGTATACTGATATACTCCAATTGAGGTAATTGTAGCGAGTCAGAAAATGGCAGGGTACACATTCAGGAGCTTAGCAGTCAGCAGCTTCCTCTAGACAAAATGCCTAAGTGTTTAATATAAATCGTGTCCATCCCTAACCTACCATTCTGAAGGACATCGGGGACTGAGATGATTGTAAGAGTTCGGATCCAATGTTTCTGGTTCACTGCCAAGAGAGTGTTAATGGTAAGTCTGGCAATATGACTCTAGGATCACGTAGTAAACAAATTATCTTCTCTCGACACTCAGCCCTCAAGACTTTTAATATGACACCATTTGTACAAGAGCTAGACTCTAAGGAACAAAGAATTTGTGAAAGCCAATTCTTTTCTATGCCCTCGCCGGCTTTCATTCCGTGAGATACCTCGATATCTCTTCAAGTTGAAAGCGCTCTAATGAAGCACTGGCAATATCAGAGACTTTGAATGATGCCCCTGACGTAGTTAGCAGGGATCCTCTGTTTTCCAATTCATCACAGAAGTCTGCCAAAGAGTGAGGTCTTCAGCGGGGTGCCCTGATGAACACAAACAAACGAATGTCATCTTCTCTCTTGGAGTTCTTCCTATGGAATTATTATCGCTTGCACGGAAACCACAGCATTAAACTGGGGATGAAGTAAGAGGTGGGTTTCAGTTCTAGAAAGGAGGAAGGGACATTGTTGCCATTTTCACGTAGTAGATCCTTACCATTCGCTCTTCTTCTTCAACCCCACGACGTTGCTTCAAAATTTTCTCTCGTTGGATTGCAGCATTCATCTCGGCAGCTCGTAGAGCCTTCTCCTTTGACCTCCCAGTGAGGGGAATTTTGTATTCTTCCTGGTGTCTTCTCAGTCTCTCGTTCTCCTTGCTGCATAGATTCTCTTTACCCGTACTTTCAGAATCCTCTCTCAAGATTTCATCAAGACAAATGGCCGGTGACTTGGGACTAGTTGAGCAAGTTTCTAGTATAACTGCACTCGATTCTTTGTTGGAGTCTCGGAGGCTCAATGGTGCGACAGATCTCTCTGGAGTCTTCTTCGACCCCCAGCAGATGTCAAGAAAACTGACCTCCGTGTTCTTCTTGGCATCCGCCATGTTCATGCCCCTGGGTAGCTGACATTCTAATGAACTCGATGTACTTGACACACCGATTAGTGGTGTGTAAGCAGATTCACATCTTCCAGAACTGGCCTCCTTCGGAGTACCGTGCATCTTCGCAGAGTTCAGAGCCGCCCTCTCCATAAGCTCAAATTTTCTCACGTTGGCAGAAGCAGGGCGTTTTACCTTTTCGTTCAGTTTCTGTGCTTTGGGAGTTGGAAGATTGGTAGCTTTGCGAATCCAGGAAAGTTCAGATATGGGCCCACAATCAACGTTTGTCTCCACGGGTCTTGGAATCTCTACGTACTTGATCTCTGCAAACTTGCCCTCGCTCACTAGGGGTAAGCTGTTGCCAACTAAGACATCCTCTGCTAACGCCTTCTCATCTCCCAAAGGTACGCCTGAAGTCGGTGACAGAACTTCTGCTTTCTCATTCGATGATGAGTTGCTCACTGCAACGCCGTCAACATTTTTACTTCCGACTTTCGCAAGGACGGAGGCGAAGCTGTTGTCACCATTGTCCATTTGATCACGTTGAGGTGAAGCAGGATCATCTACCATAATGGCTACACCGGTCGTTTGCGCACCTGAGCTCGGGAACTCAGGGACTTCCTGGGCGGCAGCATCTCCATAGACCTCGGTCTTGTAAGCAATTCTGTCAGGAGCAAATGAATCTGACCCCGTGCTTTGAAGTGATTCTTGTTCCACCGTCGTCGGCTCGTCGTCGGAAAGACCCGCCGAAAGAGCAGGATGCCAAAGCGACCTTTTACCAGCCAAAACCTCTAATCTTTTAGCTTGTCCGAGTTTTGAGGCACGTAAAATTTCAGCAGCAATCCTTGATGACCTTACTAAAGGAGATTGCTTGTATTCAGCCCTTCGGCTGGCAGCAGGTCCATCCATCAGCTCTTTCTCTTGACTGTTACTCTCCAGTAGATCCACAATCTCCTTCACGTAGCCAGCAATTGGAGAGGAAGATTCCGACCTATTGATACAAATGGATTTCGTTAGAATGCGCCGTACTTTATGTTTTCCACATATAAAAGAAAAGAATAAGTGGGCGACTGTGAGAGTCTGCTAAGTCCGAATATATGTTACAGCTGACCTGTTCTCAATTTCTTCATCCTCCGTTGTTACTTTGGTCAACTGCAAAGAAAGAGACGATGAAGATCAGAAGCTATAAGAACGTACTGTGAGGGCTGAAGGAAATAGACATGCCTGTGACCGCATACAACACACCATTCCAAACTTCATAAACTTGTAGTTCGTGCTGACACTTCTCAGCAAGTACTCAGCTGCCTTGCACATACAGAACATAATTATGGAAAAGTATGTCACGACTCAAGATGGATGAAGAGAAAGAGATTTTCTGTGTAAAGTGTATGTGAGATCCTGCGTCATAGAAGTTCATAAAGCGTATACGAGATTTGGACCAAGAACTGAAAAACAGAGAGATGATGTGCCCTTTACCTCTAACGCGTCACTGGAAACAAAAGATGACTCCGCCTCGACTGCAAATTCTTTCTCCTCAGAAACACTTCCACTGCATCTACTGATCCTCGCGATCCCCCTGACCTCCTCATCGGTAGGAGGAGGTAAGGAAACTGGGCTGACAACAGGGACATTCAAAGGAACATCGAAAGAGAAGTCGTTCTCAACTTCGTTTTGAGATGCGTTTCTGGATCTCGGCGGCGAGGATAATGTAGGCCTTGGTAGTGGGAAGGAGCTGGGAGCGCAGATACCAAGGCTTCTCCTCACCTTAGGACTCAAAGAAGCCGCGTTCAAGCACTTAAAAGGCCCAAATACTTCCTCCTGCGTCCTTGCAACGAATCCTGAACTCAAGGTAGGCAGTCGTTGAGACACAGCTCGGCTCTTCAAATTTTCACTGGTATGTGAACTGATTCTGATAGCTCCATCTGTTTCCAACATGTCTAATACTGGAAACCCTCTGTTGTTCAAGTCAACGACCAACCTGACTCCGTCCTTATTTGAAACAGAGAGGTCTGAATTAGAAACATGCGGCATCACTGATATTGGAAGAGGAGAGCTGTCTACCGTTTCCCCTAATTCAAAACTCAGAATTTCTGTATTCAGTCTCTCGGTCGCATCTGTATCCTTCTCTACCGTGGAATCATGCCTTCTAGCTTGTCGCAATTCCTTCAATGAGTCCATAGTCAAGCTCTCCCGGTTCATAGCGAGCGTCTCGGTCCATGACTCAGAAACATTAGTCACTTCCACGGTCCCTGTAAACTTGTCCGAATATCCGTCTAACGCGTCTTTCAACTCCTCCGAAAGGGGAACTGGAACCTCTATCATGACAGTTGTTTCTGGTGTCAGAGCCTGAGCCCTTTTCTCGGAAGTAGAAACGGACTTCTGTACAGTGTCTTCGTCTGAAGTTCCATCTGGTTCGGCATCCATCTGACATCTCTCTTCGCATGCTAAGCTCTTCGCTTCACTCACCTCAAATGCTGATCCTGCATGCCTTGAAGATTCGTCTGGCAGTGTTTGGCTGTTCTCTGAGGAGAAGTCCATCTCCCTGACGCCACTTTCAGACAGTGGACCTGCGCACTCTGCAGAAACATCGATCATCGTGTCGATGACCTCACTGTATTCAATTCCATTCATTTCACTTCCAAACCGAGAACTGTCGATCATTTCACCTGCCAGAAAACTCTCACTCGTTTTATCGAGGTTCATGCTACAATCTATATCTTCCATGTCCACCTTTGAATCTTCACTCGGTGAAGAGTCCTCGATCATTTTGCCTTCCTTCTCACTGAGTTTCATTTCCCTGCCATTGCTGCCGGAGAGGGGGGTTTCTTCGGATGCACAGTCACCGGTCATCGTGTTGGTAACCTCACTGGTGTGCAAACTAGTCGTCTCAGAGTTTTTAACCACTAACTGTACAGCTTTCGGTGAGGCATTATCAATCTCCATAATTTCGGGCAGATTGGTAATCCGCAAGCCCTGGAAAACCTCTTGCCGTGACTCTGAGATCGTTGGTAGCGAGTCTACTCCTGGCGAGATCTGAAAATTTCGGATTCGGAGTCAGAATCGCATACCATTGAACCAACGAGCGACTTGAGAGATTAGACGGATGAGGGAAGAACACTACAATGCCAACAACATGCAACGCTACAGTCCGACAGAAATTTCAACAACACAGAACTGTAACCAGTCGTGTGGCGAATTCCATATGATCCAAGTTCGCGGAGGGGTCTTTTAGTGATCCTCGGCACCACTAAAGGCAGGCGTTGGAAATTCCAGACGATGGCATTCTCGATTGTGCCAATCCAACTTCTGATTCCTTCGTGATGTTTTTAGTATCCGAAAATTCTGAATGTGAGCTGAAATAAAACAGTGATACTAGCCTGACATAGGACTAACAGGTCAAATTGGAAAGCGGGAAAGATAGCGGGTCGGGTACGAACCATGGGGCTCTCATCGATTTCACTAGATGAAAGATAGCTGCTCCTGCTAGTAATCGCTGGACTGTCAATGCCACTGGCGAGACGCTCCGGATCCTGGGGAAAGACACGCACAGCTTATTAACAAACGAATACATCGTCGCACTCTACCCAGTTTTTCGTAATCTCAGCTCTAAAAGTCCAACTGAACTCAAGCTTCCTTCATCGTGGTACTCACATTTAGCAAAGCCGTCAACGCATCCGCCATCGCAACATTCGTTTTGTTGGCTGGAAACCCATGCTTTTTACACAGAGACTGCAGTTTTTTTCGAGGAAGTTCGTGGTAGTTGACAGGTCCTACGCTTTTCCTCCTTCCTGCCATAGCTCAGATTCCTTTGAAATCAAATGAATCACCACTTCTGCAAACACTTACACCTGAGGAAGCCAAACGAAAATTCTCGCACGGGTCCTTTGTAATACCTCTTGAACCAATAGTGCCCAAGCTACCGAGATGATAACTGTCAGAGCCAAACACAAATCAGAGCAACTATTGCAAGTGTAGGATGTGCAGGGGAAAGACTAAACTGATGGGCGGCAAGAGGAGGTCAAAAATAAGTGCCGCAGCCGCTGGAAGAGAAAGGGAGGACGAAGGGGGTCGAGGAAGGCCACGATAATACGCAGGAACGATTTACTGATTGGTATATGCCCGACGATTGAGACGCACTGGATGCAAAGAGAAAAGAGTGCAACGGAAATGAGAGAGAGAGAGAGAGAGAGAGAGAGAGAGAGAGAGAGAGAGAGAGAGAAGGGCTCGAACTGTTCAGGACTGGGATCGGAATCGACCCGCGGGGGAGAAGGTTACGAGGGATCGAGAGAGGTGCCGAGAGGTCTCATGGGAGAAACGAATTCGTCGTGCGGGACGAGGAGAGAAGGAGGAGGACTGGTGCCAGAGCTGACGAGTGCTCGTTCTCTCTCTCGGCACAGAGGAGGAATTCAAATGGTTTGAATTGAACTCGAGATGGGCGGAACGGTCATCTGACCGTTCCACACCATACTCCCTTCACGGTCCCCGACGGTCGCCGTTCAAAGGACGACGGTGACTTCGGCGTAAGGCTGGTTTTGTCGTTTTTCCACATAAAATTCCCTGTTTTGCAAAATAATAACTCTATCGAGCCACGTCTTCACCTGAAGAGTTATTTTCACAAACATGTATTATTTCTATTCACACTTATTAGATCTCTTGTTTTACATACCTCTTTAAAAGAAAATTGCACATAGTAATGAAATCATATAGGCAAAATTCAAACTTGTACGTTACGTTTACATATCTATGTGGATTTTGATTTATTATCCTCATTTATTCACCACATTAATCTATAAACTAAGCAGAGTGAATAGAATAGAACTAGTCGAGCATCAAGAAAAGAATACAAAGATGACAGATCTTTGTTCACTTGATCCTACCATTAAATCCTATTTCAGATTTGGCACACACATTTTATTTCAGTTGATTTTGGATTTTGTGTAACGTTTTAGGTTTATTAAGTATGGAGGAGACTAATTATTATCTATTTGATACTTGAAAACTATTAGCAATTTCATCTTCATAATTTTGGACATGTCTTAATTCACTATGTGCAAGAAAAATTTGAAAATTGAATAATAGTTTATATTCATGGACTATAAACCTTCTAAAAATATTTTGAAATCATAACCTTTAGTCTTAAAAGGTAAAACCTTAACTACTATTTTTCTTTTCTTCACTTATAGATTGACTTGAGATATAAAGCTTACAATGAAAATTCCAACTGCTCTACATTCACAATACATGGATTCGCTATAGCAATATGCATGCTTATTAATATTTTCTCTTAGGTAAATTAAATGTATTAGATGCATTATTATGAGTTAATTTAGATCTTAGTTAATGTAATAAATTAGTCTAGTTAGTCTATAATTATATAAAAAGCAGATTGTATTTCTTAATAAAGTATGAGGTTTTTTTCAATAGACTAGTATTGTGATTCTAGTACATATCTTGTTTATAATAGTGTGTATGTGAACATTTGATGTTTAGATAATTCGATTGATATAAAAAAAAATGTAATATTACATAAAGATCAAAGCTAAATTTCATGATTTTATTGTTGATAAAGATTGAATTCAATTATTCGTATTTTTATATCTGAATATAAACTTATCATAGTCTTGTATATTTTGAATTGAAATTTTAACGTTATTGAATTAATATGAACCGATTTTTGGAATTTGAAGAAACATTTAAAATAATATTTTATTTTTTATAATCATAATAGTAATAAATATTTTTATAATACTTAACTATTATTTAAATATCTAAAATTGAATCATCTTTGAATTTATGATAATCAATTGACTTGATTCAAAACTAAAATGATAGATTATTCAAGTCAATGGGTATCAAATTAAGCTTATTAAATTTTGAAATAAAATAAATGCATGTTGTTTCATTTTAAGACAAAATTGATGATAACGATCTTGATAAATATACGTGGTAAATGATATTTTTTATTGACTAAATATAAATTTTATATAAATTCAAAAAATCTCTAAGCACTTTCATTCAATTTTTGATGCATGAAAATATAGAATCTACACAGTATGATGTATGTATAATCAAAATAAAGTAAAAAAATCAATTATATGGATATAAATTATTTATAAAAAATTTATAATATAGTTTTTTCATAGCTTGCAACTTGCAAACTATGAAAATAACATTTAAACATTGATTTGAGAAAAAAATTTAGATTGAATAAACTATTATTCTTCAAATTAATGTTTATATGAAAAAAAAACTTAAAAAGTTATATGCTTTCTTAAAGAATATTTCTATTTTAAAATAACCAGATGAATTCAAATGCAAAGTGAACGTATTATTTGATTTTTTTATCATGTTGTATTATCATTATAAGTGATGATAATAGAATTAAAGATACATCAATCGCAAATAGAAATTCATCGCCATCTTAATCTTGCAATAACTTTAATATTGGCTAATATTTTTTCAAAAGCTTTAATTTAGACCAAAAAAATGATCAAGAGAACAAATTGAGAATTTACTTTGCACATAAGTTTCAAAAGATTTATTTTCAGGATGGCATGCATCAAGTAATATTTTTTTTTCAATAAAAATATGATATTAACTGGATGAACGTTTACAAATGTGACATTTGAAATCTATTTAAAAAAATAATTGTTACAAAATTTTTGATAACGTTTTGAAATATTTTATTAAAATATTTTAAATTTAACAAAAAAATTTTTTGTTTTCAGTTGTGTGTTTTCATTCAAAAACTAAATCAGTAAATTCTCTTTGTTTAAAATTATCTCCTAAATGATTCAAGATTTATTTAAGATCCCAGTCCTTTATTTCACTCATTTTTTTCTTCTTTGTAACGATCAATGAGGATATCTTCACCAAGTTTTATAATTTAACATTTAAACCGTATTAATAATTGAAAAGGATTAAAATTGAACGTATTTTGATACAGTGATTGTTGTTGTGTTACTTAAGTATAATATTCTGTTTAATATTTAACAAAATCTTGGTTGAAAAATAAAATAAAATGTAATTTTAATTTTGAATGATATTACATGCAACGCTATCATTCACTCAAGTAGATCATCATTGATATGGATTTATAATACATGAATCGATTGGGAGACAAATTGAAGTGAAATGGATAGTTGTAGAACGATCAATCTTGGTTTGATGAATCTTATAAAGGATGACTTCATTGTAGAAGTTTTTCTCAAGTTTCTTTATGTAATGGAGATCATGCAAGCCTTAGCATGACACGAGTGGAGGGACTTTATCATTTTGCATTTTGTAACATTGCTACATTCTTTTGGTAGTTATTCACATAGCATTAGACTTTGCGCTCGTTCGGAAGGAACATTGTTTTGATCGACAATGCTTTCCATCCGCACAATGTTTTACACGTGGTAAAATTAAAGTTGCTTCTGGGAAGATAGAAAGTCATAGAAAGAGTGGCTAGTGAGCGCTTTTGCTCTCTCTGCATCACTTTGACTTCAGGTCAAGTGTTTTTTCTCCTTTATACCAACAGGCTTTCCATGTTACTCCGATTGAATTATATGCATTTAAATAGCTGACTATCGATTTGAGAGATCGGTAAGAGACTAGACAAGTTAGTGCTGCAATGTATTCTATACGGTGTAATATTTCCAGAAATTGACACATGGCTCCTTTATGACTCTAAAGCAACTCATGTAGACAATTTTGTATAACAAACCATTGTATAATACATTCAAATTTGAGTTACAGCCTTTACAGTTCTGACTCTCTCACGAAATTCATTTAACATATCATGCGTTGGGCGAAAAGGTTGCAACAGCGAGGTTTGAAGGGTATGGTCGGTCACGACATTTAAAATCAGTTCGGATTCAGTTGGCAGAGCCCGTGACTCATGGCAACCTTGTATACTGTGAAACTTTAAAATGTGACGTAGACCATCACAGTTTTGACTCAGGATTCGCAGTATCCTACTTTGACTCTATCAACTCTGCAAAGGAGTCTGTAATGTTAAATAAGTTGGGACAGCATGTATAACGTGGAGGTAGCAAACTTTGTTACTCCAACTCCTTCTCCAAATAATGCTAAATTTTACTCAACATCGAATATTGATATTCTGGTATGATAATATATGACATTAGATTCATACAAAGAAATCGACAATCAGGTTATATAGCAACTTAGTTCGAAGAAGTAGATCATAATCTCTTTAGGAAGCGGGGGGACCTCATTAATGTTGGGTCCTTCTCAGTTTTGCCACCTGTTTCGATTTCGAGCTCTTCAACACATTGCGTGGCTTTCTTCTCTAATATCTTGCCTCGGTCCTCGTTTCACCGACAATATATGCCCATGACCGTTCGCTTACAATAACGTTTAACATATACTTTGCCAGCATGTCAATACCATAGGCCATGCCAATACAATAGGCCATGCCTGCTATCTTTGGGAGCTACTTTCAAGTTGTTTATACGTTCAACTGCTTTGTTGAAGAGGAACATATACACAACATGTTGTGTATATGTCTAATAAAATATCGATAGTGTACATGTGGACCCGACAGTTCACAATAATTTCATCACGAAGGTTTCCGGAATTTAGATTTTCCGTTGTTGTCTGGCACGTGGGAGAATGACGAAAATCTCGACTTTAACATGGACCTGTTATGGAAGCTCTTGGTGATGCCAAATTACGGTACTAGCCTTTTCCGTCAAGGATGAACTATGTGTAATGATGAATGTACATTTGTGCGAGAAATTCCACCATGGATCGTGACCTGGACGACAGCGGTAAACGCAATCACAGTCTTTTCAAGAATGGCGAATGGCAGTAAGGTCTTGCATCATTTGTGCGCCATATTAAGGTCTTACTGATAAGTTGGAAAATTTTGTGTTCCTAGAACATCCGGAGCCCCGTGACTCTCATGACCACGACGAGCATATTGTTCCTTGTTATAAAAAGCATATTCATGTTTCCTTTGCAGCTAAGGAGCTTGCAGGATTGTCCTTATCCTTAGGCTGCCCTCCTTGTTTTCGCTAGCCTAGGAGGGGGAAAGAGGAAGACACGGGCGATTTCGCTAAAGTCCAAATTTCTCTTTTGAGAATGCTCGATGCCATTGGATATGGCATAAAGCATGCCCATGGCGGGGCCCATCTAGAATCACAAATAGGATGAGGACGGGTGAGATACAAACAAAGAGTGCAGAGTCATAAACCTAGAGGTTCGGATTGTTACGAAGTTCGGGAGTTCTGTCTCCCTCTCATTACAGTACGCAGTCTGTTGGACGCACTCAAGTCTACACAAATATGCCTCGGATTAGGATAGGATAATTCGAACAAGGTTCAAGACACCAGGGTCACATATATGAGCTTTCAACGTCTTGTGCCGAATCGTATGGACTGCGGTGACCAGTAGCACAGTGGACAAGCCTAAACAGATTTCTCGCCGTCATCTGCATCCAGGATTCAGCGCATATACGTCCACGGTCGCCCGATCGTTCAGGGCGTTAGAGAGATGAACCCGGGCACCGGGTCGCGGGTGACGAAACGCCGGGAGTGGTGTCGTGAGAGCGAAAGACGTTTCCGGAACCCATGGTAGGAAAAGACAAAACTGGGCAACATCCGGTATAAAACACGGCATGCCAGCAAGAGCAAGGGAAGTGCCGGGAGTGGTGTCGTGAGAGCGAAAGACGTTTCCGGAACCCATGGTAGGAAACGACAAAACTGGGCAACATCCGGTATAAAACACGGCATGCCAGCAAGAGCAAGGGAAGTGCCTGCAAGCGCGGGGCCAAGTAAGTAGAAAGTCGGCCCTGAGCCGAGAGAGAAAGGAAAGGAAAGTAAAGGCAATGCCACCAAAGGCCACCGAAGGTCTTGTTCACTTTACGGATCCCTCTGTAATTTTGTGCTTTACCGTACATGTATCTCTTGGATGGGCAGGAGGCGTGTGGAGCCACTCGCCAGATCGCTTAAAGCTGCCACTTCGCTCACGTGTAGTGTAAAGTTGGAGGTTCGCCCTGAGGCTTCTCATTGACTAATAACCGCACCGAGTCGAGAACCGTAGGGCCCACCGCGTATGATTTCGCGTATGATCACCGCCGTATCCGGTGAATAAGTTGGCGAAGACGCTGGTTTGTCCAGGAGCAGCGAGGACTGAAGGGTGCTTTGAACTCGGCAAGCGGAAGCGTTCTTCTCGAAGTGTACGTAGGGAGCGTACTGCGTTGGTACCAGCAGGCGCGCGCGGAACTTGTGGTGCACGCTACTGCAGTTCCAGGAGGAGGCGTTGTTTGCGGTAGAGACTGTGGCGTGGCTACCACTCGTTGACTGCGTGAGGTGCGGGTGAAGGGGGAGGGCGATGCGAGGTCGTTTGCCTCTGTGGCCTTGGATGGGGCCCGGTCTACTCAGGGCTCGAGCTTGCGCTGCAGGTGCTTGCTCCCCACCCCCCTTGGAGTGCTATGCTGTCGTGGCATTCGAAAGGGGGAATGAGTGAGCGTGTCAGCTGTCCGACATTAAATTATTTCCGGAGCTAGGCGTTTGAAGACCCTGAACAGTTGTAGACCGGAATAGATATTACAGGTTTTGCTCGTAAAGATTGCTCTTTCGCGGTGGAATTGCAGTTGCAGCAACATCGTTGGAGTGGAGTGTGCTGGACTGTCACACGTATAGTGGGTGCGAGCTCATTTCGGTGATTCAAACCTCAGGCGTCGAGCGGCGTTCCGGGACCCGGGAGCGCAGAGGCACTTGAATAAAACAGGCCATCCGCCACAACATTGGTCATTGATGTTGGCCCTCCGTTGTCGTTGAGCGCGCGGGCTCCTTCACTCCGTCCTTGCCTCCCTCCCTCCGAGGATGCATGATTGCGGTAGCTCTCGAACTGTCCAGTGGAGTGATGGTTGAGTCGATTTATGATGCCTTCGAAGCCTCTCGTTGCCAGGATCAGGCTCGATTGACTAGAATCTGGAGCAGGAATTGGAGTGCTCGGTGCAGGGGCTGAAGCTTGGATGCTCGTGTTGTGCCCTTCTGTTCTTCCAGGAATATCACACCGGTGTCTTTCAGCTGACCAGAGGACGGATTCCTGACTGTACTCTACTGTAAGTTGTTTCCCTCTGAGGACGAGGAGCGGCAACAGTGCGCGCTACTGTTTGCATGCGATCTGGAGGAATCACTGGATCAATTAGTGGCGGAGCTAGGAGGAAATGTATATCTGTAGCCCGGGTTTCAGGAGCTGGCATCTTCGGGTGGCACCTGGTCGATTTTGTCTTACCATTTTGAACGACGTCGTCGGCCAGAGAGATTTTCCAGATTGCTTCTCTAGCCCCTGACGACAGAGTGCCTGCGCCCACCGCTGTACATAGACCGGCAATCTTCGCGGGATGCGGAATCATATCAAAAAATTATCCAGCTGCGAAGCAAAAAGGCGGTGATAAATCAGCGCAGGCCGAAGTTTGATCCAACAGGGCACACTTCTTCAAAAACAATCAGGTTCGTCGACTGTAAGTCCCTGCGGCAAATCTGAGCTTCAGCTGAGGAAGAATCTGAAATTCGTCTGAGAATGAGAATGTATGTACGTCCTGAAGTGGCTTTTCCGGGCCACCAGTCTTGGATGGAACATTGTGGTACAATTATTCTTAGTTCTCGTGTACGAATCGGTTGGAAATGTTTGTGCGATGAATCTGATAGATGTTAATTGTGTCGTGGGGAAAGAGAATGGGCGGTGCCGATTCCGTCTTAATTTGCACGCAAGGTTCTCCTCGGATTCAGTGATTACTTGAATCCGTGAAAGCTGATTTGGGATGATCTGCCTTTGCCTTTGCTAAGTGCAAGGCATGGAGTAACTTCAAGGGCACAAACGTTGCCATCGATGCTGTGCTGTATCCATCGAGGGAGCCAATATGTGTTGAAGAATAGGAAGTTCATGCAGCTGGATATGCCATTCTGAGTTTGCGAAGGAAGGCCGCCAATGTGAGTACTGATTTTGTGTGTTCTTTGCGTTTCAGATAGAATTTCTACAAGAAAAGGCAAAGCGGAATCGAGGCCGGAGATGCGAGTGAAGGTTGTGTACCGAATGCAAACCTGTCAAAGCGCCTGCAATTGCAGTTCTGAACGACGATGTTAGCGTAGAATGTACAACAACTGAGCGACCCGGGTTTCCACGTCGATTTGTGAAAGGGCCTCTTTAGCGTCGAGGGCAGCATTTTCCGCAGACCCAAGTAGAATTGAATCATCAGAAAAATTTATTTTAGACGGGAAAAGCTGGTAGTGTGGAAATTTGCGGAGGTCCACGAGCTCGCACATCTTTCCTGCTGGATTCCAGAGTAAACAAGAAATCTTTCGCAGGTGTTATCGATCTCATGTTCCCAACCAGACCAAATTAGCGTCCACGGCAAGAGCACTCCAGAATTTGACATACTTCTCGGTGCCTGTGGTGAGGAAAAATGTTCGTAGTAACAGATAAAGCGAGCGCCATTGCGCTGATGATCGTTTCGCTGTGGTGCCTCGGATCGTGGCCGGCCTTCTTCAATGTTCTGGAGCGCCGAGGCCGCCTTCCACAGCACACTTATTTGGACTATGCCATCAGCACGTACTTGATCGCGTGTTTTTTCGCCTTAACTCTTGGCCAGGCAGGGCCCAGCTCGCAATCGTCCCCGAATTTCATCGACCAGTTGGGCCAGGTGAGAGCCCGCCCTTCTCGACCTTCTCGCCCTTGCCTAGTGGATGCACAAGTCCAGGTCCGCAAGTCAAGGACCTGACACCCGAGAGATAATTGCGCCAGGTCATGACGTATGCTGACGTGTTCGTGTTGTCCACGGCGGCAATTGGGTGTCGTTTGTCTCCTTGTCCGGTCGGTGATTTCTCTTGACTACCGTTCGAAACTTCACACCCTCGTGTCAACACGTTGCAGGGCGAGCTATGCAAATCAATATAAGAGAAAGTGGAATTTGTGATTCGACGAGATTTGTGAATATAACTTGAGTTGGGTTAGGAACGTGGATTGGACTGGATTGGGTTAAAGTGAAGACTAGGCATCACTAATTTGTCTCTTTCCGACCCCCAAGGGAAAAAATTTCAATTTCCCGCCGGCTCTCATAAGCAACAATATTTGGTTGCTTATGAGAGCCGGCGGCTGAACATACAGACAATTCAAAATATTATGTCTCCCGGAGTATGAATGCTGCTGATTCCTCATATCGTCCAACGAGTCAAAATAAACAATTGAGGCGTTCAAACTGACTCGTTGGACGAAATGAGGAAGCAACAGCATTCATACTCCTGCTTCCTCATTTCCTCAATTGTTTATTTTCTAATGGCCTACACAACTTCAAGAAGTTGTTAAATTGGTGAAAGGTCGTGGACTGCCACAAGGACATACACTTTCTCACCGCCCTTTTTGTTGTAGTTGCCTTCGTGGTCTATTACTTTGTGCCATCGTTCTTCTTCTTCCATGCGTCATCTTGTCCTACTTCTGACTTACACGACATGCTTGATGCTTCTCGACGCATGGCGGAACGAAAATGCTGCGTGTATTCTTCCTTAGCATCGGGTTGTTTTTCCGTTTTTTTTTTTCCTTTCTCTGGGCGTAATACGTCAAGAATAATCCTCGTGGCACGTTCCTTTACTCGATGATGTGTTCGATAATTTGTAATTAGAGCTCCTATCCTATGAAAAAACCGACATTACCTGAATACTTGATGCTGACGACCATCTGGTTCAACATCGGGTCTTTAACTTACTCGTCGTCGATACAAGTTTTATCGTCGTTGTTTGTGTATTGTCTTCCGTTAGAAAGAGGACAGAATCTTGATTTATCGAGCGTATCGCCAAAGGCCAATATTGCTTAGGCTTGGCTCTCTGGGCCTCTGAAGGAGGCTGCTTTACCTGTTAACTGTCTCTTTTCTTGCATCTACGGCTGTTCTTTTACTGTCCAGTAAGCTTGACTCCAAGTGGCCTGCACTAGTTGAGAATCTCGTGTTGTGCAATCTGTTCTACCATATATTCAGTGTTGCTGCTGTAGCCAGTTTGTCTTAAAAATAAGCTAATTGCGGTCCCACTCGTTTCTTCTAAGAGTAGACAATCAATCTGAGACCTCCGAATTCTGTTGCTGAGACATGTGATAAGGGCATGTGTACTTCTGGTTTATTTGACGTTCTTGACATGCCCCCAATTCACTTCGAAGCTCGTCGTTGTCCATACTTCTCAGTTCCTGTAAGCAAGAAACTATCGAAATTGCTCCCAATTTTAAGACCTTAAACTACTTCAACGGCGTCTGCTGCCAGAAAAGATCCAAGTTGCTTTCATACGTTGCTAGTCTCTCTGGGCCTGCTGAAATGATTGACACAGAGTACTTTTTTGTGCAGGAGAATTTACCTTCAGTTTTGTTTGCCATGCTTGGAGGCATGGCTTTGTGCTTTGGAAATATAAGTATGCAATACTCTCTCGCTCTTGTGGGCATTTCTTTGACGGAGGTTGTTTCGGCAAGTATTGCTGTGGTCGGAGGTAGGTGAAAAATTTCATCAAGCAAAACTTTCATCGTTTATAGTCAAGCGGTGTACCGAAGTTGACTTATTTTATCTGAGTATAGTATGATGTTACAAGGCGGGGGTTTTGCTGTGTTGGTCAGCTTCTTGGAAGAAAGATACTTAGTTCGAGGGTCTGATACTCATGGGCGTTGTTTGTCAAGGCTCAATAAGCAGCGCCGTACTTACAATACTTTTAAAAATGGATATGATTTGTCAGGAACTACCGTCAACTACTTTCTTGACGAAGGTTTGAACAAAGCGTCGATATTGTTCCCTGGTGTTGGCTGCTTTCTTGTGGCCGTGATTATTGGGTCATTCTGCCATGCCTCTAACGATGCCGATACGAAGGCCAAGTTTGTTCTTCCCTCCGATGCGGGTCCTGCTTACAAGTATGTCACGTTGATGCTACATTGGGTTTTTTGGGAAATTTTAGTCCTTACGCGTAGGTCCCGTGGTGGGTAACATTTGTATTGCGATACTATCGTTGTTTTTCTTTTGTTTTCCTGTCGTAGGTCAAAACAGGTGAAGATAACTGATTCAACAGACGTAGGAAAAGTTTTGAGGCCTGATATCGAGTGTCATGTGTATGCCTGTGCCAGAGCTCTTGCTGAAGATGCACCAGAGAATAGACAAAGCGATAGGTCTTCAAGAAGAAGCGGAGAGGTATTGTTGCGGGGCAAGTCGCTTCTCGAGCAATGGAGTGAGTAGGAAGGCACCTTTTTCGCAACATGTTTTGCCATTGTGCAAGCATTTCCATCTCAGGAGAACGTCATATGGATGAAAATGAAAATGAAAATGAGCTAAGGAATTTCATCAGTATTTTATGTTTGACATTTATCTTTATTGCGAAGGCTAGAAAACTTGGACCTCATCTGTACTATTGGATGTGGTTTCACTGGTATGGCTTTACTGATGTCTGAATTGATTTGCAGGTGTAGGCAAGGGTGATATGGAGACAGGTGCACCCCAGACGTATGAGCATGTGTCAGGCAAAGCTCCTCAGCTGTATGAGCATGTATCTGATAAAGCTCCTCAACTGCATTATTTGGACGAGTCTTCGTCAGCGGCTGGAAGCGCAGCATATCTTGAGCACCTCGAGGAGACAAGAGCTATTAAGGTGTGCACCTTTTACACAGCTTACTTACAGCGCAGCTTCTGATCAAGCACTTGATCATAAGGATGGCTGCATCTCGTCAGTGTTGTGGGCTTGTCAAAGGCTAGTTTTTGTGTATATTCAGTCCTGCAAACTATGGCAACTTATTTCAACTACTATAGATACATGTAAGTTAGAATATATATTTGTTCATGAATCACTATATCGGTATTTATAAGGCATATAGTTCTATTGTGTTCCCTGACACCGAGAATTCCAATCGTCAATTTAAAAGGAATGGAGATTGCTTATCAGTGAGATTAACATTGATTTGGTGATGCAGGTGCGAGGACACAGCGTCATGTTTGGCCTGGGTATAGCATTTTTAACGGGCTTATGTTATGCCTTATTTTCCCCGCTGTTCAACTTAGCAGTGAATGACCAATTTCACCTACTCAAGCCAGGAGTGCCACACCTTTCGGTTTATGCAACGTTTTTTTACTTCTCGACGGCATTTTTCATAGTGGCGGTATCTCTCAATATCTTCTTCTTGTATAATCCCGTGATGGGTTTGCCGAAGTCCTCGCTATCTGCTTATGTGGTGGACTTCAAAGGTCGACACCTAGCTGTCATTGCAGGGCTCGTCTGTGGCTTCGGAAATGTTTGTCAGTTCATGGGTGGTCAAGCAGCAGGATATGCAGCGGCAGATGCTGTCCAGGTATCAGCTTTGGACCTTTTCACTCGTTCACTTAGTCTTCACGTAGCACCATCATGACAGGGGAGACCAGTTTTTTGATTTAAGTGAACTACTCTATCCTAGGTTTGATTCTGATCGTGTCATAATCTGTTTTGACTGTTGTAGGCATTGCCTCTGGTCGGCACATTGTGGGGTGTACTTCTTTTTGGGGAATACCACCGCTCCTCTCGGAAGACATATATGCTGCTGGGAGCTATGCTTTTTATGTTCATGTTGGCAGTAGTGATTCTCATTGCATCTTCGACAGAAAGATGTTGATATCACAAGCGCTCGCGCATCAAAGGCCAGGAATCCGCTGAAGCGGCTCCATTCTCTTGAATTCTTTCACCCCGTTCTCTCCTGTCGAGACTCGAGAGGTGTATGGTGCATGTAGATTACCGCTATTTCTCTTACGTCATTTTTTTGTGCTTCTGAATTTAGAAGCACACACTTATTTAAGGATTTGCATTTATGCTATCTTAGATAGCCAAACGTCATATCTCATTGACGTGTGAAAGATAAGAAATCAGTTTCCTTGTGGAATTCCCATTCGCCCTTCCAAGATTGAGCTGGGCGTGCAGGGTGTCTATCCAACGAAAGGCACGGCATCCACTTCACTGCCTTGGAGATAATGCAGAAGAATCCCTGCTCGCGCTGCTCGACAATCGTAGCTGGGTCCACTCTATAGGTACACATCGAAGACAGTGCTTATTATAACATTATACCAATTGATGCGGGAATTCGCAAAAGCACGTCAGTCCTGACAACATGCAGAATATTTTGTGAACAGGAAAGTCTTTGAACAGCCTCCCATGTACTTACAAGAAACACCGATACTGTTAGCTGTACAGCCCATGAACTTAGAGTAGAAAGCAAGTTGAGAAGAAGTGTATAGAGGAAGAGGCCTGTAACGTTAAGGGTGATTAGCAATTTACGTACTGAAACCTACGTTCAATTTTGTGCAATAATCTTGTTCTGCTGATTCTAAGAAGAAGAAGTCAGTCAATTACTGCGCATGAAAATACAACGTGTGCTTTTTGTTTTCCTATGAACCTTGTCGACATCTCTTTGCAGAATTCTGTCCACTTCAACCGCCAACAATTCATGCACACATCCAATCGCCTAAATTTAATCAAATTTTCGAAGCTGACCGTCGTTAGCTCCGAATCATGTGGCTACGAAAACAATGGCTTTTGTTGAGGAAAACATGTTCCATCATTTAATCTCTGTACATGATATAGCAATTGCATGTGTTAACGGTGGATGTATTTTGATGAAGTTTCTTTGATAGTAGAATATCTGGCTTTAGCCAGACAATCACAACAGTTGGGCATCTAGATAACAGCAGCAAAGTTGTGACGTTTCATCCTATCAATGACCCAGAAGGATTACAATCTCTAAATAGCGACTTCTGTACAAAAAGCTGCAGAACCGCGAAGAGGTTGTGTTGTTGAGTGTACGTCGGTCTTCGATAACTCATCTGATGTCATTTGAATGACGATGAGTCATTCAGAATGTTGATGTTTATTTTGACTCATTTGATGTCAGTCGTTGAGTAGCATGTCTTGTGCTTAATCTTGTTTATGAATGGGCTTTTGATAATTTGAAAAGCTTTACCTTGATGCCAATCGAACTTCTCACCAATCCCATGATTTTTCAGTAAACTGCTCCACGCAAGATGTTGGACTCTCGTCATGCCTAACTGCCAAGGTTTGCATACTTTTGTTATGACGCAGTCTTTGAAAGTATGTGTACGACATAAATAGAAAGTGGAGAGTGGTAACAGACGAATCATGACCAAATACATGGATCACTCTCATCTAGGAAGTACAATTGTAAACAAAATGATTCTTTTATTATGAAAGTTTAAGAGATTACTATTACAAACTTCTTGGTCATTGATCATACATAGAAGTGACAAAAAGTATTACCATGTATTCATTTCTAATCAATTTGGCATCTCCAATTGGCTTGGTATATCCATCCACATCATTATTATTCCTATGTTTGCAAATGCGCAATAGAGTTATATAACTTCTAATGAGTGCCACATAATTCAAGTGTTGATGCTATTGGGACTTTGCTGTAAATCATCAGTTTGATTTCATCCATATCCACTTTGATGGTATCTTCTCATCCTTTTCATTATCTTACTTTGTCACTCCTTTCACCAATATTTATAATACTCCATACATTTACCTTCACTTTCAAGCAAAGGAAATGTAGAGCTTCAACATGATATCCTTTGTGAATGATATATACATCTGTAGATACTTGTCTTTCTATCCCAACGCATGTGAGTGCATCTTACTCGTCTACATTGTTTTGAAAAATTTGGCAAGATGCATACTATCGCTATATGAAGTTTAGCCTAAGTTCTAATCTTCGAGTATGAACAGCATCTGCTTGATGCCGGATCATATACGATTTGTTTTCCAATAGGAATTGGGCTATATTGTGCTTGTTTAAGTATCTCAGGTAACCTAGCCTGACCTAACCTAATTAACCTAACGATTTAATAAATACTGAGTCGCAGCACTAGGATATGACTGGGTGTTAACGAATCACAACGCAAGTTCTTAGGTATCTACAATGTATAATCATCATTTGCATGACTTTCTCGGCACAAGCGCATCTAGAGGATTCCTATAACAATCGAAGTGCTTAAGGTGAGATGGTAACCATGAGTCAAACATAGCTAGGTCCATGTTCTAGGTGCAGACCTTTTACTGCAGGGTGGTTGCACATGCATGGTTGATGGAACCAAATATCTAGATAAACCATGTTTTTGCAAGAAGTGCGATTTGGTGAAGGGTACTTAAGTGCACAGGATATGATCATGTCTAAATTAAGGAAAAACTCTATTCGATCAATGAAACATTTTGTGGTTAGATTTGTCCAGTAAAGATTGCGTGATCCAATTATTGGTTGTTTGAAATCTTATAGATTTTAAATTTCATCGCATATTTTGGATTGCAAAGGATGAGAGATAAATTTCGTAAGTAGTTTTGTTGAATAATGAAGTATTTAAATATGTGATGTGTTGTAAAGGTAAGTTTTCTGACTTGTTTAGCGAGTTGGTTGCTCGCATCGTCGCTCAAGATTTGAATAATTCATACTGATCTATTAATCAGTTTGTTTATGGGTATTTCTGTAATTTTTTTCATTATATATTTTCTTCTTATATTATTGTAAATTTTTTTTTTATTTAAGTAAGGAGGTTTCTTTATCATTCAGCAGATGAGGGATTGAGTTGGATAAAGTATTGTAAATAAAATTTAGATATTGTGTAGAATGCTGAAATATTGAAGCTTGATATCAAAGGAATTCTTCTAGATCGCTAAAGTCATGATAGTGTTGTTAGAGAAGCTAATATTATCTGAAAATCATATTCTTGTCAAGAGAAAGAATATTGTGTTTGGATTTTTCAAAACGTCTTTGAGTAATTTAGAATTTACTTATTGATTTTCTTATTCTCGTATGTATAGTGGTTTTGTGCAGTATGACATCAAGACAAATATAACAATTTTTATTGTGAATTTGAAAACCGTAAGAAGTCTTGTTACAATTTTTTAAGTGATGTTATCAATAAAGTGTGTGCAGATATTTGATCTAGCTAAAGATATGTGCTAAAGATATGTCTTTAATTAAGCAACACTTAAAAGTATTAATCCTAGACAAATCAATATTATTTAATGTTATTGTTTCAGAGTGAGATTTTTTAGTGCTGTCCATTTAGTTGACACTCAAAAAATTATTGCAAAAACCATATGTTTTTTCACAATCTTCATTGACAAGAATCTCATATTCAAATGTGTCTCATACTTTTTGATACTCATCGAAAAGAAAAGTATATTCAAAATTATTTTATTATTTTATCAATTGATATATTTCATATCAGATAAATTTTATTGCATTCTGTTTCTATCAATTATGATGTTGTATGTCTTAATGTCTGCTTTTTTTTGTGAAAATGAATTTTGTAAAATGCGAGATCAGTTTATTTGCAATAATTTCGAATGATTTAACGTTATGAAGAATTCCAAGTTAAAAATTGGAAATCAATATTTAAACAATGTGTTGAGCAAGTCATATCTTTGTAATCATTATTTTTTATGAATAAAAAAAATATTGCTACATTGATATCATCATACATAGTTCACTCTATGTATGTTCATATGTGTATTGGCTTCTTACATTTTGTTGGATGATATTGGTAAATTTTATATGTATATTGAAAATTATTGGGAATTTTTTTTTGTGACCATAAATTATCTGCATTCTAAGTCTTTTGAATAATTTTGTAATATTGATTAACTCTATGCCTTGTATAAATTGTACAAGATTAGTGATTGAATTTATATAGAATATGAACATGAGGACTATTCATAATTGAAGTAGATCTATAATTTAGTATGAGAACTACAATGAATAGAAAATCCAATAAATTGACTTATTTTTGAAGTTGTGTCAGCGGTGTGAAACTACAGAAGTTCAGAGTTTACAAACTCGTTTATTGAAAAAAAAATCAATTAATTGCTCTTTTATCCTATAATCGACTTCAAATTTCAAGGCAAAATAGCGCTACATAAACATCATCTTTCAACTTTATATAATCGATGAAATGATAAAAAAAAATATGTTAACAACATATTCAACATAAAAATTTCTCATATGTTATCTTATAGTTCAATAAAAAGAACTGTAGATTATTTGATTCATAAGGTGTAAGAATTTTTAGAAAAAATTAACTTTAATTGAAAATGGCATATTATGATATGGTAGTGTTATTCACATTAAATATTCTAAGATAAATAATTTGCATCTTTGAAGAATGACACATTCGAAAACATTTATTTTGATGATTTGCATTGTTTAATTTTCAGGGTATTTATTATTCAACCTATATAAAAAGAATACATTATTTATTTATAACTCACTTAATTAAAATTTTCTAACTGATATTATCATTTAATTTGAATTTTTTTTCAATGACTATTTAGATTAATTCTTAATCTCAATTTCAACATTTTCTCATTACTTTTTTTCACGGAAAAATTTTAAAACTTACGTATTTTTAAAATCACATTTCTTGAAATCAATTGAATCTAAAGCTTCAAATGACTTTAAATAATAATAACTTTTGATAAAATAATTTTAAAAAATTTATTTCTTAATAATAAAATTTCGAATGTGTATTTTATTTAGTATTTAATAAAATTATAAATGAAATTTAAGATTACTTTTTTTTTATGTTTACATGTAATACCATATTTTACTTTCTTTTTATATTCCTATCATTAGATTTTGATTGTATAAATTTGATTGAAATAGTGAAAAATGTGTGGTTCTTAAATTTTTTTACTTCTAATCAACTAATCCAAACACCCAAAATTTAAATTATATAATCTTCATTCAAAAGAATGCATCCTTGTCAGTAGAAAAATATAGACAAACTACTGTTAGACAAGACATGATCTGATCCATCAAAGAAACTGTAGTGGAATTGTCTATTTCTACAGTCACATTGTACTCATTTATTTCAATCTATGAACAAAAAAAAACACATTGTAATCTGGCTTATAACCTCAAAGCTTGTGTAAGTAGTCAACTTAGGAATGAAAAACTCATGTTAATGTTATTCTAGTTAGTAGCAGTAGGATTAGTTTATGCTATGTGGTTTGGAGATGAGTCGATAATTCGCATGTCAGTAATGGAATATTAGTAATATATACATAGGGGAATAGCTAAAACTATCACACTTAGACCAACGGCTAGTGTGATGTACATCTCCACAATTTCATGATACTACTGAGTACACAATACAATGACTAATAACTACTCGCCGCAGTTGTGAAACGGCTAAAATATAAATCACGTATCTCTTTGAATATACGAACTAGCAGCAATTCATGCAAACCGTTTGACATTTTAGCCAAAGGATGTCCAAGATTAGAAAAGAGTAAACTTTGTATTGTAATAGTTCTTTCAATACATTACTTCATATGCTAGCCATGAAATCATTGTGTACTATAAAATTGAAGATTGATAGGTCTCGTCGCGATCAGATGACTTGTCAAAATTGAAGTTTATCGGACATGTTTTGTCTATATCAACTTTGAGTGTTTCTTCTTTACATTACGCGGTTTTCGAAACCTTCCGTGAAACTGCTCATACAATACCATGTAACCACATCCTATCCGTGATTTGCTGCTAAGCGCCCAACACTTTACTCACACTCGGAGTTACATTTTTACAAAACGACATGCAGATTTTGTGAGGAAGATTGTGATACTCATGTGTGACTGAGTACACTAACTGCACGTGGTCCCTCAAACTCAACCTGCACGTGGTGAAGCTCAAAGACGCGTCCGAGTATCTACAAGCATTATCGACTGTACTTTTCAGATATATGGACAACAGTTAAAATCCTCTGGACTCTGGCATTTCACAGTCCGTTGTGGATATCCTTCTTCTGCATTCTGTCTGTAGCTACTTCTAACTCCTCTAGGGTTTTCTCAAATGCTCTGCCGTTCGGCCATAAAGATCAAATTGTCGTTCGGAGAAAGCAAGTGAGTCGAAGTGAGTAGTTCTGTCTTCTGTTTCTGAGGTTCTAGTATGAGTATGTGCTGCTTCGATAAAGGCACTATGTTTTTCGAGTGTTCACAGCAGTCGAATTCTTCAGCTGTCTTCAATTTCTTGTAGATTTTACATCGAGCTGGCGTCTATGTTCAATCTGCGAGTGATTGAGGATATTCTTGAAACTTCTTTTTGGATCAACTGTGGCGCCTGTTGAATGGTACTATCTTAGTTTCGGTGCAATCTCCTCACTCTGGTGTGGAAATCACGAACGACTGTAGTTTCTGTGGCTCGTTCTTCTAATTTCGCCCTATGCTGATTTCACCTAGCATCCATGGTCCTCTGTGATGATTTTTTTAACCCCAGCTCGCTTGGAGTCCCTTCGGGGTCGCTGAAGAGAATTGGTTCCAACACGACAAATAACTGAGAGGATCATGGACTGTGCTAGGCTGGATACAGGTCAGGTTCGTCGATTCCGGTGATGATTACCCCATGCTAATCATGAAATCTGTGATTACAAAAATTATCCCAACAGGTGCTGAGGAATCCAGAATGTAGATAGCAGAGGACTTGTAGGGTAAGATGGACGGGTATTGGGAGTGATAGTTTGTAGGCTTTTGACTCCAGTGGATGGAAATGAGGAACCTTTCCCCGAATGAACGACGCTGATTCGAACTGTGCGATTTGCTCTTCGGAGCCAAGCCAGAGAACTGATCCATTCCACTGTCGGGTATATAGAACCAATCACCATCTCAAGTTTGCAGGCTTACTACATCATAGCATTCATTTCGTAACTACTGTAGAGTTACCTTAGTGTAATATAGAAGGTCTGTCATAGATATCAGATATCTGGATTCAGATCGAAGTGAAGATAGAGTCTACGTAGCTTGGTGCACACCCAGTCGGCCACTAATCCTCAGTCCCTCCACTATGATGATTTTTATAACCCCAGCTCGCTTGGAGTCCCTTCGGGGTCGTTGAAGAGAAATGGTTCCAACACGACAAATAACTGAGTGGACAAACGAGGTGTGTAGACTGAACCCTAGAGGCCAGTGACATCAGTGACACGGACGAGTCACATAGAATGGAAGCTGGCAACTCCTCTGAAGATTACACCATGCTAATCATGATTTCCCGATTAGAAACCAATCTCAGTATGCTGAGGAAGCAGCCTGTTAAGGTTGTATCTTGGTGTCATACAGTAGCCGCGATGGAAATGAGGATCCTTTCCCCAAATGATCGAATCTGATTCAAACTGTGCGACAAGCTCCTAGGAGCCAAGCCAGAAAACTGATCCATCGTGCTTCAGAATGAAAAAGTATATGATCAGAAACTTTTCACAAGGTGTTCTGCTAGATGGCCAAGGAAGTGTAGCAACTGAGGTGTCAATGTCAATCCCGCACAGTCCTTAGGAGCGCCTTTCAAATACCGTGGAAGGGATTCGAGTCATAACTGTGCCAGAACAGTACGCGGACTTGAGGATTACCTTAAAGTCTGTCTCCAACATCTATCACGGTCTCCAAACGGCGTTTCCCAATTCCGCTTGGCGACCACTATGATTTGGAATTACATACCGCTACAATAATCACACCGAGCCTGACGCACAGTTAGAGCTCAAATCAAGCATACACCATCGGATTAGTTGTACTTGACTCTAGAGTCACAACTATCGCTTCAAGAAGCAGTGAAAGTGACAAGGTGAAATCCAACCCCCATGATGATTTTCCAATATCCTACCCCCAACACACACACGAACCTTCTACTAACATAGAGTGCACCAGTTCTCAATCCTGCGGAGCGTGAAGAAACATACACGAACCTTCTACTAACATCGAGTGCACCACTTCTCAATCTTGCTCAGCGTGAAGAAACAGACCTCATGGTTGCTTTTGGGATAGCACCCAAGGACATTCTCTAATGCAGAGCGAAAGTAAAACATATGAAAACACAGCTTGCTGATCGCCCATCAATTCCGGCACTCATGAATATTATACGTGAGGGCAAATTATAGATACAATTACATATGCAACATTGAGAACCAAGTTATGAACCCGTTCTTTGCACATCCTGGTTGTCACGGCTTGCTCACAAGTATCCTTACACACTCGTAATGTATTGTACCTACAAGACCAACTGTTTTCGCATGCCCATGTTCCATCTCATTGGTATGACAAGCTTCAACACTTCATATATGGTTGCAGTCGCAATTCTACAAGAGGAAACTGAGCCATATTACCGTTGGGCCTTTTAACAAGTAGCAAGCCTTTATGACGGAATCAAGCCAATCACAATCACGACTGACTGCAAGTTAGCTCTCATGAATGCATTTTCAAACACATTTCCTGAAACATTCCATCTGCAATGCATCCGACACATTCTGGAAAACATTCTCGCCAATTGAAAAAAATATTTTGGAACTGAGGAAGACTAGGAAACCTTTCAGCAGTTTTGGAATGTTGTGATTGGATCATCTAGGGTGGATATCTTCGATTTTGCAATGGACAACACTCTGTCATATGTACATTCACATCTTGGCCATGCTTCATTACCTACAAACACGATGGATTGTGCACAAGAAGTTTTTTGTCGCATAATGGACAAATTAGCACATGCATTTTGGGAATGTAAACTCATTGAGAGCAAAGCAACATCATTCGATGGTCAAGCAATACCTTAGAGTCTTGACAAAAGATCTACAAGAGGTTCAAATCCTGCTTTCATATGTGTTTGAGAACTAAATCAAGGAAATCTAAGCACAAAAGAGTTCTGATTGTATCTAAGTAAGTCGCTAGCACAATCAATTGTTATATAAGGATGTTATTCGTCGAATTTTGATCTACGTCCTCAACACAATTTCAAAAAAAGCTGACCTAGAAGAACAAGTTTACTTGGATACATGCTCAAAGGCTTACTCTACTACGTTGGAATTGTTTTGTGCTCATACGATTCAAAACAAACTAAGAGATGATAACAAAGTTCTCCATGGTTGACTTTCATCCTGTGAGACACTTGGTCAATCATGACCTGTTCGAACCTGTTGCACTGCGCCAACAAATGGAGACAAGCTTGCATTAATGATTGATGCAAGCTTGTCTCCGTCTATTACCAACACTTATCAAACCTTGGCACCACATCAACATGAAAATGTTGGAAGTCCACTCTTGGACATGGCAACTGCTACACTGTCATTGAAGAATTCGCCAATGCTGCTTACATGTGGACGCACGTGTAAGCACGCCTGGTCCCAAAAATCAACCAATTCAACCTTCCTTCCAAAATGAATCATCAATCTAGCGGAACGTTTCGCAGTTTGAAACTGTTCAAGTAGTATCATCTGCTCAAGCTTCAAGCAATGCTTTAGAAGTGCGGTGAGTTTGGACACAATGCACCAACATGTGCTCAAAGTATTGTTTCTCGCACGAATCTTTGCAATAATTGCATCCAGGAGTTTTAAGTCTTAAGTGGACATTCGCCACTTGAAAATCATTCATAGAGTATACTGTATGAGTGATTTTTAAGTCTTAAGTGGACATTCGCCACTTGAAAATCATTCATAGAGTATACTGTATGAGTGATTTTCAACGTTAGTGCTCTACTCGCTTCTTCAGCATAACATAATTCTACTTTATTCATGTTCTAGAAATATTTAAAATGTAATATAGTGTGGAGTGTTTGTACCTTCTTACTTTCGTATCAAATAGTCGGTCTGTATCTTTAAACTTATCATCTATATATAGTATTTTGAACTATGCTGTCTGCACCATCCACGCAACTTGTACACATAAATATTGTGTGAAACGCATCTGCTTTCAAGCATCATTTAATACATAACATGGCACGCGCATTTCTGATTTTCCAGAGCTGGTCTCTCTTGTGAAACAGAGATTTGTTTCTAGGGTTGGCAAAGAGTTGCAAGAGTCCGGACGTCAGGAAGATGTATTCGAAAATTCAGAATGTGGGGGTTCTGGTTACAATTTGCACATGGTCTAGCAACAAATCGCGATTTGATGTGCAACCAGAATCCACAGATGTCCTAGGAGTTCAAGACCCATATCCTGCTTGACCAGAGTCGACTCGAGATGTGAACAACAAAAGTGCCAACGATGTGTTTCGCCACATGTTATCCCATCAAAAGAAGAATGAAAGGCCCGGACAGACATCACTTCACTTCGTACACGCTTTTCTGTCCAGAATCTAATGCTATCAGTCAGTCTGTCAGTCAATAGGTAGAAATTTGAGTGGAATTTCGGTGATTGTTAACCCGTCGGAAATCTGCAGGTGCGAATGGTCTTCTTCAGAAAACCATTATGGTTATCTCACTCTATAGAGTACCCTCTGCTAGTCTTATAGAAGTATCAAGCAACCAGCACAATTATCCACGAGACGTGGATTGATTGCAACAATTGTCCATGAGCAAGCTCGATCGATGCGCGTACGTACAACCACAGAGCGAGCGATATTTCCATCGTTGGGGCCCGGATCAGGCAGTCACAGCGCCCGTGCAAATGATCGCCAGGGCTGTGATGAGGTAGAAGTTCCACAGGCTGATCTCTGCTATGGCGGCCGAGCTTGCGCTTGGGGGAGTGTTGAACTGCGAGGTAGTATCAGGTGGAGTGAACGAGCCTGTCAGAGGAGGAGGTGGAGGATACGCCAGGCTCGATGGAGAAAGTGCCGTCGTAGGCGGAATCGCAAAAATTGAAGGAGGCGGCGGCGCGTCTGCTCCTGGCACGGGAGGCGGTACAGTGCTTGCGCTGGGGGCCGGGCTGCTTATAATTCCTCCTCTAGTGCTGCAAGCAAGCAATGCGGCCAACCAATCAATGCATCAGTACCCATTCCTTCCGCCTGCTCACGACACTGAAGCTGACTTGGATTGTCCACAGGCCACAGCTCAATTCAAGACAGACGCGAGGATGTACTTCAAGAATCCTCGTTGAAAGAACACAAGGGGACAGAGAGGAGGAGAGAAGGACACGATCGTAGTCGAGGAGGAAGAACAAGAGAGCAAATCGTTCTTGTTCATCGGTCCAAACATTCCCGAAAAGGCACCCACACCAATAGCTGAGCACAAAAGGCCGACTGAGAGAATAGTTTGCCACCAGTTTCCAGAGGTACAAGAGCATGCATGCCACACATTTGCAAAAGAGCAGTCGCCAAATGAGGGAAGTATTCATAGTCTCGGAACATTGTGAAATTTCGATGGAGCTCTGTAAAACTTGGAGCTCCGCATTTGAAGAAAACAGATCAGGAAAAAGGTTCAGTGTGGTTCTAAGTATGAACAAAACTTCAGCCTGTATCGCCTCGTAGGAAGAATGCATACGAAGCGGTGTATCTGCTGCGACTCAAGGTGCTATCTGTTGTGGGTTGGACGGTGCTAACAGGCTCGTGTCCATCCGACCGGAAATCAGGATCGGAGCTGGCTCGAAGGGAAGGATGTCTACACGCCTGGAATGCTGTCGCATGTCTCAATGCACAGAAACGCGAGGACTCGAGCCGGAGAAATTTCAAGCTTTGCAGGGAAAATTCGGACTCTGAAAGAGCGCAACCCTTGCAGCAAGCACAATAACAACCCACGGCGCTCGCTCTTCAGCTGATCCTTGGATGTCTCATGGCAATGTCGAATGAATGCACGGAACGCCTCACAGGGCTCACCTCGTTCCACTCGGGCAGAAGGTGATCGCATACGCTCCATTGGTGCAAGTGAAGGTGCTGGAGACATCGTCGTAGGCATAGCTGTAGGCCGTAGGACATGCCTCCTTGAATGTCTTGCTATACTCGGTGGGCAGGCACACTGCCGGGCTGTTGAAAGCACCACTGCAGCAATAGTTGTCGGTTTGGAATGCCTCGCACGCGCTCTTGCATGACGCCACCGAGCCATTGACCACAACTTGCAGCTGCGTCGGGCAATTCTGATTCAGGTCGGAGGTGCATCCGGGACTTCCACACGTCCCTGTGCCGCCCGTCTGGACAATCGACAGGGGAAGGTTGTAGCCGTCGACCAAGCTCACGTCGTAGAAATCTTGCGAGCCAAAGCCGTCCAGGGTAAATTCGGCCAATGTGGCTGGAGGAATGCCACCGGCTCCGTCGCAGAATAAACCTTTCGCACAGTCTCCAGATTCGCAAGTCCCTTCATTCAATGCATTGAACTTGCAGCCTGCCCTTCCCCAGAATCTTCCTGCCCATCCCACGGGTGCCGTCACCTCTTTCATCGCTCCGGGAGCTAACTCGAAGCCTCCCCTCTCCAGACTCGGCAGGTTGGCATTCGACAGAGTGCCCGGCCACACCGTGAACTCGCAATTGTTCACCACTGTGATCGTCCTTGCGTAAGACAGCTGTGGACCTACACGCTTGAAAGCACATCGAATCGGTGAGAAGAGAATTTCAAAGTTGTAGTCTCGCTCGACGAGAAGATCGTAGTTTGCCACATTTCCACAGATTAGAATCTGATCAATTGGCCTCATGGACGGCGTTGCTGAGCATGGATACAATTAGCGTGCCATCACAGACTCCAGGACACATGCACCGGCATGACATTCTCATACACACACGGGAATGCAAGGGAAACGATCGATCTACGGAATGTTTCATGCATGCATTGCAGATATACCTGAGCCGAGATACACCAGTGCAAGAAGATACACGAGCTGAAAGGTCGGACGCCCCATTTAATTTACTCGAGCTGCTTGATGCTAGATGCTAGATGCTTGAATGGACTGGACTGGCTCCGCTTACTTCACTGACTACTCGAGTGACAGCTACATTCCGTTCGGAGCTGATAAATGTAGTGAGTGAGCGAATGCAGTCCTCAGATTGTTCTAATTATTCGTCATTCAGGTCCGCAGACATCGATCAGATGCAATGAGCGAGGGCGGACAAACTCGAGAAATATGGAATGAAATTGACAACTCGAGAGCTATCTCTCTCTTTCTCTGGAACGAGCTGAGCCAAGCTCGGCACAAATCAACAAAGCATAATCTGTAGCCTTTGCTTGAAGTGAAGGCTAGGAAAGAATCTGCTGTACTGTGTGAAGGTGCGACCCAACTGCTGCCATTGCTTTTAATGTTGCGGACAGAATTTTCATAAAGTTTTATAGACAAAAGCCAACGTTCACCTGCCCTTTCTCTCGTCCATCCCACTTCAGGGGAACGGTCAAATTCATCCCTCTCGTCGGAAACGCAACGGTAGTTATCGACCGCACTACGTAAATCAGAAAAGAAGGACCACGAGTCCACTACGGACGCCACCCCTCCCCTCCTCCCCCCCCTACACCTACTGAACCCTGGTGCAGCCTGTCAGTTACCGTATTCTTTCCATTTTTATACTGCGGTACCAAAATCTTTAAGCTTCAGTTCTCTACACCTGTAAGTCATCCATCCATGACGCAGTACAGGCGTACGTAGTAGGCCAAGCTGCGAACACAGTCCCCGTGAATCGAACTACTTGAGTCGAATTACCTCATGAATGCTAATTCAGGTATGTGCACCAATGTACCTTACCCCTACGATGGCATTTACCCCATGGCTAACCACGTTACATCCCGAGCAAGAGCACTCTGTACAGAGGGCTCGAGGCTCGAGGTTGGAAGCCAAGCTATTTTCGCCAAAGATTCCCTGATTTGGCTGTGAACATTAGCTCGCAGCCCCACCAGTGAGTGGTGACTGATGACTGGCCCTTCGCTATTCGTGCATAAAATACTTCCTTAGATCGGAACTCGTCATCATACGAGTGTCCTACGCTTCTCGTGACAATGGACAGATTTCTTCGTGCGTTCCAATGCTTAGATTTGTGACACCGTAACTTCTCGATTCTACGAGGTTGTCCGAACATCGGACCACGTAAATGAGTATAAGATGGAACTCCTGCATGGTTCGGTTGAGCACTGGTGTCACTTTGATTTGACAGCTGCATTCCGAGACCAACTTTCACGTCACTGGTGTCGTTTGTGGATGCAGTGTTGTGGTGTCCAGTAACTTAAATACAATCCTCTTGTGTTTCAATTCGTTAATCCTTTTGTTCCGAAGGTGGGCTGCAAACCTGAATTATACCAAGTCAGAGGCTGTTCCTCCTACACTAAATATGATTCACGTGAATGGTTACTTTTTGGAAGACCCGTTGATATAGATTTGGGAGAGACTCAGCCCTCATCTTATATTTTTCTTTTTAAAGTTTACTCTATAACAAAAACATTCAGTAAATAAACGAAAAGTGTTATTCAATATGTACACAAGATTTCCATTTTGATTGATGAAACTCAAAATCCTTTCATTATTGTTAGTAATCATCATTCACCAAATATTGTTTATTATTTGAGTGCACAAAAATTCATAATGTTTTCACATATGTAGCATACTTTGTTACATGCCATTTGTTGTAATTTACATGTCTCTTTTGTGTGAATTCTTTAGCCACGAACGTGGCTTTGAAGATTATTCTCTTGTCATTTGATAGATTGTACTCCACCTTATACTCTCACTTGCTATTAATCAATGTTTGATTTTTGGAAAATTTCCATATATTTCCAAACATTATTACTCATTAACTATTGCATCTCATGTTTCATATGAATATTATATTCAAGTATATTCTTGAGCTTTATATTAAACTTACAATGTTTTATATAAACTCAATGTTACAAATTTCATTCAAACAAATTTGCTACACAAGAGTAGAAAGATATATCAGATACACTTTGTTCTCAACTACTTCAATACAAAATTCACATGACAAAGCATATTGAACAACATATTTAGCAACTTCTTCATTGTAAAATATTCGCTTTTTTTAGATATTAAATCGTGGTATGATAAATTATACTTTTCTTCTCTTTGCAATAATTTCAAAACTTTTCAAATTTGTATTTTTTTCCATATACATTTATAAATATTTCACTTTTGGTCTTGTCTTAATCCAAACTTAGATTTTTCAACTTTTAAATGTTGTAAAGAACTCATACGGTGGAAAGATTTACACAAATTTGAATAATCATCAATAAAAAATATATAGTAAAAATTAATGAAGATTGAAACTTTTGGCATGTATCATTATGTACATACTCAAGCAATTTTTTGAAACTTTAAAATCCAATCTCAAAGCCTTCATTATGATGCTTGTTTATCTCATAATGTTCATGCTTTTATTATTCAACTATACATATACAAGTTAATATAGATTATAGGTGTCATGTATCCATTATTTATGTGTATTAGTCTAAAATGTCATACATAAATCATTTGTAACCATTTTTAGTTAGTTGAAATTAAAATATAAATTATCCAAAATAGATGATGGAGATAAAATCTTATTTCTTTATATTCATAAGTAAAATTTATATAAGAAAGAAACATAATCATTATTGGTATCTCTTATCTTCAGAATTTATGACTTTATCTAAATCATAATATTACGAGAGCAATTTTGCTCTTTATTTGAATACTCTTCATAAAATAGCAAACAAATGATGATACGATGTAATTTTTGAAAATGTATCCAAAGGCTGCAAAGCTCATTGATATGCATGTAGAGATAGATGAAAATGAAAAAATTAAGGCTTTGCAGATATGAAGGCGCTTGACAAGATACTAGAACCGTACTGATAGATTTTTAATCTATTTGACATACATCTTCGTTGCATAGTAAAACATTTCATGACTAGAGTGATAGAGTTAAGAATGAATTTAAAAATTACAATATCTAATTATCAAAAAACTTAGAAGTTTATTTTATACATTTAATATTGAATATTTGATGTATTTGAATCATAAATCAATCGTACTAATTTAATACGACATATATGTAAAGATTAGAACAATATATTGATAAAACAGACTGTGGAATTTTTTTTTTCTTAATTATTAAAAAAATATTATAGAATTATTATAAATTCACTTACAACTTATGGGATTACTTTGTTGAGAATTTATATAATTATTATATTTAATTATCTATTAGAGTGAATGTGAGATTGTATGAGTACATCAATTTACATAATAGAGAATTTCAATACAATCATTTTAGAAATGAAAAATTGAAAAAAATACTGTAGTACATGAACATATTAAGTAGCAAGTCATGGAACATGGAATGCTCCTATATGATGTGAACTTTAGTGAATGCCTGCAAAGTACCGCAGGAAACGATTAGAGACTCTACAAAGCGCATTTTAACAAGCCTCATTCCATCGCAACTCAACCTTTCGCAGATTCATTTCGTCAACCGAACTTGACTCTCAGCAATCTCCAAGGTGCTCTGTTTTGTTATTGTTGGTCAGAGAGTAGCTGAGAGACAGACGTGCCTAAACATTATGTACATTGACATCTGAACATCCGTACACAGCTAAAATTTCGGCAATGCTTTTGACATGGCTGTGACAATCATTTGTCCACTGCACATCCGTGGACGATCTTTTGCGCACTCAACATGCTTCCTTCACCAATTCTCGCACTTGTACATCGCAGTAAACTACCAACAAGCACGTCTTGAGGGTCCAGGTTGCCATCTTTCTTTCACATTAGCTCCAAAGGCATGGAGCCCCCCTGCTTCGCTCAGAAGTGAGGGTGGCAATTCAATGTCCCAAACGATGATGAGGGAGTTTTGACATCTCTCATAACCAATACTCTTGTTTAATCTTCCAATACAGGCAGCTGATCAACGTTGATTTGGAAAAAAACAACTTCATAGGGCAGTTTTGTTCGAGACGACCCAAAAAACAGCTCTGAGGCTCAAAGAAGCTCATCTCTTCTCACTATTTATGCTTGGCATCAGTATAAACATTTCAAAATGACCGCGAGCGATGATTAGTACGGGCAGCCATTAACCATTCTGCAGCTTGTTTAACAATCCAACAGCCCTTCCGAACTCCTGAGTGCTAGACGAGTAGAAAATGCAGCTTTGACCAAGGAGTCGAGAACAATATCTAGAAAACAAGTTTTCTTCATGAGTGCCATAGGAAATCCTTTCAGTCTAAGCCCAGATGAATCCTCTTGTCACTAGCAGACCACGCAGCATAACAAAGAAATGCTGTCAAAAGTTGCATGCATAAAGTAATCACCAAGGTTGATACTGATATTATAATATTCACTATGTCACAGTCACCTCTGTTTGTTCGAAGTCAGTACTGTCACGTGGCAAAGCACCCTTTCTATCTTCTTTAAGTTTGCCTTTCTCTATAAACTGGCAGCTAAGCCTGTCATCGCCGCAGCCAATTTCTATCATCTTTTGATGAACTTCCAAGGCGCGCTCAAGCATGTGCGAACGTACATAAGCTCCAACTAATTCTCTATATATTACTACATCGGGCACTATACCCTCGTCTTGTAGCTCCTGAAACTTCTGCTCAAGCTCCGGAATCATGCGATTTCTTCCCAATGCATCCAACATCTGTCTGTAAAGAAATTTATCTGGCTTGTACCAGATTTCTTTCCGCACTACGTCAAAAACCTGCACGGTCAAAATTCAAATGCTTAACGAATGCCAGAGGTGTCGAATCCTTGTCTAGGTCCACTCTTGACTATAAGGAAGGGAACAGGAAAGTGGACTCGACTATGCTTAAGGTAAACACTCGCACGCGCACATGCACGAACAAGCAGATAAAACACTTAGAAAAGCTGGCTTACCTGAAGTGCAAGAGATATTTCGTTTTGTCTTTGTAATTCGGCCAGGGTTGCGAGCAAATCCATCTTCAGCAAACGAGAGATACGCTGTTGAAATGCCTTCTTCAGATCATCTGGACTGTCTTTACTTCTTCTCAAATCGTGCACAGCCTGGACGGTTTCTTTACTGATGACAGATCTAGTTCTCCACAAGGACCCTCTAGGCTGCTCCTTCGTTTTCGAACTACCCATGCAACGAACAGGAGTCCATGCTTCGCATCTTCTAGCATTTAGTTGTTGAGATAGTGAATTCAGCCCATTGACCATTCTACTACTAAACCCAAGGTTTGACGGCAAAGTTGCACCCAAAGACTTCATCTTACATAAATTTGTAAAAACGACGAAACTCCTGTGGATCTCTGCAAGATGGTGCAATAAGATCAAACTCTTTAGCCTTTATACACGGACGTAAGGAGAGAAAACATACTTTGCGAAAGTATATGAAACTCTCGACAAATAGATATCTACGAGTACCTAGCATAGGCATCTCATCTCATCTCATCTCAATTATCTGCTTCCTCTCCGATGAAGAGTAACAGTCATAGGCAGCTGTGTAAGCAAAACATAGGGCGAACAAAATAAGTTCAAAGAGTGCGAGATAATCTCTTACGGATATTACCGCGCACAGAGAGACTTACGGCTAGTAGACCCAAACGAGGCCATTTTGTTTCTTCCCAGCTCGACAATCCTGTCATCAAAAATATAAACGTTTTACTCATCAACATACCAGGACTAAGAGAAGTTTAGGGTAAGCTTCGTAATTTTGAACAGGCTATGCCAATGTGTCAAACCCTCTAAAACGGGTTAAGATTATTTCCGGCAGGAATCAATAAATCCTCAGAATGAACTATGAAATCGACCCAATTGACGGCCAAAACTGAGAGTCTGAAGCAATTTCAGGCGCATCGGAACATCTGAAAGACAACGAGCGTATAACCCACATAGGCATTTCATAAAAAGAGGAGTCGTACAACTATGGCATCTGAATCCCATAATTATGAACGCTCTGAAAGCCGAGAATCACATTTAACAAGAGCTGAAAGGACCAAGTAAAGTTATTAAGAACAAATTCTACCAGTTTCGACAACGACGTCCACCGAGCCTGAAAACGAAATCGAGTGGTGCTCGGTCAATAGTCGCACAATGTCGAGTTGGAATCGAGGTCCACCTGAACCAACTTCGACAACTCGCCAACTAGTTCTCTCGACCATCCATCAATCAATTTCTCCCTAGAGCCCCTAACAGAAAGGAAAACATGTCACGGCCGCCGGAGTTTTCGACAGAAATGTGCATCTACTCAACTCGTAGCTCTCCCCGTTCACCGAAAGGTTTGTCTAATCAAGCGCCCGAGGGCATGTCCACATTGATGCCCACCAAGGTACATGTTCAGGTTTCCGGATTACAAGATCAACCATTCCCCTCTCCCTCGCCCTTCCGTTTCACTGTGCAGGCTGCAGCCGTCGGGACTTAATTTGTTCCATCGCTCCCTGCATTTTCTCGTTCAGGGAGAGCCAGAGGGACGAGCATTCATTTCTTCGGGATGAGTATGTCGCCGGGCTTATATATATGAATTTGTATATGATCAAATCTAAGTAAAAAAATATGGTCAAAGAAAATCATTTTAGATCATAATTTAGTCATTATAATATCATCTCTTTGACGAATTGTTAGCAAACATTGATTCGAAACATAAGAGAGAAAAAAACTTGAACTAATATGTAACCATTTATTTGTTTATTATTGTATCAAATTTCGTTTGTTATGTCGGTAAACATCTTCGTAACCATTATCAAAATGTATCTAGTCTTGACAGAGTCCTTATATGAACTAATTTCCATGTGGAACTGAGGTGAGATGCAACTATACACATAATTTTGTTGACTAAGTACCGGAATCGTTGCATTCATGTTAGTGTACAAATATAAGAACATTAATTGCTTTGTTTTTTTGCGAATAAATCTGTAGATAGTTGTTGGAATCTTTACATGACAAGGATATGAGTTATTATGAACACATGTTAAAATAAATTTCAAAGAAAATCACATTTACATCAACCTGACGGCTAGATAATAAATTCGGTCTTATCTACGACAAGAACAGTTCACGGATGGCTGAATATTATGTAGTTTGTTGTTTTATTACAATTTGATGTTTTTTACACAGATTTTTGCTCATTATAAATTTGGAAATGATTATATATAATTGCTATTGGGATTCCATTTGTGATATGTGATTTTTCTACATTTGACATGGTTTGAGATTTAGCCCCCTCTCAAATTAGCTCTCTCTTAAATTAGAATTTTTGGGTTCAAGGAGAGATGAATTTCAAGATACAAAGTTATAGAGAGTAGAGAAAAAGGGATAAGTAGAAAATAGAGTAGATTTCCAAGAAGGACATTAATCAACCAACAATGAAGCTTTAAATTTGGACAACATAGAAAAAGTCTGGAAAATGTGACAATCTCAGGAATGGATAAGTACTATGGCAATAGCTAGAATACGAGGCTGAGGAAATCAATTCTTTGCATCGAAATGTTGCATGGACATTCGTGATACAGTGTTAAGTTCATTTTATGGCGAATGCGTTTTGCCCATTCATATAATCATGGACAATTTCATCATTATGAATCTCGCCACCTTGTAATTGTGCATCGACACCGGAGCCTCACATTGGGTAGGGGTAACCCCTATCCATGCCGAACCCACCCATGCCAATGGTTTTTGGGTCACATTATTTTTCATGGGTGTGCATAGTTTCCAAATGGGTACGAACCCATGCCCATCAATACTGCTTGAGACAAATAACAAGTTCCACATAGCAGACGAAACAAACATAAATGATCTCAATGCTCTCCGCATGAAGACACCGTGAGAGTTAGGATATTACAAGTGAAACTATGACGTGAATGTCAAAATCAAGCAAATTGAACCTTAGGACGTCAATGTAGTACATTGCCCTTGTAACGCTCGGTTCTGGGTGCATGGGCATAGTTTGAATAGCATGGGTGGGCATCGGTACCTTGTTCTGGTCTGGATACAAATTTGAAGTAAACCGTTGGCCTCTGATCGACACACAATCTTTGGAAAGTGATTTTCTTTCTTGCTAGTCAAATATGAGCCGATTTATGGCGGTCATAAATCATAAATGCATTAGACAAGAACGGGCAGCAGGGCAAATTACGAAAGCGAAAATCATATCATCACCAGAGAAGCGACTCTGCATAGACAAGCAACAACGCTCTAAAGCAGAAGTGACGAGTGCGCTGTCAGGGCAGGGCACGGACAGGTTTAAACGTTTCTCAAGCTCACGGCCACATCTTATCACATCCAATGACGCCCGCTATTTGCCACATAGTGTGCACTTTAGATAAGGTAGGGGAGCGGGCCTAAGAAATCTTGGGGGCAGGTGATTGTCGAACGCGAGTGGTGGACTGTAGCATCGATTGCACCTCTGGAGAGTGCGCCCGAGAACGTCGCTTGTTTTGATTTCTCGTCCGAAGTGTAGCGTTTTTGAAGATCTTCCTCGCGCATTAGGTGCATGCGCTAGGTTGAGCGCCAATTGTAGTTCGGCGCAGATCGAAGTGCACGTTTTTTTGCGAAACTAAAATTTTCTTCTGAGCTCGGACTCTCTCAGTTTGGCTTTGCTGCTGGATGCTGATATTGTCAACGTAGCTGAGCTGCTTTGAGCCGGGGCTCTCTCGGAAGAGATGGCCTCCACCTCTGTTGTTCTCAGAGGGTTGAGCCTGTACGGCCAAACCCCTCATAACACTAAATCTCGCGGGTTTATGCAAAGGCTCGTCCGATGTAGCAATCGTGTCGAATTTGGCTCCATTACATTGATCGGGGATAAGTTATGGCGTGGACACATTGTGGAATTCAAGGGAAGGTCGATTGTTTTCGGTAGAAAACAAAGAGGATTTTTGACGCGTATGGCCGCGGAGGACAATTTTGAAGCAAGTAGCGTCGCTGTGGAGGAGCAGCAACAGCTGTCTTCGGAGGAGGAACTGGACCGGGAAGATGTCACCGAGATTCTCAGGGTTTATTTCTCTTCCTTGTGCCTGTGAGACATTCGAATGCCACCGACAGTTTTATTTACGAGAGTTTGACGTTAAGTGACGATCATTGGAATTCTGTGCGCCTTCAGGACCGTTGCGATATTGCTGTCATCGTAGCTGTCATCGGGGGTGTTCTATTCATTGTAGCTTTTGTAGAACTCAGTAGTGTGAAGAAGGGTTGAATTCCCGCTGATTCCTTGAATCAATCTTTGGCATCTCTTTGGTGCATCTCAACCCTTCGCATGGCCTGCAGGTCGTGGAACTTCTCCGGAAAAAAAGAGACATGACCTTCAACGAGGTCTGTAACACCATACGCAATGGGCCCTTAAATATTGGTGCCTGAAAATTCGTGCGCAGTTTGATTCAAATTCCTCCTCGTCTATACAAAACCTCAAGGAGAAAATTCAGTGTCAGTCTGTTGTCAAATTGGCGGTTCTATTTCTTTCATTTATCACTACAGCATAAAAGGGACTATGTGAATTCCGGTGCCGCGACGCCTCGAATGCATGACTGCTGAAATTAGCAAACTGAACTCAATCCGTATCTCCACCTTGGATTTTACTTCGCAGGTGAGATTGACAATCATGATCGAAGACCCCCGAGACGTCGAGCGCAGGAAACAGTTGGGGATCGAGGATGATAGAGGTTGCTCGAGAGAAGATCTGGGTGCGGCTCTCATGGAGGTGAATTCTCTGACGCTGTAAACCGGGATCATTTTATACCGGTGTCACAGTCTAGTCATCACGACGTTGGACTCTGAATCCAGGAGATCGTGCTCGAACCTCGATGGGGTCTTACATCTGCCGTAGTTGGAAGGTCAAATCTGCTCAGTTTTCCGCTGTGCATAGCTTCTCGCACATTCCGCAGCAGTTGACGAGACACCTCCAAGGCTGATAAGAAAATGCGCAGGAACCCTGTTTATCATTCCCTGATCAGTAAAACCAAACGGGAATTATCGGGAAAATATCGCGATGTGATCCTGAGAAGCAGAGAGAAGCAGCCTGGCATCCAAAAAGATTTTAATTCATACTCGTTGGATAGGTAGACGCTGCACTGTGATCAGATACCCAAACAGTCCATTGGACTTGAGACCTGGCCTTGCTGTACCACGGTTGAGTTTGAGATTTCCTTACTCGCCCTTTGATTGCTCTTTGGAGTTCTGTGCACTACTGGAACAAAGGGGACGTTGGGAGTCGAGCATTCTTCAATGAGACCCTGCCTAAATGCATTTGCAGACTTCTGGAAATTGAGGCCTCCAGGTCACCTGTCACCTAACTGCGTGTGGCTTTTCATGTGAAGGTCTATGAAGGACGGATTCCACAAGATCGAGTCGTACTGCGAGAGCTCGCCAAGGAGATGCTGCAGTGGCCCAACCTGGAGGTATACCTTGCTGCTAAACTCCTCCCTGATCTTCTTCAGTACTTTCGATCATTTAGACCGTTTAGATCTGTTTCCGTTTAGCTCGTCATCCATCCTCGCTTTCCCTTGGCTTCATTTCTGGTTTCAAAGAACAGAGAAGCCTTGGATAGCTTTCGGGATGCATCCCCTTATCATGCGCAGATACACACACACACATCCAATGTACTATTTACACTGGTCCACAATAAATCCAGAGGCCTTGTAAGTGTAAGCGAGCTACCTCAAGCGAGCATTACTCCGGAGGAGCTTTGTTTACTTTGGGCTCAAAGCATATCATCCTTCGAACTGCGTGTGGAGACTCGGCAGCATAGTTGAAATGCGTCTGAACGTCACTCAGAGGATGGCCAATTTTCAGACGTATGTTCACGAGGCCTTGATAGTAGTGGGCTTCTAGGTTCACACTGAAGACTTTACAGTTCACGAGTTTTCACCAGCTTGTGACCAAGAGTGCGTGCTGACAGACCTCATTGTGCACTTTGGACAAGAGCAGGACGAGATCGCCGCCGATCGCTTGCCTCCTGTAGCCTCGCCGTACGCCAAAGTAACGAATACAGGAGTTGATCCCAGAGTTGCCGCTGAAAGAGCAAAGGTGGATTGGGACACTGCAGCTGACATTACCCCAGGGGAGGAGAAGAAGGATTTGGGAGAATCCTTGCCGCCTGTTGTGGTACATATTCTGACTCGTCTCACACCTTGGACTCTCATTTCATTTCTCGTTTGATTCTCACGGCAAAACCCGTTTGTTTTGCGGTGGTCTAGTTTCGTCAGACGCTGTCTTTTCAAGAAATGAACCAAGTGTTCAGGTCAAGGGAACTATTCTGAACTCAAGATCACATTTTCTCCTGATACGCAGGGTTACAGTTTCCTATATTTGGTGAGCTCCATTCCAATAATCATTGGGGTCGCTGTGGTGCTAATTCTCTTCCTTAACTCTCTACAATGAGGGCATCTTCGTCATAGTAGACTCGTTTCGACGCATCTCTAGCTGGAATCGAAGGGACTGGCTCCTCATGGCCCGGCGCAGGTCATCACATTCAAGAGGCTCGTTTGTTCGCTTCACAGTTCTGAATGATTTTGGTTGTACACGCATGAAGCGCTTCAAATGAGAAACTGTGAGCCGGATCACTCGTTGCGGTGTCGAAGTTGACTTCGAAAATCTTGGGATCATATCTGAACTGGTAAATCAGATGGTATCAGTCTCCGTGTCTGCGGAGAGTTACATCGGCTAGTAGCCCTCACATTTCCTGACCTAGCTTCCAATCTGAAGTAATTTCGAACAGATCAACGATCCTCGATTCAGCTTTGTAATTCTAGTGAAATTGTATTTGTGTTCCCAAAAATACAATCGGTGACAGTGTTTTACCTTGAGTCAATTTTGGAGTAAAATGCTTACTATTCTTTCCCCAAATCTTCGGGGGAGAGTAATACATTTTGAAAGTAGACAGTAGGTAGCGATTCCGGAACATTTTGAGGCCGTGCCGAAAAGTTGTATATCACATACCCTCGGGAGGGTTTGGAGGATATGTTGTAAGTCTTGAATCCAATCAAACTTACAAAAGGGACTAAAGTCTTTCTTCTCGTCACTTTCAAAGCTTAATGTTATTACTATCATATTTCTCCTTCACAATAAACACAATTGAGAAGTAATTGTGGACACCAGAGACGCATTCTTTCGCCAAAAAGTAAATCAATATCTCTAGAACCTTACACGCTGTTCTCGCATTCATAGTATATACGAATACGCAAGAATGGAACGTCATGACGATCGTAGACATTCTTCTGAGCAATGTATGCAAAGCCGAAAGCAATGCAGGTCTCTATGTCCAACCCCAGTCTCACAATTCATGGGAGAACTTTTGTTGGTTAAATTCGCGGTCAAATTTTAAATGATTAAATAAAATATCTCGACGTTTCGGACCATTTCTATTGTACGTTTGAAGGATAAGTCTGAGAGCTTCGTGTGCTTCTTCTTTTAAAAATACTTTATGCGATGATGTGGCTGTGATTAGTTACGTTTTATTTTGATCATGTACATGTTGATTATATGATGGTAATGTGTATTGTTTTAGACAATATATAATTACGAAAGACTCATATCACCAAGTCATTTACTATTTTTATTTTTTTAAGTAGATTTATCTGATTAATTGTATTTTAATGAGTGACATTGAGTCTCTTGAAATAGGAATCCTGAATTAACAATCTCTTTAGGGTATGTTTGGACTATAATTCAAGAAAATTTTATCCAAAGAACAAAGTGATAATCTTTTGCTGTTGGGCGGCATTAAAGTATTTGAAATAATCCGACAAAAACTTTGTGACATGAACACAAATGTTACATGTTGAAAGTAATAAGGAAACGTACTTGAAACCTTCAGAAACTGAAACCTGAAGATAAGTTTTACGCTCAATGTAACTATACTTGTAACCGTCAAATTAAAGTGGAATGCTCCTAAATATCCGCCAATTAATCACATCATTAACGATGTAGAATTCATTTTGTGGCGGCACAAACACGTCCATATCGACTATTCCTTCAGAGTTGTGCGGCTATAAAGGATGGAACTTGAGGAAAATCTCCTCAAACTCCGTACACGAATCTGACTCTGCCAATATTTGATGGCTAGTATTCAAAAGCAGAACATCTTGAGCCATCCATGCAGACGACCATGCGCCAGCAAAGGCCAGAATGAGCGTCCGCAGGTCCCGTCCGACAAGAACGCCTGGTGACCAGTGGCTACGGTCATCCGCCTTATCCTTGTTCCATCTCCTTTGCGCGACAAAGGTGGAATGTGCGAGAAGCGGGCTGACACGCCGGACCACAATCCGGCAGCGGCCGTGGATTTTCCTGTGCTGCCCCGTGTCGTTCGTTCGGTCCACTGGAAGCACTGATTCGTTCATTCACGGCTGATTTGTGTGGGCCAAAGTCCGGGTCTTTTTCCATTGTCCATTGTTCATCGTCGAGAGGTCGAGCAGCAGAAGCGCGGTCATCAATCGATAAGCGGTTGGTCGATTGAACTCCGCGACTCCGTAGGCACAAAGCATCGGAAGATTGGAGGCAGTGCAGTGTCGTAACTATGGCGACGTGCAACCTCACATTGCCTGTTTGTTCTGCCGTCTCTGGCGTCATTGCAACGGCGAGTGCTGGTAGCGTTTCATCCGCCCGACTGACCAACAGTTCTTTCTCGCATTCTCAGTTTTTTGGCAAGAGCTGCCTTTCTACGGCTTCTACATCTCGCCCATTGCCCGCCGTGTCTCGCCGCGCTGCCACAGAATGCAAGGTATGCTATCATTTGAAATTGTCTCGGCATTAAGTATCATTGCATTGCTCTAAGGTGTTTCGAGTGCATGCATGCTTAAATGCCTTTGTAAGTTGTGTTCTTCTTTCGCCAAGAAGATCAATGTGAGATGATGGGTCTTTAGATGTTATCCTTCCAAAGTACATCACTGAAGGATTTGCCTGAAATTGTCTGACTCTGCAGATCAACAAGGGCGATAAGCTTCCGTCGACAACCCTCAAGGACCAGGATGGAAAGCAAGTTAATCTCTCCAAGTTTATGGGGAAGCCTTTAGTTTTGTACTTCTATCCTGCAGACGAGACTCCTGGTTGCACCAAGCAGGTTTGTCTCCTCCCCAATTGAGATGAAGTTTTGAATAATTGTTATCTGCCGTCAAGCCAGGAGGAGGTTGATACACATACACGTCTATTCTCTCTTCGAGACTTCGTTCTTAGCTGGTCATGCCTCCACCGGATTAACTGAGAGTTGAACTGTGAGTATTGACATTTGTTGATATCTCTTGTTGTTCTGAGCAGGCCTGTGCCTTCCGTGATTCTTACGATAAGTTCACGAAGGCTGGTGCTAATGTCATAGGAGTGAGCGCTGACAGCCCTGAATCTCACAAGGTATGCATACTGTCTCTTCACTTCTTTGCGCTTTCACCCTTCTTTCCGTGGATGCAGTACGTTAGATGATATCCAGCGTCGTCAAATAAGAACAAGTCACTTCATCACCGCCTAAGCGTGAGTTGCAGTGTGGAGCTGTGGCCGAAGTCCTCATCTCCACAGATCGCAATGTACTGTGAAGACGTTGCACAAATGCACTTCTGGACCTGTGTGTATGATGGACTTTCTCTGTGATTGCACCCAGGCGTTCAAGCAAAAGTACAGACTGCAATTTACCCTTCTGAGCGACGAGAACAACAAGCTGCGTAAAGACTGGGGAGTTCCCGGGGACTTGTTCGGCACCTTGCCCGGACGACAGACGTACGTTTTCGACAAGAACGGAGTGTGCCAACTTATCTTTAACAACCAGTTCCAACCCGAAAAGCACGTGGGCGAGACTTTGAACGTACTAAAAAGTATATAGATTGTTAACGGATCGCAAACTATCACACTTGTCTGTTTGTGCCTCCTACTGTACCATCTTTTCATCCACTATAGAGCACAATTTTGCGGCCAAAGGTGAATAGTACTAGTTGCCTCAGCTGGAGGCGAGCGTTTCGCAGTTTACCAGGACCTCGGAGAAGGATCCCATCAGAGGCCTCCAGCCAAGGATGTAATGTACTTCATTGTTCATACAAATGTAGCTTTGTATAAATCATCGGTACAATTTAGTTCAGTAGCCACGGGGTTCTTTGTGGGCTTTAACTTACTCTAGCGGTTTGTTCTGTTTTTCTTTATTGAGGCATAGCCCGGCTCGGAGCTTTGAATTCTTACAGGTGCGTAACCCCTTGCATAGACCTGCGATGGATGCAACGGAGTCCTGCATCTGGAGTCCACTCCAGGAGGCTCCGTCTGCACAGTGTTCCCGTAGGAAGTCGAACAAGGGCAATATACTCTCGCCAAATTCCGTGCCGGAATCCTGAGTCTTTGTCGTCTTCGCCATAACCCTCACTCGCCTTGTTTTAGCGGATTTGGTTGGGTCTCTCCTTTTACGAACTTGCTGGAGAGAAATTGAATCTGTTGTCTGATCCTACTCCGCGAAGGAACAAATGCAGGTGAGTCAGTGAATGACGTAGGCTTTCAATATTACAAAGAATACGATGAGCACACCGAAATTAGTCATGTGAATTTCATAAATTGTCGTTAGTCTCGGCCCCCTTGTCCCATATAGTAAGCTAGCGCAAAATACCCCAAGAGCTACCAAAGGTGTCTCCTTAGAGAGAACTTGTAATTCACAAGTACCAATTCTCCGAGCCACACCGCCACACGGCTGAGAGTTCACGAGAGGCTCACCTGGCCACTCTCACTGTTTTATGAAACAAGAAACGGCCAAGTCAATAACAACATGTTTGCACAGCAGCGGAGATGATGGGTGAATATCATCTGTAATGGGCTGAAATGAAAGTAGAGCTTATGCACACAGACCCTTGTGAACCTTAGGTTGACGTCGTCATAGTTTCAGGATATGTCCGAAAGCCGTAGAACTCCGACTCACAACATTATGCCACATAATATCGCGAATCGGAGTTCTATGGGTTAATCATAATCATAATAGATTATGCCTACACATTATAAATGTAAAATCATTATGGGACTCAAGAAATTGGGCTCTTCCACAATGTAGATTGGGAAACATGGAAAATCTTATGAACTTAAATTCGGGAAGAAATAAATTTTTTTCATTAAATTGAAAACAAATGAATTACAAAAACATAACTGACGGTGCTCCGTCGGAGTGATAACATAAGGTAAAATGGAACGTAGTAAGCCCCTTTCAAAGGTGGGATCACATCAAGCAAATTTCTCCAAAAATTTCAGAAATTATAACCTCAATACTCTATAACATTTGGTTCCTCATGCTAAGCATTACTTCTCATTCGTCTACATTTGACTGTGAACGGACATGTTTTTTTGAACGAGTCTAAATCATTGAAGGGGACAGTCATTGAATTTCAATAACCTAGCAAAGCTTTACACACACCAGCACATCAAGATCAAGCAAAATCATCAATAAGAAAGAAGTTCGCACATTAAGTGATACTTTTGAATGAAACAACTAATAGGCCGATCTGATTGAATAATAAATTGATGACATTTACTCCAAAAATGATTGTATGGCTTGGAATAATGTAAGTATTATTCCTGCAAAGCTCAAACTTTTTTTGGAAATACTTGAATGAAATGTATCAATTTAAAGGTAGATGCAATTATTGGTTGATAACAAGACTAGGATTTAATGAAACTATAAAAGGGTTAGAAACTAGTAAATTATATGCGAAGAATGAACATGAAAATAAATCTCATTCACAAAGTTTGAAAGATCTACATATACATTTGGTTTGTTATAAAAGAAAGATGTGCATTGCAATGACATTTATTTTTAATTTCTTGGTATGATACTATACACTTATGATTTTGTTTAATATAATATTAGATAAGTGTATATCTACACTACATGAAAATTAAGAAGATGTTATTCTCATCATACAACATATGTATTTTATGAAGAAAAACTAAGATATATGGTTTAAGTGTTGCTATATACATATAATGGGATGAAACAAGCTGTTAGATAACTTAAGAAGTGAATTCAAACAAAAATGTTTTATACTTGCATATGTATGAAAAGGTTGACTACTGAAATTGTTGAACTCATTATTCTATCTATGTATTGAATGACATACTTATAGCAACTAAAAACAGATTTGATCTTGATAATCTCAAGATCTTTCGAATTCGAGCTTAAAAAAAAAAAAAATTAATGCAAAAAATATAATCTTGGGGATGTACACCATAAAAATTCAAGTATGAAAAATTAAATAAATTGCAAATCAAGCAACCTAAAACTTCATTTGCAAGTTTCAACATGGAAAAATACAATAGTCTGAGTATTTGTTTATTTCTCTATTTCAAGCTTTCATCAGCTGTTTATTTAACCGTGAAAAAGTAAAAATTTTCAAGATTGTTGACAAGAATCAATAAATAATATCATGTTTTTATGATTTGCACTATGTGTCACATTTCTTTTGCTATAAGTAAAAGTAGATTATAGTTCTAAGTCCCAAAAAAAATATTAGATAATTATGTTTTTTAATATTTCAAATGTATAATGGATTCAAACATCTTATGTTTGATGCAAAATTGTACAATGTCACATCACATATTGATTACGTTATGTTTATTTTACATAAGATTAGATTGAGAAAAAAAAATTAAGTAAATTTATGTTTATACATGACAATGTATGTATACATTGGTAATTCATATTGCAAAAGCAATATTTGTATCGGCAGAAAAAATAACAAAGTAGTCAATTGGATAATATTGGAAGGAAATTTGCTTGGGCATTGCTTAGATCAATTTGCCATTGAGATGAAAATATTATATGATGGTATGAATTTTCAATTTCACATTCAAGATATTTTAGAACTAGTTGTGAATTAGGTGACAAAGAGCAGAGTTTAACACATTATGATTAATATGATTGAATTAGTCATTACTAATGGTAAATTTACTAAACACATTGTGATAAATGATTGAACTAGTCATGATTGATAGTACATTTACTCAAACATATCGTTTTAAAATGATTAAACTATTCAGGATTGATAACAATTTTGATTGATCAATCCAAAAGATTATTTGAGATAGTTTTTTAAAACTTTGTGCCATGAAGCAGTTTTTCCATATGAGTACAAGTAGAGTAGACAAGTGATTATGAATTTACTCTACTGCTTAGTATTGTTAACTTTACTTATTAAAGATACCTTTATTAAATTTCTTTCTAGAAATCCTTGTAGGGTAATCATATAGATTATGAAATCTAAAGTCCAAGACATGAATTTAGGAAAGTATTGCTAGGATTTGATTCATATCAATTATGGCCTACTTAGCCATGATTAGTTAGTGTAGTTAAACTGTCACTGCTTAAGAGGATGATCGTAACTCTTAATAACAGAACTCAGAGTTTCAATAAAGCAATATTGTGTTTTTGTGGATGTAGTATGACGAGGTAAACCATGCTTCTCTTGTAGTCTGATGTGCGTGTTTGCGCAGTGTATTTATTATCGAGTAGCAACACAAATTAACCAAAATAGTTGAGAGATAATTATTGCAGCAATAGTGTAGTGCTATCACAAACTGAAGTGCATAATCACGGAAAAATGTCATGAGAGAAGTTGAGCATTCCATGTGAAATTGAGGATAAAATCCGACCACCAAACTTAAGTTTGGTGATTCAAGTGGAAATTCAAGGTTTCTCACAACATTCTCTCTAATCTCATATAAGTTAACGGTCTATGAACTGAAAAACCTTGAGGTTGCGAAAATTAGATATATGCTTGAGGCTATCAAATTATCAGACATAATCATGGTTCAGCTACCTATAATTTACGAGAGAAGAGTAGACCTTACAATAATATCTTTTAGTTTTTCTAGCTTTGTCAGAAGGTTTAAATAGAATAGCAAAAACTTCCAACTGGAACAACCAAAATCAATTGATTAATTAGGTCTTTGAGAATCGAACTTAAGTGAGTTTAACTTGAGGAATCTTTAGTCGCCAAAATCTGTATCTTCAACACTGGCTTCTTCTATCCACCACCAATTCCACCCATTGGTCATCATTGTAAAGCTTGTTAGAAGTATGTTTTCACCATCTAAAGATTTACTGTTTTATTGTGGATGTTCTAAATTACATCATTCTTCTTTGTTCTTCATTCTTATCATGTTACACCTAGCTCGTATCCGCTTCACTCTCTTCAATCAAATGTAAAATCCACTTTTTGCGCTGCACAAATGTGGAGACCTTTTGTGTATTCAACCTGTTTACAGAAAGTGCATGAAGGCTTCTTGCAACATGGTCTTAGCTTTGTTGAACATGTCTTGTTTCATTGTTTCATGTCTTGTCTTCTTTAAAACATCGGTCTTATTTCAAATACTGTCTCGTTCTTGAGTGACCCGTTGTGTCGCATGGTCTGCGTGGGTAATGCGAAAATTACCGCGGTTACGAGCAGATAAAATCTCTGCTCCACGGATCCAAGGGTACAAAGAAAGACAGTTTTTCTAAGTATGTACCGTGTCCAGCCCTGAGGGCTCGAGGCCCATGCATGGTCCTTACGCTCAGTAGTCGGTGATGTGCCAAACGAGCCGGAGAGCTACCAGACTTCAAGGCGTCAGAGTCGACTTGGAGCTCGCATCCCCGAAGTCGTGCATTACCAGCCAGGGTTGCCAATTTAATCACTCTTTCTGGGAGGTAAGCATTTGATGCACCTCCGGCAGCGTCGGCTCTCCGCGATAGGGTGATGTTCTCGTATCCAATTTCAAACGTGTTCGACGATGTGATCTGGAATTCTGCTATGGCGCAAGTGATGCAAGTAGGAAGGCGGATGAATACTCAGGATACTGAATTTCTCCAACACTGACCATTGCATGCGATTCTAGTTAGGGGTTTTGAAATTTGCGGGAAGTGCATTCTGAAGGAGAATGCCCTGTGTTTTCGACTAAACGCGGCATGGCTGCAATCAGCAAACCTAACGGTTTAGGGCACATGATGTTTCATGGACGAAAATTCTTTTCGAAAAAGTCTGCAGACATTGTCACTCTCCGTCTTATCAACGCCAGGGATGTTCTTAGTTGTCACCCACGCTCATAAGCTTGATCGTGAGATTAAGAAATGCAAAGACCTCGCTCCCCAAAAACAAATTTGTACATATAGTAGCTGTATTTATAGCCCTTGCAGTCCTCGGCACCGTACCGTACTCACCATCATCAATACTGTGGAAGTGTTGTAGAGCTGTGTCCTCACGAGAATCACTCAGTTGGCTGGATTGGTAGAGAAATGCATGATTTCAGCTGTGAATCAATGTTTAAGCTCATGCGATGACTCTGACGGATTCCGGAATTTTGGGAGACCATGTACTCTCGACCTGGCAAAGCGAGAGACGAAAGCTCCATCGAGGCTGCCAGACTTTTCCAACGGAGAAGAGACTTACAGCTGTACAAGCCTCTTGGCCCGTGCAAAACATGGCGGTATTGCTCACGGAGTTGACCATTATCCATTTAATATTTAGTCGGCAGCTTTTGTCACCTAGAGTAGTAGAAAATGTCACCCACTCTGCGCTTTGGGACATGGAATCGGCTATCCAAAACCTTAAGTTCAGATTTGGCAACAAATCTCTTAATTTTGACTTAGGGCTTTCGTATGATACGTCTTGATTTTCGGGATTATAGTTTGGAATATTCACGGATGCATGCAGACACAAACGGGATTAAGAGGTCCGAGCATTGTGGATGGATTAAGCCTGCAACGCATGGCGTGTATAACAGAAGCAGCTCTGATCGAGAATGCTGACTCTGGGGCAGACATATTCTTAGGTTCCATATCTTTCCTGCTACAACCTTCTTCCCTTCAGAGTTTAAGAGCACATGCCCAGAGAAAAAACAGAACCCTTTGCACAAAACCAGCCATTTGCTCATTCATTTGAAATTTCGAACATATAAAGGCACAAATGAAAGAGCTGTGGGTGAATCATCACACAAATCCTGTGATTACCTGTAATCACAGAATTGTGCTCGTCCAGAAGCCTGCTGGGGGATTTCAAATTTATCCTTGTTTCCAACTGGTGGACAGCAGGTCCACAAAACTTCTACGGATTGGATGACGGCAACATCGAGCTTCTCTTTACACTGCGGCCTGCCGGCGATGCGTGGAGCAAAACATCACCTGCTCTTGCTCATGAAAGACCGAGTTTGGGTTCTCTAAAGTGCACCGGCCTCAGTTGGAACGCGACGGGTTTAGTTCTGGCTGCTGCGTGAGTTGTCTCTTTGCAGATAAACGACATCTACTGTGTTTATATGCCATCCAACCTTTTTCAATCCAAATATTTACAGGTTGGTCAACTCCATGGATGCCAGATATGGGAGAAAGGACCTTCGGGGATGGTGCGATCATCCTGGAGCGCTGTGCACTTGGAACATAAAGCAGCAAGTATCAGATAGCTTCAATCAGACGAGCAGCATTACGCTGGACGTGAGTGCCTTACTTTTAGTTGATGGTATCAGCTGGGTCAGATGAAGTTTCGACTCAGGATTGCAATAAGAAAGCTCCAACTCACAAGAGATGTACTTTTTATCTCTGCAACCGATTAACATAACGTAACAAGTCGACAAGTCGACTTTGATTTAATTTCGTTTCTGACAATGTATCTGAGTAACTTGCGGGGTGCAGAACTGTTTGATGTGTATTGCGTTTCACCCACTACAACCAGATATCATTGCAGGGGGGACTTTCAATGGTACACCAAACTACACTGAAGAGCTTCACACCATGAAGAAACCATGCATGAAGCTCTAACACTTCATGATTATCAAACTGATGCGTCATCACCACGATTAAAGTCATAAGCCATATGCACTTAACCGACCTTTAGACTGGATTCAGCCGCACTAGACGAGACATGAGTTTGTGCTTACTTTTCAGGTGAGATTTATGTGTGGGACCTGAGCAAGGACGATCCCCAGATTGCTGTATCTGGTGCGACTTACGTATGTCATTCTGAACCGATAACCCAGGTACATCTTTGTTTGTCTGCCTACTAAGCGTGAGTTAAGGTGGTGTATGTGTGTGCGCGCGTGTCTGAGAGAGAGAGAAAGTCTGCTTCATAGGTAGCACCTATTAGGACATGCCACTTTTTCAGCTGAAACTAGATCAGGGATTATTGCTGTAGGTGGCCTGGTATCACAGTGGAAAAGAAAGCGGCATCTGCTCATCATCTAAGGACACATTTCAGGTCTGAACGTTCGTCCATCAACTCTTAATCTCGCGTCTTATCTTGAGCTTATGCTTTCCGGCTTGATGTGTACGAGGAACAAAGCCATCTTTCTTCTCTTTGCTCAATGATGGATCGTTGACTCTGCACAAACTGACAGCTTCGCAGATTATATCTACCAGCACTGACGGACAGATTCTGTTGTGGTCCGCAGACAACTTAAACCAGCCGCTCTATGGGTATATTTTAATCCTGTGGATGTGCTCATGTTTTGCAAACTCATATTGACATCATGAATAAAAATCTTCTTGTAAGAGAATTGTACCTCGTCATCATCGACCTTTCACCTATAACACTCGAAGGAGTCTGCCCTAATTGGTTTTCTCAGTGATTGGCAACGAATTCAACCTGCGGATATGTTTAGTACGCCCTAGCATAACACTTTACTACCAGATGAAGAGACTTCCGCTAATCGAATAGAGCAACTCACTCTGCGGATGACATAAAGATTGACTCCAATATTGTGCAGATACTCTATCCTATATCCACGTTCACATTCTTCAAGGGCACAATATTGGGGAGGTGAGACGCAATCTTCCACAGTACTCCATACTTTCTGGACCACAGTCATCCGATGAATATATGGGTATATTAACTTCTTAAGATCCCAGGGCCCTTCAGCCTGGATTTAAAATTCAATATAAGGTAAAGAATTAATAATAACGGTGTCGTTGTAAAAGGGAGAACAATTCTCCAGCAAGGTCATCACGTGGCGTCGAATAAACCTCTGCCTTAAGCTTCATCGAATGATGTATAGTGGGTTTAGACTCTCAGCTTTTTCATTGAAAAAAACTTCAGAGAATAATTCGTGGAAGTTTTTCAAACAGAGATGGAACCAGTATATACAGATAATCTGCAAGCTAATGAAGAAACGAATCCGATGGTGCCGATGGATAGAAGACTGACAAGAAATTGATTCATACGGGATGCTACCTAGTGAAGAAATATAAACTTCTCAATTTAGACGAAACATTTAGAATTACATTCGACTGAAAGTTCTTCAACAGGAAGAAAGTGAAAGAACAAACAATTTCATCGTATGTGAAACGCTGTGCTGTAGCTCCTCCCTGAGTACCGGTGCGTTTACGGGTTTAGGGGGGTCCGGGGTTCAGGTGCTCAGATCGATATTGTTAACTTCAATGTGGACCGTGTTGTTTTTCTCGAAGCAGGCACATGCATGGACGTACCCGCGAACACAAAAGATCATTCTACAATAATCGTGGGAACTGAAGGAGGGACAGTGTACAGATGTGGTTTGCAATTCACTCAAAAATCGATAAATGATTTCAGTAGACAAGTCAAAGATTCAGGTACATCTTTCAAGTGCTAGCCACGGGATCAACTTCAATCTTTATCGTCAGAACTAATCGGCGCCAGATTAGATCTGAAATTAGCTAGACTTCAACGTTTACTTACATAAAGATCCCTTCGTATGCTCTTACCATTTCACCGTTCTCACCATCAGCCTGTATGCTCAAGTACGTCTGATATTGATCATATCAGAACGAACAACCTCCAGAATGAATTGAGGAACAAAAACTATCTGAAACTATCAGTATTATACATGTGCAACGTAATCAGCCTGCAGAGTGAAAATGAGAAAGCTCCAACAAATCGCTTTTTCTCTTCTCTATGAGACCTCCATTTGATACCTTGGCTCAACGATTTCCTTCTCAACCCTCACTAAACAGGAGGTAGATGACAGCTGGGGAAACTTCTTTGCTTATTGTTAATTTAGTACGACAGCAAGATGCAGCTATTTATAACTGAAAACATTCTGATGCCAGTAAGTCAAGCTCTCACGAAGATTACTGCATGATGCAGGTTTGCTGACCAACAGTTGCCGGGAAGGGAAACTAAAACTATTATCTCCAATCAAGTCACAGCATGAGCCACATGTTGGTCCGGTCCATTGCATAAAATTCTCGCCCTTCGATGAAAGAGTTTTCATGACTTGTGGTTATGACGGCTTTGTCTGCATATACAACGATGTCCAGGTATCAATTTGGGGGATTTGTTATTACGCCCGGTGACCTAGCATGAAAGAAGTTAACCTTTCACATCTAGGATACTGACACGATTCACTTTCTGCAATCTGACTGCCAAACGATGTTCGAATCTACATATGCATAGGCGAAACCGATCCTGAGGCTTGAACCATCGGAGATGCAAATTCTCTGCGCGGGGTGGTCACCTTCCCGGCCCCTCGTCATAGCTGTTGGAGTGGAAGGAGGTCGAATATTCATTTTTGATGTACAGGTAGAGAACTGAATTCGTTTCTTGCTGTTGACAAATATCTCACAACCAGCCACTCATTCTTCCAGGATTATCTGCTGGACTTGAATGAAGGAGATAGATTTTCAACCATCTCTCACGTTTCTGATGTCTCGCCTTCGTGAGTTCCTTCCTGCTGTCTTCTATATGAGGGTTGCGTGCAGAAAGATTTCTGGAAGAAACTGCACCTTACTGAAACCATACAGATGTATCGTTGTGTCCAATTATAGGGCTTTCGAAGTTTGACCTGATTGATTCTGTGGGTCGTAAGTATCGTAGAATAAAGGATGCCTTCGCCTGTCGTATCACGCGAAACGTGTGATGTAGACTTAGCTCTTATCTAGACTTTCTGGACTTCGAAAATCCTCTCTGCTGATTCTTTATCCTTCTTGTGAATCACCTGAACATGTCGAGTCCGCAAAACATGTGAGCTTATTTGCACGTGTAAGAATTTCGCACGTTATTAGAACTGAAATTTGAAGCCTCTAGTGTAGGTTGCATATCATACCATTTTCTTCTCTCCTCTCAATAGCCTCACTTTCTAGAGTGGAAAGTGTAGTCGGAGCTTCAAGGCGCATGTTGCCCTTGAAATGTGAAGCAGAAGACTCGGATCGCTAACAAACACAAACATGTAACGTCCAACGTTGTCTTGTCTGGATCTTGTCGGATCTTCATTATTAGAGAAGTATGCTCCATCCAACCGCTGCTGTAGACGCCAGTGAGGAGGGCAATCCAATATTCGCGATGGCTTTCAATCATCAGAAGCGTCAATATTATGCGTGCTCCGACGGCGTGCATGTGAAGGTAAACCTGATACATCTCGCCTCGGAAGTCGGATCTGCATCAGATATTAAGCTGCATCTCATGTTGACATTGACGATCGACCACACCAATCATGCATTTATCAAGCTTAGACTTTGCTCGCCCTTGCACTGGATCCTACGGTCGTGAGTCCTCGCATTCTGACCTTGTGAGATAGGGTTCTGAAGCTTGTTTGGTTTCTCTGAAGTTTCTTCACGTTGAGGTCGAGACTGAATGTTGTGACGATGTCCCAGATTTTCCAGTTGGGCTCGAACTACACCAAGGAAAGGATTTTGGAGAGAAAGCAACTGGCTCGTTTCGCTCAAAGTGCTGGTGGAGATGTTTAAATCCGACCCTTTCCTGATGCAGAGGAACTGCTGGAGGCGTTTGGACTCGAGAGGCTCTCGGTGAATTGATGAAAGAAAGAGGAATCGCATCACGCCCCTGAAAGAGCTTTCGAGTCCTAGTTCTAGACCTAGTCCCACCTTCCATTCTCGAATATGAATGTGGGGTCACCTTTATCACACTTCTCGTCGCCTAGGCAACTCTCGCAGTATTATATTCTAATCCCTAGCTTCGACGGGGAGACGCTTTAGCGTGTACCGCTGTAGCCCTAGTTGAAACACTGGCCAGGAAATGTTTAAAACCCTTTGAAGAATTCAAATTTTGACTCTCCCGAGCGAATGATATTGTCGGCTCCGCATAATATCTGAACTACTGTATTTCACGTTGAAAAAGTCTCAATGCTGATCCGATTCTTTCCCGGTCAAATCCAGTCAAGCGCATCATCGATCAACAAGAGAAGAGATTCAAATTCCTGTGGAAGGAAAAAGAACAAGCTTTCCTGGTAGCCTTGATCCTCACGTTCACTGGGCCTGTAAAATCAATCGCATTTATGACCAGCTTTTGTTAATTCTTTTCTCTGGTCTTCGCTCCTTCAAAACTTCCCACCTTGTCGTCACGGCCATCGATGCCAAGTGCAAATATTCAATGCGGTCTGAGCTCTATATAGAGAACTATATTTTGAGCAGATAGAATCTGTAAACAGGGAAGTTGAGAACATGAAAAGAATCGTGATAGAAAGTTCCAAGCAGGATATGGTAAGACGCTTGAGTAAGCGATTAGAAGTCAAAGTGACTGGAGTGTGACGTTAGAACATCATCTATGAAGTAGCCAAAAGTCCTCTTGATTCTATGATCATCTTTCTCACCAGTCCTCAAATTTCTTGCATTTTATCAAAATTTCTTGAACCTTCCAATTTTCGAAAACGAAAGATTATAAAGATGTGCGCAGAAGGTAACAAGAGTTTCACTGCATGCACTTTGGATCTTTGATCACTAGTGTTGAGTGTATATGCCCCGTGGACTGGAAAAGTAACAGAAATTGTGTTTTCTTCTCTTTCCAAACTGCTCGTGAGATAGGGATCCCCATCTTCAACCAACAGTCGCATGAGGCCTTTATGTGAGTCCTTCACATGAAGCTATTCTATTATCTCAAAGTGAGACGACGAGAGAATAGCGGGTGAGAAGAAGATGTAGGGATGTGGCAGGAAACTGCACTTGTATCGGTGGAAGACAGTAATGAGCAGAAAAAAAAAGGAAGATGGATGACATGATAATCGAGTTGGTTACATCACCTTCTCCTTTCGGATACTGAAATCCAATCGTTCGATGATCCGAGAGTTAATGTGTCTAGGGGTGAAGTCCATAAGAAGATGGCAGACGCGGCAGGGCCTTCAAGTAACCGACAAGCTGGGGCCCAGCTGCAGAATACAGACAGTCGAAGCATGACATGTGGATTTCGATCCTCTAGTCATTGTGTCATCGCTCTGACCATCAAAATGTGGAGTGTGAAAAAGAGGTCAATGTGGCAATCATCGATGCCTCTCGGCGACCACTGCCTTCAAACAAAGAGATAATTGTTACACAGAATCGACCTAGTGACGTTCATGCACTGAAGCTTGAGTGGAACACACATGAGAGTTCACCACTACTGGATTGTACTTCGTCCAGTCAGTGTTTTGTGGGTGGAAGAAGCTGACCCTTGAGAAACATGTCCGACGAACTCTGTCAACCTGGCCACCGAGTAGGAGGATCCGAAAAGGTATTGCTCTTGGCTCTGGCAATGATCTCAATTGCCAAGCAGGCAAATGAAACTGTCTGTTCGCACTCTGGCGCACGATGGTAATCTAGAGACGGCTCTAACCAAGTGAGTTTCGAATTTGAAACACCTGATCTGTCGGTCGGGTCAGTTCATAGCAGATGACATCGCAAAGCCTTCCATTTGTACTGTAGCCCGGGATGCGGAAGACCAACTCCAGGAGAAACAGCCAATTACACTTCGCTGAGCGACGGTGAGTTTGAAACGCACCTGATGGGGGAGGGCACACCACTTCAGGAGCGCCATCATCATCTGGTCTGTGTGGGTCACATGAGAGGAGATTGTGAGATGTGGCAACTTGAGCCTGGTGCATTAGCTGCGGCAGCCTTTTTCTCTGGGCTGTGACACTGACAGAAAGTAAGACAAGGATGGTTGAGCGTATGCACATGGAATTGTCAGATCGCTGACATGACGCACAAACAGACAAAATGTTCAAAAGCTTCAGAGACCGAGGCCCAGGGCAAGGCGAGGGAGCATTCTCCAATTACTAACCAGAAACTGCAATTTAAACTTTTCGATCATTATTGTATCATACATGATGACCATTTCATGATAGTCACAGACGAATGCCCCGAATGCCATCCACGAGAAGTGTCAAGTCCGTTGCCATCCTTGTCCAGGATCGCCTTGTAATTGAAGCACGGTAATGCGATTCCTATGAACACTGCAATATTTTACGAAAAGTGGATCAGCTGGTGCAAATTCATCGTGTGGTTCAAGAATACGATATCATACTGAATGATGATTTCCAGGACCTTGTTACTGCCGCAGGCAGTCTCTTTTTATCCTCGCATTTGCAGTTTACCTATAGCCGCATTCCTCTTCCATGAATGGAACCAAGATGCAGCTGGATTCCGAAATTCAGCTCGCAACTTTTTCTACCAAGCTGAACAGGTAGATTTGGACCTAAAATACACAAAATGACGAAATCGGAGTGACGTGATGCTACTACACAAAGTTCACTTATCTCTTTAAGTCTCGGAATAAAACTTCGAGAAAGCAAGAGTAAAATAAGGAAAGAAATTCACCGCTTTTCAACTCCCATGATTTCAATTGGAACCCCGGTGAAAAAAACAGGTCAATCAGTCATGGTGGCATCAGGAAAGGTTAGAGATTGTTTGACATGAGATGGAAAACGGAAGCCACAATCAGCCCATCGAGTGACAGCTAAAGAACAGACTGGCTCGTTCATTCTCGACCTCGGCATAGTCGAGGGACGGAGGGATCGTGCAAAGAACATGTTGCCTGTCGGTCTACTCATGGTCCTCTGTTCCGTTTCCAAAGTTCAATTCTCTTCTATCCGTCACAACACACAACCGAAACAGAAACATGCCCTCCTCTCGGGCGGACACGTTTCAACCTTCCTTTTTCCATCCACGTGCCCAAAGACTGTGCTCGTCGTTCACAGGGATGAAACAGAGAGCTGAGATATCGACAAAAAAGCGAAATTGTCAAACGCTGTTGAAATTGCGGAAATTGCCTCTCGCTGAAACTTCTTGCGAGAGGGGGAAGCAATCAACCCATTGGGCAACGCCGGATCGAGGTTTCACAAGCTGACCTTGACGAGGTCCGTTGATCCTTCAATGACTGGATGAGAGTGATGGGGCGAGATTGCCACTGGCCTGGGATTTCCGGAGCCAGGCTGTCGGCCATTCAGGCCTTCTAATGGTGGTCACGAGGAACAATCCCTGCAAATCTGGCTCATTCGGCCTCATCGGATTCTGGGGACAACCGGCCACTTACTGCTTCCGTTACCGTGACGCTCCTTTCCCGCTCATTCAGAGGTCAACTATCCATCCTACTGTGGTGCCTTACAGGTCTTGTGCAGTCTGTCGGCAAGCACTTGAAGGCTAAAACCATCTTAATTATCCTTTAATTGCACATCACGGTACTCTTGCTCGCCGGCTGAACTGTTTGCTTGGGGTGGGATGTGGCGATGGATGCTGGAGACTTTTCGGAATTGTTGCTCTTTATACAACTTGGTATTGCAGTGCTTCGTATAACTACAGTCCAGATATTCTTACTATCATCTCACTCATTCTAACTGAAGTACCGTCCGTTATAAAGGTGTACTGAAGCAAAACCCACTTCCCCTCGACATTGACGTTTAAGTTTGTACAAAACAAGTCGGTACACCAAGTATTAGAGTAAAAAGGAAAAAATACCATCAACGTTATTCCAAACATTGAGCAGTTCTCCACACGTTCAATACCTAATGCTACCCTGAAGATGTACCAAACCAGACATACACCGGTTGCCCATAAAAAAAACGAAGAAGTATGTCCCAGATGTAACTCGCTTTCACGATACTTCGCTACCCATCATGTTTGCAGATTGGGTTACTTGAGTTCTCCTTACTCCTCTTTGTCTAAAACAGTCTCTCCTCCCACTTACCAGTGCAACATCATCTCAAAACAACACATTGAGGAGCATTTTAATGTAACATACAACATGAACTCTTAAAAAGGAATTGCGTGTTTTGAACTGAAAAATCCATTGTCAAAGTTATGTTATGACATGACTTCGTTTTTCTATCTGATATTTTTCTCTCCTTCAAATCTTGTGTCTAAGATATATATTCATTTGAGTTTCAAAATAAGAAGAACGGCCAACCTAGCCACAGGGTCTTGAGGAGCCAAAGGTCTGATCGCAATGACGTGGGAGCACGCCATCCTGCATGGAAGAGCACTCCTATCTATGTGGCAGATGGAGAGAGCGACTTCTCTAATAAGAATAGCACTTAGAAATAAACCCTTTTCAAGGTCTATCTAGATAGGTAGACGATAGATATGAGTATTTAGATACAAGACTTATGCCCAAAGGAATGTAATCACGTATAAATGAAGAATGATGAGCAAAGATTTTCAGCAAAAATAAAGCATTGATTACAAGGAGACATTTGCCGAGTCCTCCTCGCAACTCCTACTCATGGAGATCTGGAGCTCAAGCATTATGATATCAAGATTAATAGACTCTATGGGGATCTTGCAGAGAAGATTTATATGGAGTAGCCGAAGGATTTTGTTCAAGGAGACAATAACCTCGTATGTCGACTCAAGAAATCTCTTTAAAGGTTAAAGCAAGCTTCAAGGTTATGATGGATAACGATATTTTACCCTAGAAAAATTGGCTTTGACCTCTTGAGAGCAAATCCATGCTTGTTGTTGCTCCGAGAATAGGCAAAGAAAAAAAGAAGTGGAGAGTATATGGCCAAGAGTGAAGTAGCAGATGATCTTGATGACGTCACATATGAGGATTTGTTTGTTGCAGTGATTAAGGTGAACGGCAAGACATCAACAACCAACCACAAGAATAAAAATATGATTGTGTATTTATTGGTTTGGGTTGATGACCTTGTCATGGTCAGTTCATCCCTAGAGGTCATGAAAGAGAAGTTTGATATGGATGAAAGAAAGATATGCTGCTACTTCTAGTGTCATAACCATAATTCATCTAGTGATGGATATCCCCTCATGTAGCGCCATAGACTCAACTTTTTTTATTAGTTGTGTTATGACACTATTCAAATCAAAATTCATGTTACACATGACATAATACTCAAAGAAGTAAATCCAAAATATAAAAAAAAAACTAAATTCGTTGTATTGTTCCAACTGAAAGTCCCAAATACTGAGCGTTTGAAATTTCTTGACGATAAGATAGGTGATTATTCCTTATGCTAATTTTCTTTTCAACAAACAAATTGAAAGCTTCGAAAAGATACATGTAGATCATTTTGTTCTTCAACCGCATTTTCACAATCTTCAAGTCTGAAAACATGTCTTTTGTTGACGCAATACTGATAGGTAAAGTTAAAGCTAGACTAGTTAGATTAGTCAAAATACAAAATGACATATAACAGACCTCTTGAGTTTAAGCATCTTGACCGCTAAAGTAGAGAGAGATCAAACCTTAGACTAAGCTTTGTTTGATCTAAACTTTGTACAAAATTGAAAAATATGTTGTTCTAACATAACAAGTTCATATTATTCAAATTTTTGTGGATACATATGCCCCAACTCAACAAACTATAAGACATTTACATGAGCAAAAAGGTGGTATGGGCATAGATAAACATACTGTTTCAACAATACATACAAACATTCAAGAAAACAGTCATCGAGCTCACTAAGCTCTAATTCAATAATGTTAAAGAAGATCTCCACACAATAATAATGATTGCAAGTTATGGTGTCAAAATTGCAACAAGTGCGTTTTGTAGCCACGTAACTTGATTCCATGATTAGTGATTTTTTTGCAAAACAAAAAGATTCAATCACTTCATGCACCATCTTCCATCCTTCTTCCGATCGCATTTGAATCAATTCAGAATTTATAGCAGCAACAAGATCTAGAGCGTTGAGTATGTATTGATTCTTACGCTATAAAGCTTTAGAAAGAACAACTGACTTGCTTAAAACCGTCTTCATGATGTGTAACATTACAACAAAATCAAAATAGCACATCACTTCTAACAGTCTTGACACTTTTATTTTTGTATATGTTACAATTGACTCTTCCACAATAATTTCTAGGATTTTGACACTTGAATCATAGAAGTCAAGCACACAAAAGATAAAAATGAAATGAGTTTTTATATTGTATCTTTTTTGACCATCTGAGTGATTTTTTATGATTTAATTCGCGACATGTAATGACTTCTCCGCCAACAATTGTCCCACGGATGTTGGTCGCTTGCATTTTTTTTAATTGATACTTTCGTTTAGATGAAGCAGTTATCCACTGTGACACATAATGACGATAGTTCAACAAAGATTCGACAAACTTTGATGTGGTTCTTGACTATTGACATCAAAGCAAGTTGGAATCGGTGTGCAAAGCAATGCAGATAGTTTGTTGAAGAGTATTCTCTTTGGATGAGTTTTTTCAATCTATTGATTGAAAATAATATCCAAGCATATTAGATGGTCTATCATATTCTTGTCTACATACATGTGATAGTGAAAGACCGTTTTTACTGAAAGTGAAAACAATGACGACCATCAGCGATTTAGAACGTGTATCGAGAACATGAATCATATTTAAAAAACCTCTCCTGAATTATTTCAAAATCGTTGACAACCCGTAGAAATAAAGATATCTGCTCCTCTGTCAATTTGTCTTGAGCCTTATCAATCAACAAACAAAAAAAGACGTGAGTGATATGCTTCACAATATGTTCTCGTACACAATTAAACCATGGTCCTCCATATGTAGTACTGGATGTCCAAGAATATTATAGTTGCATTTTTTTGTGCATGAACAAGTCAAACACGCAAATAATATGCATAATGCTCATTGAGAATAGTAAGTAATTCAAGAAAATTTTTGCGATTGAAGAAATCTCCAAACTCGTCATGGCCGCAAATAGCAAATTCTTGATGTGCCAAAATTTGCATTGTCTTGATAGATGCTATCGATCAAAATATGTGATCAGCTTTTTGTTGTTCAGATTAACGATCTATTGTGGTCTCAATCAAATAATGCTAGTTGGATAATGACTTCCAAGCAGTCAAGTGCAAAGAATGAGCTAAAGTGTGTTTATTAATATGTTTTGCCAATTTGAAGTCTTTTTTAATAATTGTGTTCTAGTTTGCAACACCTTCATTGACAAATTGCTTGCAAGCTTGTGAAGCCTCCGTGAACAAATAACATGAAAAGCAATACACATCATTCTTGGAAGAGTTGTAATCAAGCCAAAAATGCAAAGCAAACCATTGAAAGCAAAAATGTCAAAATGTATAAATGTGTTTTATAGAAGTATATTTTGAAAGTTGTGATTGAAACGTCCCCTTATATGTAGACCTTCCAAATTCTATCCCTTTAATAGGGAGGCTAAAACAAAATGGTTGGTTCCAAACATGGATTACGCTTTAGTGCGGCCACAAACATGTCTTTTGTACACTTCAGTTTTGATGCAAGAAAGATCAACATCATCAATATATGCAAACTCAACTCCTTCAACCACAAAACAATCACATCTATAGACAAAAATGTCAGAGAATCAAGAAGACAAATGTCAATGAGACACCAAATCCTAAAGTCTATGACGCATTTTCAGTCTTGACATGTTAGCTTTAGAATTTGTTTGGTTTCATGCCTCTAGCTCCCTTAGCTCCGCCATTGGCTACTTTCTTGCATAAAGATTCCAAGTAATCAAGAGTTAAAAATGATGAAGCTCAACCATGGAAAAAATTTCAAGGAAACTGTGGAGAAATTTCATATGCATGATGACAATTATTGCAAAATGTCAATGACAGTCGGTGAGAAATTGAAACAAGACCGCAGGCCTCTCAACACAATATTCCTACAGCAAACTAGTGATAAATCTTCTCTATGTTGCCACCTATACAAGCCAGACATGTCTGAAGTTACAAGTACTCTCTCGGTATATGTCTGCATCAAAAGTTGACCATTAAAAAGTAGCCACATGAGTGTTAAAATATCTGGTTGGTACTAAAGACGTGGGACTTATGTTTGGAAACTCTCATCACGTTTATGAGTTGGAGTCCGGCCGTGGGTGTGGGGGGTCGCTTAGTTTTTTGGGAGTCGGATCCATATGTAGAAGAGAGAGATAGAGTGAGGTGATCATTTGTTCGGAGAAAGGGGGAAGGACGTGAGAGAGGTTGTGAGAGGGCCGCGGAAAGGCT